AAGAGTATATATCTATATATAATATTTGCTAGAAAAACTAAATTCTATAGTATAAGCTATATAAAGAGCTAAAGTCTCTGCTAATCTTAGCGCAGCTATAATAGAATATCTTAATAAATTTTATAGTAAGACTGCTGCTATTAGAGAAATAAGGAATTATCTATAATTTAATATTAATAATTATAGACTGCTATTTAAAGATAGTGCTCTATATCCCTACTTATAAAATATTAAAGGTAAATAAAATAGCTAACCTTGTTATAGATTATATTTATAACTGCTTTAAACCTCTATAGTTAATTATATTAAATAGAGGGGCGCTATTTACTAATAAATACTAGATAGAACTTTACTGCTATATTTAAATTATTAGACTTTTAAGCACTATATTTTATCCCCAGACTAATAGCTAGACTAAAAGGCAGAATTAGATGCTAGAGTATTATCTCTAAGTCTATTTAAACTATAAGCAAGATAATTAAGTATCTTTATTAACTATAGCAGAGTTTACATATAATAATTTAATCTATGCCTTTATAGGTATAACTCCCTTCTGTATTATTTATAGATTTAACCCTAGAAGTTAAGATAATTATAACTCTAGGAAGCGAATAAATATACTAGCAGTTAATAATTAATTAAAGAAACTTGCTAAAATATATATTTAATTAGAAGAATTCCTCTAAAAGGCTATTATTACGCAATAGAAGTATTATAATAAGAAGTATAAGCCTAGATCTTATATAGTAGGAGACTAAGTCTGCCTTTTAATAAAGAATTTAAAGACAGATTAATTAATTAAGAAATTAGATATAAAATACTCAGGACCTTATAAAGTTATAGAGAGAATTAGAACTTAAGCCTATAGGCTATTAGCTTAAGCTCCCAAAGAGCCTAGGTAAAATATACTTAATTTTTTATATCTCCCTATTAGAGCCCTATTATTAGAGACTAAGGGCTAAACTTAAGTATCTAGACCTAATCTTAGTAGATAATAAACTAGAATAGGAGATTAAAGCTATTTTAAATAAATAGATAATATAAGAAAAAAAGCAATATTTAATTAAATAAAAGGGCTATTTAGATTATAAAAATTTATAGCAGCTTAAGGAAGACCTTAAATATATCTAAGATATATTAGCTAAATTTAAGGTAATAATATAAGCTGTTAATAAGACCTCTTTAAGAAGGGCTCTAAAAAGCTCTAGAAAAAGGAGTTAATAAAACTAGTAAAATTTCTCTTTTTTCCTACTAAGTTTATAAATTTTACTTAACTATTTTATTGTTAAATTTATATTACTTTTTTTCTATTTACCTATCTATAGAGGTTTAAGAGTTTTAATAAAAATATAAGAAGCTAGTCTATCTAGAAATAAATTTATTTTAATTAAGCTACCCCTAATAAGAACTAAAAATATAGGCCTAAGATTAATTCTCTCTACTTATCTATTTTACTATTATAGAACCCTATTAGTATAGATTTATTCTCCTCCTTATTAGAGAAAGAAGGAATATTATAAGTAATATATATAATTTCTTATACGCGCTGCAGATTTAATACTATTAAATAGAGTAATCTAAGTAACTTTTACTGGAGCTATATTATAAACTGCTTATATAAAGATAGGGTTAATAAGATAGTAAATATAAGCTTATTTATATTTACCTTAGTAGGTATTTTATACAGGTATACCTCTATAAAGGATTTATATTTATTATAGGCCTTCTTAAAGGACTTATAATTATCTAAGAGATAGGCCTCTTAGCTAAGGCTCTGTAGATAAATAAGCTTATCCTTATAAACTAGTAAGATTAAAATATAGGGCTTATACTTATAATTATAATAGTTGCACTTAATATTAGTATTAGTATAGGTATACTAAAGTGCTAGATTCTTAATTAGCCCCTTTAAATAATAAAGGCATATCTTTTAAAATATTAGAAGAAACTCCTTACCTAGCTAAAAGATAATAAAGCTATTCTCTACTATTATATTAGTAATAGCAATAATAGTAGTCTTAATTAGTATTTTAATAATAGCTAATTTAGTCTAGGTTTTTATATTAATAACCTTTTTATGCCCTATACTTTATCTCTAAGGCCTTTTTATAGTATAAGCAGAAGTTACCCTTAGCTTAGCTATAATAGCTAATTTAATAATAAGATAAGTCCTCTTTCTTTTTAGCAGGCTTTTTGGCGCTATTATTAAGTTAAATAAACTTATTTATATAATAGCTAAAACTATAGAAAAAGGCTAATCTAGTAGAGGTATAAATCTTTTATACCTTAATTCTAGCGTAATATTTATTTTAACTAATAGATCCTCTACAGGATTTAAAGTAAATAGAGATACCGATCTATTAATAGCTATAAAAGGGGTAATATTTATCTAAGGAGGTAATCTCTCTAGTATTATAATAGCGGCTAAAGTCCCTAATATCTTAATAATAGTTAGAGGATTATTTTCTAATATTATAGTAGTAATTAGATTTAGCTATATTATAATAGCAGCAGTTATATTCTCTATCTTAGAGGCAGGAGGAGGAGATAGCTCCCTAGAGGGGGAGATAATATTCTTAAACTATTAATACTATAGAAATTAGCATATAATATATAAAATCTTATACTAGAATACTTACTTAAGAAGTCTTCTTATATTACTTAGATATAAAATAAATTCAGGGCGGTATTATCTAAATTAAATTAGCTTATATTAATATAGTTAATTAAGATAACTTACCCTTAAAGCAGGAAGCTTTAAAAACTAATAAAAAAATAATTAATTTTTTAAGTTTAATAAACTGCTATACTATTAGTATTATTATAACCTTAAAAATACGTCTAGATCTTTATTTAAACATATTTAAGACTAGGAGCTATATATAGCAGGAAGTAGGAAGATAGTTACTAGAGGTTAAAATTCTAACCTTATAATATTATATAAATAACACTTCTAATTTATATAATTTCTTAACCTTTTATTATAAAGATAGCAAGAAGTTCTTTTATTTATTATATTATAAACCTCTATAAAGCTATATTCTATATTTAATATAATAACTTTATAATAGCTTAAAGATAAGCCTTTAAAAAGAGAGAGAATATTATTATGCCCTTAGCTTCTTGCTAGGGCATAAGCTTATAGGACTATAGTAAAGCTCTAAATTTAAATATAATACTAAGGTAATTAGTTAAATTCTACTCTTCCCACTTTTAGAATTTATATAAGATAAAGCTAAGAAGTGCTTAAGATTTAGAATATAAATAGGCTCTAGATTGCTATCTTATTAGAAGCTAGTAATTTATTCTAATATAATATATACCCTACTATTTCTTTATTTATATAGATTCTTTACTATTAGGACCTTCTAGCATAGACTCTTCTCTATACTAATTAGACCCTTTATTATAATAGTTAACCCTTTATCTTACTAATAGACCCTTCTCCGAGCTAGATATATAAAGCTATTACCCCTCTCGCTATAATCGCTGGCGGAGTAATTTATCAGTAACTTCTAGGAACCCCCGTTCCTTATAAGTAATAGCTTACTAAGACTTTATAGCTTTTTTCCTACTAATTAAAAGATAATAATACTATTTTTTTTAGTCTAATTAAAGTTTAAGAGGTATAATAGATTCTAATAAATAAGGAGAAAGCTAAATAATAATTATAATACTAAAAATAAAAGCTTTAATTTTAGCAATAGTAGCAGTAAGAAAAAAAATAATATATTACTTAAAAAAAGCATAAAATTTAAGAAATAGACTATTTAGCCTTATCTATAAGTATAGGAGGAAAAATAATACTTTAAAAAAGAAGAAAAAGTAATAAAATAGGCAGCTATTTAGCTTTAAAAAGAATTAAAATAGGCTAATTAAAGCCTAAGGAAGAGATTTAAACCTATAAAATAACAGATATTAGAAGAAAATACTATTAAATAGGTAGTTAAAGCTAAAATAATCCCCTTAATAATAATTAGTTAAGGACAGCAGATATAACTCCCTAAGCAATTTAGAGATCCTAAAAACTAGTCTAATATAATCTACTATTCGCCTAGATTAAACCCTCTAAATATTAATTAATTTAAACATATTATTATTGAAATCTAGTAGATTTAATAATTCAGCGTTCTATAGTAAAAAACAGTCGGCAGGTAGAAACGGTCGGCAGATAATTAAATACAGTAATTATCCGAGATGAGCAATCTCAACTTATTCAGCTATTCATGTGCATCTTTATGGTAGCATATCATAGATGCGTTTACATGGCAAAGAAGAAGGTTTCCCAGAATTATGTCTACAAACTAGAATAGCTGAGTAAAGCCAATGGATTGATGTAGGACAGTAAGATCACTACAAGACCAATGCGGTTCAAAGTATGGATACATCTATTCTGCCTAATGCCAATATAAAGACAAAATGGTTTCCAAAGAGATCCAGTGACATGAAGCCATAAATCTTCAAATACCAAACCCAGGAGCTAATCAGTTGCATGTGCAAACCAATGTCCCGTTCTGAATCAAAGAAGACACAAGAAGTGGGATCGCCAGCTCTGAGACCAGCACACTGTAATATACTGTCATGCTTGCTTCTGCGTCAAAATGATCAATCGTCTGGTAAACCAGGGGCAAAATGAGGAGGGGATGATAGTGCAGTTTGTTTTCTGACGCAAAGCTGCTCTCTCTGCATAGATGATCATAGGGCGATTTGCCACAGAAGAGAAAAAGAAAAGAAAAAAAGGGTGTAAAAATAAAAGCACAATCATGAAAAGGAAACCAAGAGGCCAGATGCTGCTTGCCATAAGTGAAGTGAGACATAGCTTCGATCATAAACACATATGGTAAGATTTCGTCGTTATGATGTTGGTGCATGCAGTAGCATCCAAAATTGGTGTACAAAAGGATAAATCAAGACGCCAGTACTGCAAATGCGTTGCCAGGCAGATTCAGAAATGATGCGAAGGGAAAGCAGAAATATGGCGGTCTTGGTATGTTGTCACATTCGGTTCCCGAGAATCTCGCTGACAGTCAGTCGAGGGCCGTAAAAAGTCATGAATATCGTTGCATCGTCTCAAGTATGAGTACAATCCTGTAACAAGGTCTCATGAATCGGAAACAACAAAAGAAAACTCTAGATGTATCCGTACACTTGACCCTGAGCACCAAGGCTGCCGTTAGGATGCTGGGGCGTAGGGCTGAATATGGGGGTGTGCGTCTCGCTAGCACCGCCAGACGGGGTGTTGGAGGCGGACCCGGATGCAGAACCAGGGACAAAGGCAGAGTTTCCGGCGTCACTAAACCCCATGCCTTGGTTTCCGAACTGAGGACCGACGTTGGAGGCGGGGAAAGAGTTGTGTTGGTACAAGAAAGGTTTCTGAGGAATCTGCAATGTCGCTGGGAGCTGACCAGAAGTCATCTCGTTAGGAGTGACCTGTCCGCTTGCAGTGCTGCTCGTAGCGCCGCTGGTCCTGCCAGAACCCTCGGATCCCATCATTTTTCCAGCAATACGGCGACCATGAGGGGTCTGGCGAATAGACGGAAGAATCGGACGGATGGCGTCGACCATGCGAGCACGGGTTTCAGGGTCAGCGAAGTCCATCGCAGTTTGGACCACGTAGTTAGCAAATGAGTCCCGGAGCATCTTCTCCAGCTCGCTGGGGGCCAACATCTCATCGATCATCTGGCGGCGCATCTGGTAATCTGCAGTGCGAAGACACTTCTCAATCACGTTCGAACTGAACTTTTGCTTCGACAAGGCGGGAACATTGCCACGGAAGCTCTGGCACAAGGGCTCCGTGAAATGGGGCTCAGCAAGATCAAGAATGTACTGAACAACGTAGTTACCGAAGGGGTCCTGGACGAGGTGAAAGGCATTGCCGGTGATCTGCGCAATGAGGCGGGCACGCTGTTCGCCAGAGGCGTGGTCGATGCAGCGTTGGAGGACACAGCATCCATGGCGATGAGTTCCGACGACGATGCAGTTACCACCAACCGCCTCGTAAATGAACTGGGCATCCTCAGCGGAGAGACGGTTGAGGCACTTCTGAATAACATGGTTGCCATTCAGATCTTGCACGAGATCCACCACGCGGTCCCGAAGAGCGCGAATCACGGTCTGCGTCTGCTCAGGAGTAGAGATGAACTCGATCATCTTCTGGAGAGCACGGGTTCCATGCTGGTTGAGTGCGATCTTCACAAGCTGCGGCGCCGCGTTGTTAATCAAAGCAGTACGCTGCTCATCGTTGGAATATTCAAGTAGCTTCTGGCAGAGATAATTACCAAAGGGATCTAGAAGCTGATAGTTAGCGTCATATAACATTTGGGAGAGAAAATTGCCCACTGCATACCGGTCATCAGCTCAACCACATGCATGTGGGTCTCGTCAAATATCATTTGGACATGCTCGGGGTTGCGATCCTCAAGCTTCCTCTGGAGATAACGGCATCCGTGCTGGTCCTTGCACAGTCCGTAGAGCTCGCCGCGGTAATGTTCGAGGGGAACATTACTGAAACGAGACAGCTGAGGAGCATCTCCCTCCCCATTGCGACGAGAGTTCAAGCCCCGCGCGGAATTCTCAGGGAACCGATAGTTCCCGTATGGGTAAGCGGCATACGAACCCGGTGCCGTATAGTTCTGCACTTGGCCGTTGGCCTGCATGGGGTTCGCACCGGCGTAGGCTGGCATACCATAACCATAGAATGGAGTCTGAAACGCCGTAAGCGGGGTTGGAGTGACGGAGCCGGCGATGCTCGTAGGAGACGTAGGAGAAGTCAACTGAGGTCCGAATGGCGCAGCGCTTGCTTGAAGAGCGGAGTGCTGGCCCTGCGTGGTGTGGAGCTTCATCTCATCACGCTCTGGCGACTCACGATTCTGCCGATTACCGACCATGTTACCGGGAATGCGACCCAAGCTGGCATTGTGGTGGTGGAACTGTTCAGCGTGGGTCTTTGGGGGTGTAATGGCGGCATTAAAGCCATTGCCCTTGACAGTCGGGAGATCGTTGGTCGAATAGGACGACTGCAGGGACGTCGGACGGCTAGAGTTATTGGGAGCCAGCGCTTCATGGCCATTTTCACCGCCATAGAGCAGATTGACTTCGAGAGAGTGACGAGCTAGGTGGCGAGAAGGATTAGCCACGTTGATCGGCTTTTCACTCTGAGGGCTGCTGAGCTGATCGAGACGGTACATGTTCAGCGCACCCTGGGGCATACTCTGGTGAGAAGAGCGATGACGGTTGTGCGAGCTCCAGTTGTCCTGTGGTCCTGGAGTACGGGAATTGGCCAAGTCCAGCGCATCAGAGTTGGCAGAGAGCTGCTCAAAGCGTTAGCATTCAGTGTTCCCGCCATAGCCTAAAACAGACTTACCAGTCCCGAGTTGTCCTCACGACGAGACAAAGTAGGGAACTTGTCATCTGGATCGGTCATTTTGAGATAGCTCTTGATGTCAGGAGTCGGGAGCCTGTCTTCGTCCTTCAGGGTCGCTCTATCATCTTCATTGTGGAAGAGATACTTGGCCGCACTGAAGGAATCAATGCCGTTACCGTTATTGTTGTTGCCAAAGCCCGCCAGGCTCGAGCGGAGCTGAGATGACAAGCCGGTAACAGGCATCGAATAACGGTTGTTCACTCTATCCGCCTTTGTCAGTGAAAATCCCAAGCTAGTAAAGCCATAGTGCTGTGATAATAATGTGGGGGTATGGTATGGGTAGCCATCAGACAAAAGTGGTGAGCACGTGGGTGAGAAGACGAGACAAAAGACGAGACAAAAGACGAGACAAAAGATGAGACGAAATGGACGAGACCAGGCGAAAAGTATCAGAGGGGGGACAATAGAACAAAAACTATACAATCCCAACTGGTGGGGGAATGTTGCCATTATCCACAAGACAATGAAGGTTAGAACTTACGATGACGAATTGCGATATGGTGAAAGAGTCTCGCTAAAGTAGCTCTCCTCTTCCGAGTTTCTACGGGAGCCCGGCACAGACTGTACAGAGAAACGGTTGTTGGGAGTCTGGGCAGCGCTGGACCTAGCCTGGTTAGATTGAGGAGAGGTTACCTGAGACGGGGCGAAGACATTGAAGATCCCCGGGGAGGACGTGACGCTCGAGGTAGAGAATCGAGTAGGACGAGAAAATACAGTGGGAAATCCGCTGTCACGATACTCAGGCGGAGTGGTAGGTTCACTGACAGGGCCAGAGAGCCCTGCCTGAGCCAGGTCGCGTGCCAGCTGGTCCATTTCCTGTTTCTCCCTCTCGTGCTGGAGATCAAGGAGCTTCATGTCCGCTTCGAAGCGTTTCTTTTGCTCTCGCATATACTCGATATGCTGGCGCTTCTTTTCGAACTGGATCTGATGTTAGGCAGTGTACGAGGGTGAGAATCGAGAGAACTGAGAGATGAATTGGGGGTGAGGGGTGAGGTGAAGGAGGAAGCTGGAGGTCTCACGAGCTGGGATTTATGAAGCTGAGTAGTCTACCAATTTGCAAGTGTCAGTGAAATGGTTGACAGTGAATGAATGCCTATCGGGTGAGGAGGGGTAATCGAGCAACAGTCACCGGTGAATGTGGTCAACATCCCGCAGGACAGAGATTCCCCTCAAGCGCAATAAACACACCCGGTGCAAGGGAAGCAATTGTAGAGATGACAAGCTTACCGAGGAGAGCAGGTCTATGGACTCCGGCAACTGAGGTTGCTGCTGCTGATTGAAATAACTCCACGAAGAGAGCTTGCTCGCGTCGGTGGTGAAACGGCGTTGGAGGTTGGCGCGCACATCTTGAGAAGGTCGTTGGAACGCCATGAAGCTCGATTGACCCGGCGAAAGAGAGCCATAACCCGAGAAAGGGGATTCGGACTGAGGAGAGCGCGGTGAGGTGAAGCGTAGCTCGTCGAGTCGCTCGCTGAGGCCGTTCTTGAAGGCCATGGTGGGAGGATGCGGGCAAGGTCAGGCTGCAACGTGGACCGCGGTCGACATGTCAGTGAGATCCCCCAAGCAAGAGCTAGATCGGATAGATCTTTGGTAAACAGGGGAGGCGGTACAATGTCGATCTGAAGACCAACAATTGCAGCCAGAGAGGGGTGCACAGTGGCGGAGAGGAAGACGAAGTGGCCGGGGGAGGGGTTTAGGGGGGGAAACGAGGGCTGGGGAAGTGGTGGTTGGCGGTGTGTTGTAAGTAAGGAGAGGGGAGGGGCTGAGGGGCCGTCGGAGGAGCATTATTGAGATGCGACAAGCAGCGCCATAAACTTACCAGAGACGCCTCGAGAGACCTGCAACACTCGAAAGGAGATGCTGTCCTTGTTTCTCTGTCCGTCTAGTAGGTCGAGTTCTTGTTGTTTTGTGTGAGGCTCGGAGAGTAGCGCTGTCCAGCCAGCCTGGGGTCAGCCCCCCTGGATATGCGGAGTTGAATCAGCTCTGCTCATAGACCAGACGCTGGACCGGCGGCGTATCCGACGTTGTACGCTCCGTCGCACGCAGCAGACGAAGCACCGAGGAGACGTCAAGAGAACAAAGAGCACACGAAGAAAAGGAAACTGTTTTACAGGTTCCCGGAGCTGGGAAAGATGAGATGGAAGGAGGAGAGGGAGGAGGCGAGCAGAGATGAGAGAGCGCGGGTTGCCAGAGCGGGGGAGCGAGACGAACTGGCCTTGGGCTCTAATTGCTCTACCTTATGCACATCACGGCCTCGACCTTCCCGACTGGAGATCAGCTTCACAGGAATTAAATGTTTCTCTGCTGCTGGAGCTACGTTGTCGCCCCGTCGTGCATGCTCACTGGTTACCGTCAGGCTCACCCAACACGCCTACAGTTCTTACAGTACATACATTGTTCCACCCAGCGAAGGACCGTTGGCCGTCTAAGCCCTCGTGAAGCTCCCTATCCCACCATCGAGGGTAGTGCTAATTTGCTCCTTAGCTGGTTTATTTTTCTCTTAGCCGCCAGGCACCTGCCAGCAAAGTCACACCCGGTATGGTACTTCTGCGCCGGCGTCCGGTAGTGCTGCTCTCGCGCTCCATCCGAGTTCAGACGTCTGAGGACGTCTCCCAGACCACCTAGCTGATGGCCCTTTCGAGAGCACGGTGCACGTTGTACCCTGTGCGTTGCTGCGCTGTTCGAGGGGCCTGCCTCATTTGCTCTGCAGGATTGCTGCTCCTTAAAGTTACAACTGAAAGTATGGAGTATGGGAGTCTACTGCATGGAATAATAATACATGACACGAAGTACCTACTACTTCCTGCTACCTATCCGTACTCCTGTTCGCACCGCGATAGCGGAAATGGCGCCGGGCCAAGCTGTGGGACGTGCAGTGTGTGCAAAACGTGCCTGGATCGTACTATCCACCAGTAGTCACCCGATACCGTTGCCTCACCCCCTCCATTGAGAAATGTGACGATTGAGGACCAGCTGCAGACACGCGGACAGCCGACTCCTGTTGTGCCGGTCAACAAAACAATCCAGTGCAGAAAAAAAAACCCCCCAAGAAACCGCTCTTATTATGGGGACCATAACACGCCCACTCTTTGGTTCGCGACACGATTCTTTTCGCGGTCGATTGTTCTTCAATGGTTCCAAGGGTGCCGGCCGAACAAAGATAGAAGGATTGGACTGCTCTTATTGCGGGTATCAGTGAGGGGCTCAACAGCCCGGTCAGCCATGGATTGCATAAGGCTCGTTCCACGGATCAAGACCCTTCGAACGCTGTACCATATTCGGAGCTTGAGAACCCAGCGACTCCCACCATGCACAAATAGCAATCCTCCGTACCTCGATGCGATGAAGAGAAGGTCCGAATGCCAGGATGCCACGAAGTCATGAAGCCACAGCCAATGGCGCGGGCGAATTGACTGGCGAAATCAGCCAGACCCTGGCGTTCACGGAACGATTAGAGTTCGAGAAAGCCTCGAGATCTGACGTTAATGATGCCATTCCCAAGAGGGGGAATGGAGCGGTGTAGCAGGACAGGGAATACAGGCCGAATCCAGCGCTGATCGATACCTATCCAGCCCGCTATGATTTCGTCTTCACGGTGCCACCTTCGAATCCTCCATTTCACTGACAAGCAGCGCATTCTGCCGTGGTGCTCTTTGTGGGGATAAGGCGCCGTCCCGAAGGCTCAGGGCGCAAATCCAATCGGCGCGGACCACTTTGGGGCCTTGCCTTGGGCGCCTAACGTCGGCCCTTATTATTATTGCGCTTCAGATCGCAAGATCTGTTTCGAGTTCCTGGGCTCCTTTCATTTCCCCGTCACATTTGTTTCTGGCGCTCCCGGATCATGTTGACATTCCTGTGCACAAAGATAGATCGGCGCATGATCTATTGTACGGTCTCTGAGCCCGAGATGCCGTCAATGCCACGAGAAGCACACATTCCAAGCCGATTGCGAGTTGAAACGTGCTGTTTCATGCCCGATGAGGTGTCACTTCTTTGCCAATGACAAAGCACGGCCTGGTGGACCGATCCACGCTTCGCTACTGCGGCCGGTCAAGTCGTCGACGCGCCTTGTCTATCCCCGCGCTCCCTGCCGCATACTTAGTGCCACACGCTTATTTTCTTCGCAGTCTTCAGACGACTATGATTATTTGACGCATAGATCCGGTGCTTTCGTGCCCGCTGATGGAAGTTTCATGCGTTCTAGAACAATTGCGCAGCTGGGGCTCGCCAATTGATCGCACAAAGGTCCTCGAGAATATCGAAATTCCTCGATAAGTCGTTTCCCGCACGTGACCGAGCTCTCAACGTCCGTCTACCATGATCTAAACGCACACAAGCGAGCTCCACATGATGGCCATTGAGAGCCATAAAAATACTGGAAAGCTAGGGTGGCTCAATAGAGTATTTTATTCGAGCCCATAAGAATTGATGAGAAGACATGCCTAATTCACCGCGGTAATGCGGAGAAAAATGATGGTTGATGGCGAACCCGCAGCTTCTGTGCGTTACCTGAAGGCGTCATTGCTCCATTGGATCTTGCCACAAAATGAGGCAAGCGAGCATTGTGCGCTCGGCTATGGAGGAGATGATACTCTACATGGAAAGGACGTATGCAGCCCAGTGACAGTTGTCCCATATACCGCCAAACCTGAGACTGATAAGCAGCAAGGCAAAGACTATGAGCAGGGCGTAGTGGCCCGACCCCGCAACAATAGGTCTTCTTTTGTCTCAGCGATCGGCTGTAAACGGACCGCAAGTGGTGGGATCAACCTCGTCTTACGATCCATTTAGCTGGCATCGTGATGATCTGCTCAGCAATGTTCTTGGCTTACTATCTCCTGTCAACTAATGCTATTGTCAGGGGTAGCGCTAACTAATCTCAATGCGGCGCTCGGGAGACTGTCTCCGTAGATGCAAGGAATATCTGTCGGTGTTCAACGAACCGACGGAGCTGCATTTCGTGATATGGGAGCTAACGCAGCCCTGGATGATGGCTCTCTTCTCCTGAGTCCCCTGACCAGGACGTGCTGGTGCCAGCAAAGCAGTCCCAGACGTGTTCTTTCCTGAAGTTCACTTTCTGCTTGTCTGAATTACCAGGCAGGCAGCAGCACTTGTGCCATTTCGCACCCAATCTATCTGCATCTTATCGAAGATCAGCCCAGTGTAAAACTGCCAACAGTTTACAAGGCACACATTGACTGTCTAGGCGCCTACCACAGCAAATCATATTCTTCAATTGTTCAATGCCATGGTCAGTTCAGCTCTTAACCCCGGACCTGAGAATGCAGGAGCAGCTGTGAGATTCTTTATATGGAAGTGCCCACCCGGATCGTGTACCTCCTTATTTGCATTCTCCACGTCATACTACTGCCTGTCACATTCAAACACGAGATACGAGAACAAAGGCACATTGCCTCGGAAATCATTCCTTAAGACTTTTCCTCCGTAGTAGCTAGTTGATCTCAAAATCAACTACAAGGACGTGTCTCAGCCATTACGCGTATGACCAAAAAGGGCACATCCAATTCTAAGACAGTTCTCATCAATAATAATAATCTCCGTGGCAGCAAAGTATAGATATCTCCCAATCCAATTAAGCCTAACGCACTAACTGCAGCTATATCCGCCGGATACAGTATACAAACGAGGTCATGGTATCGATAATTCTACCACTACCACCTTGTGGGGCGAAAACGGCGGGAACGGGTTACACTAAGAAGCAGTTGTTCTAACTATACTTTGTAATGTATCCAAGGTCATGTCAAAAAAGAACTTAAAAATGTCATTATAATAATTAACTTAGCCGAGGCACGTTGGAATTGGATATGTGGAACCGGTAGCCATGGAGCTCAATCTTTGTATCTCCAAGTTAAACCTCGAAAATGTCATGAGACCGTGCGAGTAGTCTCATGGAGACGTTCATCATGATTTTACGGTGTATGCTACCTCTCTTTCTGATAAGTCTGTTATTATAGACATGGGAGAAGTGCTTGCTTCTTATTATTCCCCTAAGTCCGCTAGATGTGTCTCTATCCTCTGTGTGGATAAATTCAAAGACGAGGTCTGCGGAAATATATAATTACTGCAAATAGCTAGCGTAACAGCATCAGACTACTCTAATTAAACATTCAAAGCTTCAGTGGAATTTCCAGAGTACATTGATTATGAATAACGCGACATTAATCTTCTACACTATCACCAAGCTCTTTTTGCTTCTCATCTACCACTGAGGTATTCGCCAATGTAAGATGCTAGCATGTCTGCTTAAGGTAAATTAGGGCAGACAGTTAGGGCTTGATCTCATTTGTGATTGATAAGCACGTGCCAGTAGAACATGTGAGTCACGGCAGACTAGTCCATATCGGTATTAGACTATATTACATAAGCCGGAGACCCTCTGATCTTTCCCCTCCACCAAATAGAGCCGGAGAGCTCGATTTATTCCGTCTAGGATTATTAACTCTTTTTTCGCCGCACGGCTTCTGCTGCAGCATCTCTCCGCCATACAGTCGACAATTCTGCGCAAACGCTGAAGGCGGCTTCCTCGTAATCATGCCTCCTCGCAGGAGGCCTCAGGCCGAGGGCCCTACTTCTGCGCCCGCTTCGCAGGTGCGGAATGCCGGCGTCCCCGCTGTTACTAAAGAAGATTTTACTGATGAGATGGAACAACAGGTGGCCCCCATAACTTCAGATGCGGCTTTGAAGCGGAAGCGGATGGCGCAGCAAAATCAGCAGACCACTGTCCCGGAGAATAGGACGACCGGTGATTATCAGGAACAATCGAGGGAACAGTCGCCTCCTCACAAGCACCGGCGGACGGATCCCTTCGATGCTCTGTTGGAACCATTCTACTACAGCAAATCTCTCACGGATCCCATCGATACCGCGCGTGACAAGTGGAATCTGCTCCCGGCGTTCCTGAAGGTGAAGGGATTGGTCAAGCAGCACATCGATTCGTACAACTACTTCGTTGAAGTCCAGTTGAAGAAGATCGTCCAGGCGAGTTCGACAATTCGCAGCGATGTCGACCACCAGTTTTATATCAAGTTCACAGACATCTACGTGGGACGGCCCTGCCGTGCGGATGAGCCGCAAACCGAACCTGCGGGATTCGAGTCGACTGTGACGCCGAACGAGTGTCGACTTCGTGACATGACCTACGCCGCTCCCATTCTGGTTGATTTCGAATACGTGCGAGGGCGACAACGTGTTATGAGGAAAGGAGTGGCCATTGGCAGAATGCCAGTCATGTTGCGAAGCTCTAAATGTGTTCTGTCGAACAAGACGGCCTCCGAGATGCACGTGTTGAACGAGTGTCCGCTGGACCCTGGCGGCTATTTCATTGTGAACGGTACGGAGAAGGTTATCCTCGTTCAGGAGCAACTGAGCAAGAATCGTATCATTGTGGAGACGGATCCGAAGAAGGAGATCGTGCAGGCTTCCGTGACGAGTTCTTCCAACGAGCGCAAGTCCAAGAGTTACATCATTCTGAAGAAGGACAAGTTGTACGTGAAGCACAATGTGCTCAGTGAAGATATTCCTCTGGTAATCCTCCTGAAGGCTATGGGGATCCACTCCGACAAGGAGATGTTGCTTTTGGTGGCGGGTGTCGATACAGCCTACCAGGAAGACTTCGCCATCAACTTCGAGGAGGCCATCAAGCTTGGAATCTTCACCCAACAGCAAGCACTTCAGTGGATCGGCTCGCGGATCAAGATTAACCGCAAGCAGTCGTCGGCCTACAGCAGAACTCACGTCCAGGAAGCCGTCGAGGCTATCGCCTCCGTCATTATTTCTCACATCGAGGTGAAGGATCTGAACTTCCGACCAAAAGCCATTTACATCTGCCACATGGCTCGTCGTGTACTGATGGCAAAACATGACGCGAAGATGGTAGATGACCGTGATTATGTCGGTAACAAGAGACTTGAGCTGGCTGGCCAGCTTCTTGCTCTGCTCTTCGAGGACTTGTTCAAGAAATTCCAATTCGATATCAAGATGAATATCGATAAAGTCCTGAACAAGCGTGTCCGTGCAGAGGCTTTCGATGCGTGGAGCGTGGTGAGCATGCATGGCAATCACATTACACAGGGAATGAATCGTGCCATCTCGACCGGTAACTGGAGTTTGAAGCGTTTCCGTATGGAGCGTGCTGGTGTTACGCACGTTCTCAGTCGTCTGAGTTACATAGCCGCCCTCGGTATGATGACGCGTATATCCAGTCAGTTTGAGAAGACCAGAAAGGTCAGTGGTCCCAGAGCACTGCAACCGTCGCAGTTTGGAATGCTGTGTCCGTCAGACACCCCAGAAGGAGAAGCATGTGGTCTGGTCAAGAATCTTGCTCTCATGACACACATCACAACGAACGATGAGGAGGAACCTGTGCGCAAACTAGTCTTCATGCTTGGAGCGGAAGATATACTGACCATGAGTGGTCGGGAGCTTTATGGACATGGAGGCTATATTATCTCGATGAACGGTACGCCGATGGCGTTGACGAGACGACCGAAATACTTCCTGAATGCCTTCCGAAGGCTAAGACGCATGGGGCGTATTTCGGAGTTTGTGAGCATCTACATCAACCACCATCAGGCCGCAGTCCATATCGCCACCGACGATGGTCGTATTTGTAGACCCCTCATCGTCGTCGAGAACGGCAAGTCGCTTGTGAAGGCACATCATCTCAAGAAGCTTCGCGATGGAACTATGCAATTTGATGATTTCCTCGCCCAGGGTTTGGTAGAGTACCTGGATGTGAACGAGGAGAACGATTCAAATATTGCTTTGTATGAGAAGGACATCATCGACACTACGACACACCTTGAAATTGAGCCCTTCACGGTCCTAGGAGCAGTCGCCGGACTTATTCCTTACCCTCACCACAACCAGTCCCCCCGTAACACCTATCAATGTGCAATGGGTAAACAAGCCATTGGCGCCATTGCTTCGAACCAGTTTCTCCGTATCGATTCCCTTCTCTACCTCATGGTATATCCGCAGAAACCAATGGTCAAGACACGGACCATCGAGCTTGTCAAATACGACCAGCTCCCTGCTGGACAGAACGCCACAGTGGCTGTCATGAGTTACTCCGGTTACGATATTGAGGATGCCCTCGTCCTGAATAAGGGTTCCGTGGACAGAGGTTTCGGACGCTGCCAGGTCTTCCGGAAATACGCAACTAACCTCAAGAGCTACTCGAACGGTAGCAAGGATAAACTCACCGGTCCGCAATATGAGAATGACGCTCCGATCAGGAAGCACGCCCTTCTGGACAGTGACGGTTTGGCCGCTGTGGGGGAGCAGGTCAGCGCAGGTGAAGTGTACATCAACAAGGTCACTCCAGAGAATGCTCTCTCATCTGGCTTCGGGTCTGATGTCGGGAAGCCGGTCTCGTACCTCCCGGCTCCTATGACTTACAAGCTGCCCGACCCCAGCTACATCGACAAGGTCATGATCTCGGTGACTGAAGGAGAGAGTCAGCTCATTAAGGTCCAGACGAGACAGACTCGTCGTCCAGAAGTCGGTGATAAGTTCTCCTCCCGTCACGGTCAGAAGGGTGTTGTTGGTATTATCGCCGAACAAGCCGACATGCCTTTCACTGACAGTGGCATCGTCCCCGATATTATCATGAACCCTCATGGTTTCCCCTCGCGTATGACAGTCGGTAAGATGCTGGAGCTTGTGGCTGGAAAGGCCGGTGTCCTCTCTGGCCAGCACGGCTACGGTACTGCATTCGGCGGCTCCCCCGTCGAAGAAATGTCCGCTATCCTCGTCGACAAGGGATTCAGTTACGGTGGAAAAGAGTATCTTACTTCCGGTATCACCGGTGAAGCCCTCCCCTTCTACGTTTTCACCGGTCCCATCTACTACCAGAAACTGAAGCACATGGTTCAAGACAAGATGCACTCCCGTGCCCGCGGTCCTCGCGCTACCCTCACCCGCCAACCCACCGAAGGTCGATCCCGCGACGGTGGTCTCCGTCTCGGAGAGATGGAGCGTGACTGTCTGATCGCCTACGGTACCAGTCAACTCCTGCTCGAGCGTCTCATGATCTCATCTGATCGCCACGAAGTCGACGTGTGCGAACAGTGCGGTTTCATGGGCTACCTCAATTGGTGTCAGCGATGCAAGAGCTCCCGCGGCGTCGTGAAAATGGTCATCCCCTACGCGGCTAAGCTCCTCATCCAGGAACTGTTCAGTATGAACGTCACTGCGCGGTTGAAGCTGGAAGATGAATTCCCAGAGTCGAGAGGTCGATAAAGAAACACCACGGTGTTTATGTTTACGGGTTGTTGTCTCTGTTCATTTGATGTCGACTACGTCCGCAAAAGTCTGTCTGTACTCTTCATTTCTGTACTTCTACTCGTATTCAGCATCTGCATAGCGCGGGCGGTTCCTTTTTTTCTTTTTCTCAATCGGTTTGGTTTGTCCTTTTTGGTGAAAAGAAAAATGAAGCTTTACGCACTAGGTACCGATTAGCATAGCATAGCATGACATAGCATAGAATGGTATGATATTCATGGAATCCTGCTTTCATTTATATAGAGATCTAGTTGATCTCGATAGAACAAGGTATATGCGCATGGCTGAAAATCGTAAGTGACTTCCTACGTCGACTAACTGCAGTTATAGTTGTTAAACGACAACAGAATTGATTGCTATAATCCAATCTAGTTTTCCTATTAATAACTTCAACAAACAAAAAGTTGCCCGACCCCCCAACATACAGCACTAGACCACCACATGGTTGGAAGTAAAGGCCACATCCTGGTATTTCAAAAACTCAATCCGTTCCTTACGCTGCCTCTTGCGGAACTCATGAGCCTCCTCAATTGTGAAGGGGAACCGGTCCCGTCGATCAAGAACCTTATCCTGTTCCTCGATCGACATGTTACTGAGCGCACGCTGCAGGTTATCCGACCCATCAGTCCAGTCCAGACGCTGCGGAGGGACATTCGCAGTCGAGATGATGCGAATATTCGGGTCGACGAGGTAAAGACCCAGAATCTTGCGATATCCAGGCTTCGAGGGATCAATTAATCGGAGCGGTTCGATGCGATGCTGCAAGGTGCTGGGGTATGAGATCACACGGCCGACTTTGGTGCTCAATGATCCGACTTCTTGCACTAAAGGTGCGCCGTTGTCGAGTCCGAATACCTGCTTGAGCCAGACGCTATCACCTGGTTCGTATTTGATTTCGGAGATACTTCCTGTGTCTGTGGCCTGGCGGAATGTCATGCGGCCGCCTTGGACATTCTCTGAATCATAGTAATAGAGCGCTGATGCGCAGATGCGTTCGTTCTGAAACAATAGCTTGTTAGCTTGTCAAATGAAAAGAAAGCAAAGGGAAGGGAAGGAAGGGAAGGGTGACTGACCATCTGGCCCTCAACGTGGAATTCACTTGAGTATTCAGGACGTTCGGGAGAAAGTTCGATTTTCATGACCCTAACAAAAACCTGCAGTCCGCGTTCGCCATATTCCTCTTTGAGCCTGACTGGCTCCTCGATGCGAAGTGGATTGGGCTGGTCTTCCGGAAGGTGCTCTATCATGAACTTGGGAACGGCCCATGGTCGAAATTCTCCAACATCCGGCTGTTTGACCCGGTAATGCCGCATCTTCCATTCTTGGACGCGAGCTTCGTATTCGGCTTCTGTCTCACTGGGCTCCTTGACCGGACGGGATTCTTTCGCTTCCTCGGAGATAGGCTCGTATTCCACTTTGTGATATTCGACCCGGGCCCTCGAATGGAGCATATCCTTTACTGGTGTCAAGGTCATCTCCCAAAGCCCCGCGACTCTGTCTATTATTTCATCAAGGACTCCGTAAAGCTCCTTGAACTTCACCGGGTGGAGATTATTGACGTAGCTGGCCAGATGCCATTTCCCATCTGTCCCCAGCTGAACCTCTGAGGGAAGCATTTGGAAATCGGTGCTGAATGGTTTCACATTAATGTCAGACCGAGAGTAGATCCTCCACACCATATCTTCTCGAGTGATCCCGGGGTCGTCTGGTTTCGGAATGACCTCGCCCTGTCCGATATGTTCAAGTGCGTCGTCTATACCGATTACCTTATCCTTTAGGACTCGGCTCCGTCCGAAGATCAAAGGAAACAGAGTCGGCTGGACCAAGTCGAGCTCCGTTCCCCCCGAGTCGGGTGTGTATGCATTCAAGTGCTGCTGGGGATCTTCGAGCCCTTTACTAGTTTCCAACAGTCTATTTCTGAGGGCAGGGTCTATAATGTCGTCCGACTTAGTCACGTCACCGTTGTAGAAGCCGATTGCTTTAGAGCGCTCGTAAATTTTGGCTTTGAACCTCAACTCCTCAATGATCCAGTCGGCCATAAGAGGAGTGATCTCGATTGAAGAGTCCATTATTTCTTTCTTCCATCTATTGGCTATGACATCGTCATAGACCTGATACGGAGTTAGACGTGACAAGTACAAGCGAAGGAGGTAGTTTTTATATGTATGAGGATAAATTGATTGAGAAGGAGAGACTTGTAGACCAAATATAAGATCAACTTACCTTGACATGCCATTGTTCGTTTTCTGTAAGGTTCTCCATGGCTTTCATCATCTCAATCTCCCTAAGTGGGAGAAGAGGCTGACTGTAGATATTACTCTTAGCTGAGTTGCTCACAAATAAGAGAGGATGTGGGGAAAGCTTCTTACTTGATATAACCATTCCCAATGTCTCTATCGTCAAGGGCGGTGGGAAACAATGATTTGACTTCGACCCCATAAAGATTCTTCGCTTTTGGTACATAGTCCAAAGGCAGGCCGTACCCCGGAAGCTTTGTTCGCACTTCTTTCTGCTTCGGGAGCTTAAAGGTCTCTACTCTAGGGACCTGTTGGAACGACATGTCTGTAAGTCTGCGCACGATTAGCGTTCATCATCACACAATGTCTACCAGCACGCGAGAAATCCAAAGTATGAGAGAGAGAGAGGGGGGGGGGGGGGGGGGGGGGGGGGGGTTGCATGACCCTATTATTCAATAGCACATTGCATATAGATGATAGCGCAACAGATATCGACTGAAATACACGGGGACAGTACCTTATGACCCGAGTGCCTTTCTCTCAACCATCCAGGAAGCTCGTAATTAAGTCTTTCGAAGCACAGTTACACGCACTAGGATTTTCCTAGCGTGAGAGGTCTGGACTATTAATGAACGATGTGAATCTCTCCGCCGCGGTGAACTTGCCGGGAAGTAAGCGATCGCTATCGGAAAATGAGATCTGTTTTTGAAGGACAATATGACTAGTCATGTATCTGCAGTTTCAGCCAAACCCATCTATCGACGTAGATATGGTTCTCAGTTCAGTTCAGCTGCTGCATTTCTCAGGAATCAAAGCTCCTGTTGCAACTGCTCAGTGGCGGGCCTCGCTCTGTATACCAAAGCGTGACCACTCTTCCGCGTCACTCTTACTATCAAAATATGTCAGCTGCGTGTGTATTAACCTGGGACTGGTGCTGAAAGGCTATTGATGTTCCAGCTCATTAGAGCCATCGGTTTTTATATCCGTGACCTTTCGACATCTGATATTTTAGAAACAATTGGTGTGGAATAAACGAGATGTATTCGCCAAGCGTTGATGTCATGTCTTGAATAACTAGTGGGAAACGAGAAGAGCTGGGATTTCTGACGGTTTCCGTGGTTCAGCGAAAGCTTTATGTACACAGACTTGGCTCATATTATATGCCACAGCACACGCAGGATAGATAGCAATCAAGTCCCGGAATGGACTCGAAAGGATGTGCTTAAAGGGGGACATTTTATGATAGAACGTGCTGCTTCGAGGACATGGGAAATTGCAGGGGTGCCCTACAGGTCAAAGTCAGGCAATATGTTCTTGGACATGCGATAAGCCTTTGGCGTTCCGTGTGATGCGAACCTTTGAAAACAATCTAGAATACCTATGTAGTAGTTATAACAACTCTTGAACCTTGGAATTCCGCACTGATATGCCGTCATCTTGGAAACGCACAAACTCAGACAAGTATGACATGATCCGACCCAGTGAGAGCAAATGGGACTACCAGGCGTAGAACATTCCACTAGTATCATGATTCGTTTCCGACTTTGTTGCTGAGAACGAAGGTAGAATTCTCTGTGAGGGAAGGAAGGTTTCAGGGTTGTATTATGGCAACATCAAGCGGTGGCGCATTTCTGACAATGTTTTGAGAGTTCAAATCTATCCACAAGAAGAATAAGCAATTTATACTGCAGGTTTAACGAATCTAAAACAAAAGAGACGATGTCTCTACCTCTGCACTTGGCATAGTCAGAAAAGCATTAGTCCACCCAGTCCACAGATGTTTTAAGTATGTATGTACACTGAAGAGCGTATGTACATGGACTTCACTTATGTTCCGTCCTGTCACTGGACTAACTCCTCTTTTGATTTTTCAGATTCACCATCCACACTGTACCGCAAGTATCTCTCAATAATGACCCAGTACTTCTGAGGGTCTGTCCGCATGTGCGCCACGTGGGCGCTGCCATGGAATTTGGCCCTCTCAACAATCCAGCCACTTGCCTCAGCTTCGCTGGCATGTTCCTCCACGTCCGATGACTTGATTAATTCATCTTCATCCGAATATATATAGCATCTTCGCTTGATATCCCCTGAGACGCCAAAAAGGCTTGCGTCGTTGAGTGCCTGGCGTGTTAACTCGATAACGTCTGGCTGTCGGAAGACTTTGTTAAGAAACCAGTTGCCAATCAGAAAGGCATAGACGATGCTCAGACAGAGGCGATGCAGAATGGGGTGCTTTGGCAGAGCATAGGACAATGCCTTGGCACTTGTGCGGATAGTGGCTCTCCCAGGCGCGCTGTCGATGACCATCGAAGGGACGATCAGGGATGAACCTGTCACTTGACGGTATGTCTTGACCAGGTGCGTCGCGGCCAAGCTTCCTCCATTGGAGAAGATGTGTAGAAATACAGGTTCGCGTGGGGATGCGGTGTTGCGGACAGCCTCAACGACAGGCATCAAACGCGAGCGCTGGCGAGCCTCGCGCAAAAAGATATGAGAAGAAGTGTTGAGGATGAAAATAATCCGCGAGTTTGGCGCAAGACGAGCGTATTCCTTGACGAATTTGATAAAAGCTCGGGGAGGAGCATTCATCCAAGAAGACAGCACAATAGTGGATGGAATAGCACTATCACTCCCCAATGTGCCCGTCGGTTCTTTGATGTAGATCGACGAGGAAAGGCGTACAAATTCCGATAAAGGATTTTCAGCAGTTGCTTTGGTCGCCATTTGTGTGAGACCGGGTTCAAGACCAGTCAAGAGCAAAATTAAGGTGTCTGGCTGGTGGCGCTGTCGATTACTCAAGCTGGCTCAGGCTCTGATGAACTGAGCTACAAGTGGTATCTTTATCCAAATAAGTACATGAGCAGTCAACTGAGGATTGAAGAGAAGCAAAATGCGGACGAAGGAACCGACACAGCAACAATTCAAAGGGTAATGGCTTTGATTTTCGGATTTCTCGAACAATGAAACTCCAGAGAAACATGTGTTAGTCCATTTCGCTGCGAGTATCCATACTTTTTCGTCAATGGAATCCCTGATGCGACTGTCATCTTATCGGGACCATTAATGAAGCCACCAAACCGCTCGGGATATTATTGATTAAGCCGCAAACGGTTCAGGGGATCTCCAATAATAATACGTGCGTAAGTACTTTAACCTCGGCCCCACGTGACTACTGAGAGCCCGTTAATTGTACCCCGGATTTGGAGCGCCACAGATACCGTGGGAATTTGTTTATCTGTACTACCATAAGATTGTTCATGAATTAAATACCATGGAATCGGCGTATAGTTCATGTTTCGAGTCTTAGAGCTCTGGTAGTCCTCCTAGCCAATAATCTGTCTGGACAAAGATCGCCAATTCTCGGAAGAGTTTGGGGCCATTTCCGATGACCGGATAAAGTAAAAAAATAAGTAAACGTCAAATCCTATGAATTAATCCTGTTCACTAGTCAAGTTTAAAATAGTTAATGTATTACAGTTATAAATATACAACAAGCCTAACCAATTATAAAACCCTGCGAAGGAAGAAAGGAAATATGTACAGTACATACCCAGATAAAAGCCAAAAAAAAACTCCCACCAACATTCCAATAAAACATAACGTAACAATCCCATCCCATTTCTTCATTCAATTAATTTGATGCTTCGCCATTTCAACATCTACAAGCTGCACAGAACTCCTCGATTCGCCCCGCTCATCGCTATAATCAACTGTATATGAGATCTTCTGTGAAATGCGGCTGGTTTCATTTAGATGTCGCGTTTGTCTGGGCCGGCACGGCTGCGATTGATAACTTGAAACATGGCCGGTTGTGAACTGGAATACACCAGGGAAGATGTGTGCGATGAAGACTCGAGTTGCAGGTAGACAGGCACAGATTATGGCGACTTGGCATTCGATTACGGACCAGTGGTTGAGGGCTTGCATGTCCCCTGGAAGAGTTGAGTTAGCTTTGCTGTACTGGCTTTTTCTTTTTCTGCGTTTTGGCGGATGCACTTACATGTGGGATTTGCAGATGAACTATTGTAGGAGAAGACAATCACACGGATAACCCCGATGGCAGCCAACCTATCGATCCAACGAAGTAAATACAAGTGATGCAAAAATATAGCAGGGTTTATACTCACACCAAGCCAATAGCAAACATAAAAGCGACACCTATCTTTTTGCGAAAAGACAAGGTCAACTTCATGATTTCGTAGACAGGCATAATCACCATGATCGTGTCGACTGCGATGTTGACAAAGCCATTGGCGAAGGTCGCGGCGTTGAAGTCGATGCATTTCCCTTGTTCTGGGTATTGCCAGCCCGTCCATGCTAAATGAACGGGAACGCAGTGGAAAGCATCCACTATGATCCAACTGATAGCGACAGCAGAGTTAATTCCAATCATAGTGTACGCGGTGTAGCGGAATATGTTGGACTGGAAGATTCGTAGTAGGAACAGGCAGACGGAAATCTTAGCGAGAGATATGAGGCCTTTGTATGCTAGGATGAAGACGTAGAAATACTTGAGTGAAATAAGTCAGCATAGTGGTTCTTTCAAGATATTGAAGAGACAAACGGACCTTGTATGCTTTGGTGATATTGTCTAGTGGGAAAATGTCCCATATATTCATACCGAAGCCATAACGGACCACTGGAATTGATCAATTATCAACCACGCAATATCGGTCCTTTCATAATCCTTACTTGAAATATTTAGTGAGAATACCACTATTGCCAATGCCTGTATACTCTAGTTAGTGGAATGTTAAAAGCGGGTTATACCAGAACAAGGATACTTCTCACATATGAAGCAACAATAGTGAAGTCATCAGGACCCCAGCCACCTCCCAGACGCATGGATTTGGCAGTGATCCTGATCATGACGAGAACAGTGGCGAATACGAACGGTATAATCGTGCCAGCATCTGCTACAGCATAGCGCCGGCGGATAGGGATGTTGCATTGGCGGGACTCCACAAATTTGGCCGCTGGCAATGATTTGGTTAGGATATCAGAACTGCTGGTAATGATCGTAGTGATGAATTACTTACTTAACGCTTCTCGAACGGAACAGCTCACCATGGCACAGTCGGCAAGAGCAGTTTGATATTGGGTATCAGAGCAGAGACATGTCGTGTCGGTGGTCGAGCATGAAGATGTGTGATTAACGAGCACTTGTTGCTTGCACGCAAGCTACTATATCATCAGACGGAGTCTAAACAACCAAAGAGAGGCAGAAGGAAACGCATACAGCGCACCGAGGCAGGGCTGGTAGTTTCGAATCTGATTCTCCAGCGACACGCACGACTGGTAGGGTCGTCGCGATGAGGACTATTATGCGAAACAGATGCATTATGGGCCATGCGTATCTAGGAAGTCAACCGACGATTGTCGTCGGAATCGTAATGAGCATCAATTGTACGAGGTATATTCGACTATAGCGAAATAAGGACATCTGAATAACACTGGGACGGATGCTCCCGAGGAGAAGGCTGATACGCCATATATCTCCCCCATCGACAGTTCATACGAGCTAAGAGCACGCACTGTTACCTATGCGGCTTCTGTGAGAGTATACTCACAAGATCGTTTTCCCGTGTGCTAGGTACATGAATCGCGATTCCGCCATCGCAGATCCCACGATACCGTTTCTGACCACGTCCATGCTACATCTGGCTGTGGAGTATCGCGCAGGATCCTTCAGGTCGGGTCCTAGATACTGGAGATCGACACTCTATTGGAACTTAAAGAAAAGATCCAACAGTTCTCCGCACCTGAGCGATGATTAGATCTTCAGGGGGTCGAATCCCTCGGGGGCATAGGCCTCGGTAGGCGATCTACCATAAACAATAGTGTTGATCGTTAAAGTTCAACCTCGGGCACCGGCCACGCCACGCGAGCCCACTAACGGGAGAGGGCCTGAACTACATGAGGATCTTTCAGCTAACGTGTTCGCCTGGTAGATTATGTCTCTAATGGGTTCCATGATCCATCAACCTGTACTCCGTATCTCGTGTCCTTCGGGATGGATATGAAGGCATGCGGGCCCAATACAGAACATTATTGGTAAAAACAGTGAAACAACTCTCTGGTTAACTTCGACTGTATAGTTAGACGATAACGGTCTCGCAGTAGCTTATCCATGTAACTAGACTATTTTGCAGCTGTCTGCTTAGGGAAGGTCATGTCACCAATCTTCGTTCAGCAGGCCAAAGAGCCCATCTCAATGAACAGGTCCCCGAATGGTCTGGGTGATATCCATACGAAGAAACTCCGCTTGAAGAGTCTGGTGATTATCAAACCGCTTAGATATTTGATGATCGGAGGAGATACAAATTAGACTAGCACGGTTAAATAGTCGAACTGGTTTCTTCTACAGCAGTATGCGTTTTCTCCACCCGGCTTATTTCATCTTGATAGACCCGAAGGACATGGTAAGTTGCCGAGGCAAATAATTACAGAAAAGGATTTGATCCCATAGGTACTTATTTGTTAGCTCTTTTGTGAACTTAAGTATTTCATTTATGCACGATTTAGTTGGATTATACTGTGCACCCCAGTTAACGCCATTACACTTGTGTGGATCAGGGAATATTCCCACTTTAACCCTGTTATTCATTCCTATAGGTGAACAAGGTAATATATTAACTAGGCACCTGCATAACGAACGACCGATTCATATCTCACAAATCAATCTGACAGAAAGGTTTTCATTAACAAGAAAGAAGTTAAAGACTCCCTACTTAGCCAAGTAATCTGACAAAGTCCTCCCACACCTTCTCTACGACGAGCTCCAACTATAGGAATAAATAGTCTGTCTAAGCTTACCACAGAATCCCAAGCATTATGCAGCGTTAGCCTGCCAAGAGTATATATATACATATATATTACTCGCCTTTAAATAAACTATAGACAGTTCGTTACCATTTGGACTTTTATCGCTCCTGTTTACATTATCGTGGGCTCGCTTACATTGCCCATATGAATGGAATATACCCATAGGAATGGAATATAGTGTCGATCGATATTATCCTCAAGTCAGATCTGGGGCATATGAATTCCAATAGTTCTTTGGTTTCACTGAGGCGATTTTCGATGAGGAGTGCAGTGTGGTAGTGTCACTTGATAGATAGACCAAGTGGAGAAATGGCAAACAGAGATACCATAGACCCGAATATCTCTAAGGAAGATTAGACCGAATTTATTCAACGAAGACGTATGAAACCTAGCTGCTAATCCTAGAGAATTACCATAACGCCAATGATTTCAGTTTGCGTATGCTTTTTCTTCCCTTCGCGGACTGATTTTTCAGAATATTTATTTACTATCCGATCTACTCTAAGATATTTCACTCGCCCTAGAATTCCTGAGAAACTCTTTAGTCAAGGGCCTGCAGCACAAGACAACAATCTCAGCAGCTAAGTATGCAATGCAGACAGCTATCCAGCGCATCATGATTTAACATACGACGACACAGTTTATATAATGCATTTGAAAACAGTAGTTATGGCCCACAAAGATAGATAGAGGACTCGAGCATACGATAACCTAGACAGTCCTGAGATCACGACTATGACGGTTCAAAGAGCGGTATCTTTAGCTATGAGCTCGTTTCATATTGTAGGTCCTGTATCTAGGCTGGAGGATCTTACCTAGCACTAGATATACTTACTTAGTTGTTTCAGGTGAAAGAACGAGAAAGAGAGAGATAAAAAAAAACCAATACAAATAGACAATATTATATTATTATAACAGGTTATTATAATCCACAGCCCCTTTCGAGCCATATATTATAATATACTCCGATAGCAATAGAGAAAGAAATAAGCATAGAGGTAAAACCTCCGATATCGAATGTCAGGCTTTACTTCCGACTTCCGCATCGGAGCAAAACGACTCAAGTCCGAATCCGGACGGGTATTATTTTGAGACTCGATTATTTATCCACATTTATACTATTTGCTCTGTAAGCTCAACAATGAATTATAACTTAACGAAGTTATTGCTTTTTATTCGTTATGGAAAGCAACTGTTATCTTTGAAACAATTCTATCTTTTGCATTTCGAGTGTGTTTAGTTACAAAAATACTTCATGTTTACTATAGTGATGTAACAGCGTATGATAGTATTCGCATAATAGTCGGCTAACTGGCATGTTTGAACATGTAGATACTGCATAATACTCTATACCATAATAATACGTCTAACACGAGAGAACTCAACAATGAAAGGTTTGGCGTAATCAGCTTTTGTGCAAATCGGTTCCTTATTAATATTCTGTCCCGACTCCTACAATTCGTACCGGTCAAGACGGCAAAAGATCTACCCGGCAATACTCGCTTCCAACATGGAAAAAGGCATCTCAACCCTCTTCTAATGCTTCGCGGTGACTTTGTCGCCAGTCAGTTTTTCGACTGCTTCCTTGGCCCTGCTCGGTTCAAAGGAGATCCACATGTCAGCGATTTCGGATACCTCGGTTGTCACATGACCAATAATAAAGAGTACAACACCGCGTGGGTGCTGATCAACGGACGAAAGGGAAAAGGGAAAGAAAAAGAAAAGACAACTTACATGTCACCCAGAGCAACCATGCACACAGTCTGCCAGATACCCAGGCCGATTCGAGGAGTGACTCCCCGGTATAGACCCTTCAGACCGTTGCTCTCGTAGATGTACTTCAGGGTCTTGCCGACGGTCAGGTTCTTGGGGCGGTTGGGATCTTCCTTCTTGCTCTGCATCTCCACACGGATGACCTCGATCGGCTGGTTCCAGGCGGACAGACCACCTCCCAGACCCGACGCGAGGATCTTCTCGAACGCATTGAGATTCTGCTTCTCGTCCTTGCCAGTGACGTTGCGGATAGCGGTCTCCGCCAGACGGGACAGACCGAAGCGGGAACCCCAGTTGGTCGTCTGACGGATGGCCACAGCGTTGACACCACGGTTGATACCGCGGATACCTTCCTTGCGGTAGATGTCCATAAACGTAGCAAAAGTGCTGGGGGGCTTGACACCCGCCGCAGCCATCTTGTGCTTGGTGATCTCGACCGTCTTCATGCAGGTGCAGAAACCCATGGTGGCATACGCCTGGGCGACACCACCGGTCATACCGGCCGAGATACCAGCGACGAAGTCGCCAGCGCCAAACGTCTTTGCGACGTATTCCGCCTCGGACGCGACGAACAGCAGAACGGCGCCCTTGGTGGAGGCCTCAATCCAGGCCCAGGGAATGAGACCTTGGTAAACTGTTCGATTGCATTTCGTGATTAGTGATCAGCAGCTCCATACGGCAGGAGAGGGGCGCCCTTACAGCCGAAGATCCCGCCACGACCCCAAATCCGACCGATGGCCGTCGCAAAGCTGTCCTGACGGTTGGCGGCCATGGTTGTCTTGATCACTTCCAGCGGCTATTATCACGAGTCAGCGGAGTGCGCATGATGACTTGTATTATTGTAATTATTGAGGTGAGGGTGGCCTGTACCTGACCCAGCGAGGTAACCCTAGATTCCGGTCAGCTTGAATTCAGGATTCGAGTGGATTTCAGGACAACAAAACGTACTCGAACAGGTTCAATCCCGCACCCACTGCGCATCGACGTTAGAAACATTGTCCATCTCCCTCCTGCAGTAAGATCCTGCATTGCGGCAGGCGATGTACTCACGCAGCAGATTGCTGAACTTGACGGGCTTCTTCTCGATCTTGTGGCCGGAGGCGGCCTGAGCGGTAGCGGCGGACATCTCTGGATACTGGGAACGCTGAAAGGGGCCCTGACCAAGGGATGTAGGGGGCTTCGTCGCTTTATGGGATTCGGGAGATCGGAGAACGGTGACGGCTAAGGACCAGCAGCAGGGCCAGTGGAATCGGCTATGGATCCAAGGGGAGGAGCTAGGAGGGCTGGGGGAGGAGGATGGAAACGACGATAGACGGAGGGAGAGAAGTCAGCGACACCGGATAGATAGATAGATAGATAGATGAAAGAAAGAAAGGAAGAGAGAAAGACCAGCAGAGCAGAGCAGGGAGAGCGACGAGGACCTTATTATTAGTGAATTCACTAATAGATAGACTGGCATACAATAATGCTGGGGGAGCAGAGCTGAGGCCCCCCGGACTGCTAAGACTAACTAACTCGGCCGGGTAACTAAGCTGGAGCCCCCAATCTTGCAATCTGCACGACCCGACGCTAGTCCCAACAGGGATAGATACACGCTAGCCTGCTTTGGGCCGGACGGTGAGGCGCCGAGGCAGCTCCGTTGGGCGACGGGCAGTTCAGCGTCCCCAACAGGACAAGCATTCGCGTTGAGACCATATCTATTATTCAACGCCCTGGCCGTCTCGAGAGGAACTGATGGGGAGTCAATTCCTCCGTGCTCGTACGGCGATCGAGACTGTCGAGTTGACTCACTAATTACCCTACTCGAGTCATCTCAGACTAGTCTTGGCTGAGGGACAAGCAATGCTTACGTCTCCCATCGCAACATACCTACATACTAACTACTACGTAGGATCACGCAAAACAAAACAACACCGCAACGACACACATGGCCCGCTTGAACTAGTCAAGTTTCATTAAACGTAATCGAACAAAACGGCAGATCCAGCGCTGCCCGGTCCACTAAATAAGAATCAAAGGAGAAGCATCATCCTGCCCGTCATGGCGCCGGACCTGGTTCCCCACACAAGCTACCTATACACTATTTTTTTTACAGCTGGGCGCCAACAAGCTTGGCGTAGGCGTCAGTGCTGAACGACTTCGGGCGCTCAATGGGGGCACCAAGAGCACGGTCGATGATCAGCTGGGGCAGGACTCCCAGAGCACGGGAGACACCGAACAGGACGGTGTAGTAGTTGGCCTCGGTGAGACCGTAGTACTGGAGCAGGACACCAGAGTGCTGCAGTCAACGTCAGTAAGAGTGGTCCAACAGTGCAACGTCAAGGGGGATCACGTACAGCGTCAACGTTGGGGTAGGGGTTCTTGGTCTTGCCGTGCTCGGTCAGGACGCCAGGAGCGATCTTGTAGACCTGGCTGACCAGCTTGAACATGGGGTCATCGGGCAGCTTGCGGAGAGCAAACTCGCGCTGGGAAGTGTAACGCGGGTCAGTCTTGCGGAGGACGGCGTGGCCGTATCCGGGAACGACCTGGCCGGCGTTCAGGGTCGACCACAGGTAGTTGCGGATGGCATCGTCGCTGAGGTCGTTGCCAATGGCCTTCTTCATCTTGGTGAGCCAGTTGAGCACCTCCTGGTTGGCCCTGTAGAACTCGTTAGCGCAATTCGCAAATTGGTAGATGGCGACAGATCCTTACAGTCCGTGGAGAGGACCAGCCAGACCGTTGAGACCGGCGGCCAGAGAGAGCATGGGGGAGCTCAGAGCGCTACCAACCAGGTGGGTGGTGTGGGCGCTGACGTTACCACCCTCGTGGTCGGAGTGGATGGTCAGGTACAGACGCATGAGCTCGACGAAGTCCTTGTTGTCGCCGAATCCGAGCTGGTTGGCCAGGTTGAAGGCGTAGTCCTTGTCCTTCTGGACAGGAGCGACCTTGCCGTCCTTGAAGACGTTGCGGTAGATGCGGGCGGCGATGGTGGGCAGCTTGGCAATCAGGTCCATCGAGTCCTCGAAGGTGTAGCCCCAGTATTCCTTCTTGTTGATACCCTTGGCGTAGGCCTTGGCGAAGGAGGACTCGTGCTCGAGAGCAGTGACAGCCAGAGAGAACTGGGCCATGGGGTGGAGGTCGCTGGGGCAGCGGTCGATGAGCTCCTCAATGAACTTGGGGACATCGGAACGAGCAGCCCACTCAGCGGACAGCTCGCGGACTTGCTGCTCGCTGGGGATCTCGCCGGTCAGCAGAAGCCAGAAGAGACCTGGGTCCATTAGTCATGTCTGATGTGATGTATTCTCTTTTTTTCTGTCGCCTACCTTCGGGGAGGGGCTCCTCTCCACCGGGGGCCTTAGGCAGGAGCTTCTGGCACTCAGGGATCTGGAATTGCGTTAGTAAAAATGCCGGCATTCAATTCTTTGGTGTTGTGCTACTCACGGTCTTGCCACGGAATCGGATACCCTCCTCGGAGTCCAGGACGGAACCCTAACATTGAACGTTAGCTCTCGCCCAGACGAATGCGCCTGGAAAATCAATCACCCACCTCCCAGACGAGGCACTTGATGCCACGGGCACCACCGTAGGCCTGGTCGAGAGTGACCTCTCCAATGACCTTGTTGCCGTACTCCCTATGATTCGACCATCAGTTTCTGTTCAACATCGGGCGGAGTAAGGGGAGAAAAGAAGAAGGGTACACACTTGCGGAGCTTCTTGACCTTCTCAATCTCACCAGGGATCTTGTCGGCGAAGGTTTCCTTCAGGGACTGTGGCATTGACGGTCAGAATCAGTTCCTACCACGAGGTGGACACGATTTGGAGGGACTACATACCTTGGCCTTGCCGGAAGAGTAGCAGCGCAAGCCATTGAAGGCCGCAGACTGCACCGCGGGCTTCCCAGCAAGGGAAGTCGAGCGGAGGGCAGAAGTCGTTAGTCTGAGAGAGGAAGCCATATCTGCTTACTCAAAAGCTTGAGAGGAGACAGGAAGGTTGGATATACTGTGGAAGAGGAGAGATGGGGTATGAAAGGGAGAAGAGTTGAGAAGAAAAGAGAAGAGATGACGGGCGAAGCTGTTGCTTTTGCGGCCCTTTTTTCCCTCTGGCCGTAACTTTTGCAACGGTACAGCTGTACGATGATACACACGCGCAGGCGCTAAACGCTAGGGGGGCGGGCGCAGAAAGGCGTTCGGTACGGTAACGCGGGAGTGTCGTAACGTCCCCGGGAAACCGGGCATCTCGGCGCAAACACATCGCAATCCACGGATAGCCTAAGTCGAGCATTTGTGCCCTTGCCCACTCCGACCCTCACTTATCCGCCAAAACCCGCGTGCTGACTTGCTCGGTGCTTAAAAAGACCCTCTTGCTGATTTGAGAAGAAAAAAAAGCACCCAGAGACGTTGCGGCGGAATAATCAAAGGGACGTGCATTCGACAAGATCAGGACAGCTGGAGCTCCCATAACAGGCTAGCGGTATTCTTCTGTATTATATGTACTGGCCGTACCGGTCACATACCATTAAAAATACCATTAGGTATTATGCATTATTATTCTGGACAGCCGCAAGTTGCAACAGTGACGTCGCCTGGCGATGCACCGCAGCGTAATACGGAGGCCGTACTGCCAGTACAGGGACATACTGGGACGTGCCGAAAGCCGCGAAGGCTGGCCGTCCGGAGCGTTAGCCGTCTCCGTGTTCCGTCGCTGGTCTCGTGGCCGTTGCGACCCTTGAGAGTCGACGAATGCTTCCTTTCTGCCGAGATCGCTTTACCGAGAACCTCGTCTATCCACCTGGTTGTGCTCTAATGCCTCTATACAGCCTCAGATGCATCTCATCTGGCACCAGACAGCCAATTATGCCCTCCAATCTGCCCTATGGACCGACCACAAGGTTAAGGCCATGTCCCCGAACCCTCCCCCACGAGGTGGTAGCTCCCCATACTCCGTAGTCTTCTCCGTGTTTCCCGTAGATAGAGTAGTTTCAGGAGTAAATGTGGATATCATCTTGGTCGGGGAATTATTTCCGTACAAATGCGACATATCTACTGATGAAATAAAGCAGTAACTCAGTGCCTGTATATCTAGATAGCGCTCAACTAGTTAACAATAATGAACGAGAGTATGCATCAGCCATCCATATATGGCCTGAGGCATACAGGCACCCATACCTCAGGTCACGTTTGATCACCTGATGAATAGCTACCGCATGCGGTTAGCCCTGGGCACGGCAGTTTCTGCTCGCCCAAAACTCCTGCCAACCTCCTGGCTCACTCTCCCTTTCTTCCTTCTTCCATCAACATCACCTCCCGTCCATCGTCCATCGTCCATCGACTTGCTCATCGCCAGGACGAGTCGTACGTTATAACGATATTCTCTCTTTTCCCTTTCTTCATCTTCGCAGCTGTTTTGAACTGTACTCGTACTCGATCGCCACGCGACTGCCTGAATCGTCGCTTGGCTTGTTTTTTTCCCGGCTGTAGGTGCGCGAACCGCGATCGCAGAGTGTGCGCTGGTTAGAGTCCGTAGTGACGCGACTGTCGCACTCAAAAAGGAAACACAAGGAGATTCTCCTACACAAAGAATCGGAAATTTTATCAGTTTTCCTCATCTAGACGCCAGATTACTACTGTTCAATTCGCCTTTTGCTGGCTATCGCTTCCAGTAGACCCGAACTGTGGACCTGTGCAAATTCATCGCTGGGACGGAAGGTACACAACCGAGAAACAAGATCTTATTATACGGACTGGTGTCGACTTCTATCCACACCGACCCGCCATGTCTTCTGCCGTAGCAGAGCTGGATGGCTATCTCCAGTCCATGCTTGCTCTTAAACCCCCAGGTGTATCAGGATCCAAGATCAACAGCATCACTTCGCTCTGTACAGCCAACGTTCAGGTATGTGCCTATCAATTTTATCTCTGCCGTCTTATGATGTGTTGACGGGACACCCATGCTAACTTCATCCTTGTTCGCAGTCCGAGTCTGTTCTCATCCAGAAGATCTACACGCACTTCAAGAGGGCACCGGGAACACACAAGTTGGGCGTACTCTATGTCGTAGACTCCGTAACTCGACAGTGGGTAGAAGCAGCGCGCAAGGCGGGCCAGCCCTCCGGTAGTGCAGCTCCCGATGGAACCTTCGCCGCTGGCGTTAACAGAGTGACCGAACTGTTACCCGTTCTGATGACAGATATCATAAACAATGCTCCTGAAGATCAAAAGGTACGCTCTAGAAAAGACCACAAAGATAATCATCAAGAATACCAGAGACCGTTGCGGGCAATAGCGGCCGATGAGATGCGGTTGGCTCGTAGAGCCCCGTTAATCACCTATAAGATCGGATCTCCGTATTTCCCGCTGCTGGTCCCTTATACTTCCCACTTAGACGTGTCTTGTTGCCGTCCAGGCGCTTCTTCCGCTATCTGTGACCGAATAGTCCAACTTACGTATCATGTGCTGTCGTGTTTAGGAAAAAATCAAGAAGCTGGTGGATATCTGGGAGCGTGGCTACACCTTCCCTGCACCGATGCTTGCTTCGTTCAAAGAGAAATTAAACGCTCCCCCGTCTCACAGTAAGCTCCCCTCAAACTTACTGATCTGTATCTCTGTCCGACCAGTATTAAATACCGTCGGCGGTCAAGCTTGTGTTGGACAACGTGATTCTAATACTATTTCTGCTTCTGTTCTAGACGTTGAATCTACCACCCCCGATGGCTCCCCCGCACCAGGCCATATCCCCTTTGGCGCCCCCCAGCAGCAGCAGCAGCAGCAGAACGGCGTTGCTACTTCGACTCCTGCCCCGGATACCTCGAGCATACTGAAGGCTCTTGCAGACATGGCGAAACAGAGCACCCCCGCCCCGACCGCCCCGAGCGTGCCGGCACAGAGTAATTCTCTATTAAGTACACAGACTGCAGCTGCGCCGCCGGTGACCTCGTCCGTAGACCAGGCTTCGCAACCACCGAACGGGCAGGCTGCCGTAAACCCTTATGCAGGAAATCTAGCGACGCCGTTTGCGGCCCTGGGTAATGTCGCTCAGAACCAAGGCCTGGTCTCTCAGAGTCAGACTCCCAACCCGTTAGCTGCTCCTCAGAACCCGCTGGCAGCGCTGCTCCCCCAGGCCACAGCGGCCCCCGCGGCACCGGCCATCGCGCCAGAGGCGCTCCAGCAGGTGCAGCTGCTCCAGCTCCTGGCGGCCCAGGGAATCCCGCAGGAGCAGTGGGCGACCGCACTGCAAATCCTTAGTCTGTCCAACAGCGCCAACACCGGTATGGCCAACATGGCCGCCGGCCAGATGCCGGGTTATATGCAGCCGCCAGGCCAAAACGTGAATGCCTGGGGCGCCCGCACCGACGTGCCATCACGTGACATGGACCGGGACCGCGAGAGGGAACGTGACTACATGCGCTCTCCGCCCGGCGGATATCGTCGTCGCTCCCGCTCTCCCGGCTGGGATCGACGCCGCGATGTCTCTCCTCCGCGCCGTCGCGACAGCCCCGTATATGGCGAGTACAACGGAGACTCCCCTGGTCGTAGAGGCGGGGATCCCCGCGACGCTCGCCGTCGGCCCAATGACTATCGCCAGCGCAGCCCTGCCGGTCGAAGACGCCGTACGCCCACGCCTCCCCGTAAGGACCCGACTTTGCCCCCTCCTGGACCCAAGTTTGTCGAGTGGGATTACTCGATAGGCCAGGGTAACATCAAAGGTTCGTTCTCGCCGATGCTCAGATATACATCCGGTTACTTACACTTTCTGTAACAGTGCTCAGCCGTACCCTTTTCGTTGGTGGTGTCACGTAAGTTGCTCTTCCCCCAAAACTTCTCTCAACCCTGCTCTTTTGTTAACATCTTCATAGTTCTTCTGAGGCCCACCTGCGCTCTCTTTTCAACAAGTTTGGTGTTGTCCAGACTTGCATTGTCAACGTCGACAAGCGCCATGCCTTCGTCAAGATGATCAACCGTCAGGATGCTGTGAATGCCCGCGAGGGTATGGAGCAGTACAAGTCCGGCGACATGCAGCTCAGGGTACGTGATTTAACAATATTTTTTATTGAAGAAATGTACTGACGAGGTAATAGACACGATGGGGTGTTGGGTTCGGCCCACGTGACTGCAGCGACTACCAGACGGGTGTCAGTGTTATCCCGATCGAGAGACTAACGGAGGCCGATCGCAAGTGGATGCTTACCGCTGAATACGGTGGAACGGGCGGTAGACAGATCGAGTCCGGAATGGTCGTCGAGGAACCCGATATCGAGATCGGTGCCGGGGTGTCGTCGAAAGCTATCAGTCGACGTATGGCTACTGACAAGGGAGGTCAGCGTGGTCCCCAATCTTCTCGCTCTCAGCACGACCGCTTCGGAGGTCGTCGTCCGGAGCGTGGTATGGATAGCCATGGCCACGGCGGTCCGGGTGGTCCGGGCGGCCATCCTGATCGAGACGTGTCCAACGCCAATGTCGGAGTGCCGCCGGCAGTTCCTGGTTTCGGTTTCTCGTTCCCCGGTGTTCCCATGTTTCCTCCCGGCTTCATGATGGGCGGTGCTCAAGGCAGTTCTTCCCCTGCCCAGCCGCCGCCCCCCGGCCAGAGCTAAGCAGGGATCGGGCTGGAACCGATACTGGTCGTTTCTCATCCTCATCCATACCTCATCTCTCAAGGGACTTGAAAGCTCTGTCTCAATGAAAAGCGTTGTTTCTTCTTGTTATTCCCCTTCCGATCTTGTTTTCCTACGGACTGCTTTTTTTTCCCGATTCCAATGTACAAAATTCACCATAATTGTCGATTCGATATCCTCCCGTTGAGCTCTTTCAGCTGCCTTAATGGTCTTATCGTCTATCGGGACACATGGCGCTGAATCTCTTATTAGTCGATGGGCTGTCGCATGCATGACGCTTCCATGTTTTGGGCGAGGTTATTAATCGAGGTTTTCCGTTTTCTGTTACGATTGGACCCGACAAGCTAGTTCTCATCAGCCTGTCTCGGTCGGGTGTTTTCATGCGGCTATCTTCTTTTCAGTTTTCACATTGACACGTTGGAGTCAGTTTCTTTTATTTTTCATGGGTTCCGGGCGGTCTACTTCTCTTAGTGGGACAAAAAAAAAGGCTTTTTTGTGTGAACGGGGGGAGGACCTTTAGTATCAGTCATAAGTTAACGTCAATGATTATCACATTCGGAGTCCGATATGATCTTCTTCTCTATTGTAGATTCCACGTAGTAAAGATAGCACTGATATCAGTAAATAAATGGGGCAGATATGTGCATAATTTTCGTTTCCATTTTGGCACAGAAGAAGACATCGATATAATAAAATGGATAAAAAGAGATCTCATATAATATGGTATCATGAATGGAGAGCTCAGACATCTCTATACGACAATCATCACTCAACAATTAAGCATAAACAAGAACAGAATCACCACCACCATCTCCTAAGCCCGAGATGCTTCCTTTCAATTGAAATTGAGCAAAAAAAAAAAAAAAAATACCACCATCTGAGTTCCGAAAACTACTCTAACTTAGACAGAACCCTGCAGCCCAACCTCCCTCTGCGCAGACGCATCAGACCTATCCGGAAGAGCAGCCTTATCCGGTCCGGCAGCACTAGCGGCCTTGAAGGACTGTTCGAAATCAGCGATGATGTCGTCGATGTGTTCGGTGCCGACGGAGATGCGGATCGCGTCTTCGGTGACGCCCGAATCGAGCTTTTCTTGGTCGGAGAGCTGTTCGTGCGTGGTGGACCACGGGTGGATGGCGAGGGTTTTGGAGTCGCCGACGCTGTTTGTGGAATGTGTTAGATTGTGCGTTTTCTCTCTTTCACTTTGTTCTTAAGGGGTTGGGGAGGGTCTTACTTTGCCAGGTTGGAAATAAGCTTAAAGCCATCAACGACCTGACTACCAGCAGCAGCACCGCCCTTGACGCCAAAAGATAGCACACCACCAAAGCCGCGCTTCAGGTACTTCTTTGCGGTTTCGTGGCTCGGGTGGTTCTCGAGACCCGGGTACGAGACCCAAGTGACGTTCTCGTTCTTCTGGAGCCAGCGTGCAAGAGCCAGAGCGTTGGAGGCATGGCGCTCAGCGCGCAGACTCAGCGTCTCGATACCCAGCAGGAGCTGCTGCGCAGCGAAGGGGTTCAGGGCCGTTCCCAGATCGCGCAGGATTTCGACGCGCACGCGGATCGCGAAGGTGATGGGTCCGAAGGTCTCCCAGAATTTGAGGCCGTGGTAGCCCTCGGCCGGTTCGACGAACTGGGGGAATCGAGCGGCGTGCTTGCCCCAGTCGAATTTACCGCTGTCGATGACGACGCCGGCGATGGTGGTGCCGTGGCCGCCGATCCATTTGGTTGCGCTGTGGACGACGATATCGGCGCCGTGGTCGATGGGACGGGCGAAGTAGCCGCCTGCTCCGAAGGTGTTGTCGACCTGTTTTGTGTTAGTTATTAGGATGTCTCTTTAGTTAGTGCTAGAAATGAATGAATGAATTGAATGTACGTACCACAAGTGGAACCCCCTTCTCGTGGGCAACCTTGGCGATCGCCTCGAAATCAGGAACGTTGTAACGCGGGTTTCCAATGGTCTCGAGGTAAACGGCCTTGGTGCGGTCATCGATGGCGGCCGCGATATCCTCTGCCTTGTCTCCCTGGACGAACTTGGTCGTGATTCCCAGACGAGGCAAGAGAACCTTGAGCTGGTTGTAAGTGCCACCGTACAGGTTGCTGGTCGCGACGATGTTGTCGCCAGCGTGAGCCAGGGCAGCAAAGGCCATGAACTGCGCGGACTGGCCGGAGGAGGCGGCCACAGCGGCAACACCGCCCTCGAGAGCAGCAATTCGCTTCTCGAAGACATCGACGGTGGGCTGGAGTTTCACGATCGGTCAGGCAGGTCCCTTTGTCCAGATGTCGGACCACTCACGTTCATGATACGGCTGTAGATGTTGCCGAATTCCTTGAGGCCAAAGAGCCTCGCGCCCTGGGCGGAGTCATTGAAAACGTAGGACTGGGAAGAAATCCAATCTCGTCAGCATGGCTCTGAGCAGGCGATACGACTCAATGGCAGGATAGGATTGACGAACCGTGGTGGCATAGATGGGAACAGCGCGGGCTCTTGTGGTCGGGTCAGGTTCCTGGCTGGAGAGAAAGTCAGGGTCCAGACATCCAGTAGTTGTTGTTGTTATAGTAGTAGTTGGTGTTCTTCACATACCCAGCATGCAGCTGCAGGGTCTCAAAGCGAGGAGTCTCGTTGGCAGACATGATTCGATGCGATGCGATGCGACGATCGATTCAATAGGGAATCCCCGCACAAATCACTCGTTGAAGTAGTTAGAGTCTGTTGATGTTTCCGTCTACTTCCGTGATGGATATTATTTCCGTCCAACGTTCAAACCGAGTAATAATACTGCAGAAACCGTCAGACAACAAACAGGAAAATCTCAGAGAATTGCGGTCGTACGTGATTATTATTATATATGAGGGGCATTTTTTCCCTCACCGTTCCGGAGTGCGGGGGTCACCAAAGTCGGGCTCGATGGCGTGATTGAGTTTGTTGAATAAGTAATAATACATTTTCTTTTGCTTTCTCCAATCATTGCAGGCCCGAAGACGGACTTCCCATCGACAACTCGCTGATCGAACTGACACCATCACCGTTGAAGGGCCAATGCGTCGCCGGTTACTTGGGGGAGCTGAGTTGACGATGTTGGGAGAGAGAAGAAGAAATTAGCTTAAGTCACTAACTAGACGATCTGGTGCAGTACTTGATAATAATAATAATAATACACTAGTTAGATAAGTACGCTACTTTTCACTGTTCCCTTCCCGCTTTCGATATATTGAGTCGATCTAGATAAAGGAACTACAGGAATACATCTCATACATCCGAATCGCAACACGTACACGCTCCAGACCAGTCTAGAAAAAGAACCCCCTGTCTACCCCGACTCTTATCATGCATGTCGAGTTGGTCTGCATTGGGCACAAATAGTGCGAACAACAACAGGAATCAGCCCAACCGCTTCACCTTGCTTCCCGGTGCGAGTCTATATCTATATATATATATATATATATATATACAGATCATATCATAGACGATGCATCTCTTCCCACATTATTGTTTTCATACCTCTCCAGGCTTAATTTGACCACGACGTAGAGAAACACCGAACGGGAGGGGCATCTGCAAGTCTATCGCGATATTATTAGTTAGTACCTGCACGCCGACTGAGGAGCTACTGCAACACGCAGGCGACAACACATCTCTGGCCAGCCTGACACCAGAACAGTATTCTCCCTCAGCACCAGTCTATCCCATATCAAGGACCTGTCTGCCTCAACAGCTCCTGGGACTAGAGCAACCATGGCACAAGTATTCGACCTCTTCTCCCCCAAATTCCCGAACACCGTCTCGACGGGGCCCCTGGAGCAACGCAATACGGTCCTCCGCGAAGTCGAGGCCGGACTCCCCAAGGGACAAGACAGGTTCACGATCGATGAGCTTCGCAACCTCAACGTCTGGGTGAAGTCCGTCTCCTTTGCCAACATCGGCAAGAACGCGAAACCAGAGTGGGAGCCATGTTACTTCTATCCTTATCCCTTCGAACTCCTAACTCCACCTAGAGAAGGGGTGTTCGATTCCCTCTTCCCTAAATACTACCCAGACCCCAAAGAGACCCCAGGCGAACACGCGCGCTCACTGTGGTATTACCTGCGCAAATACCTCCCCGAATGTGGATCGCGACGGCCCGATGTCAAATTCAACATCTTCTACGACCTGGGCTGGCGCAAGGTGTCGGACATGAAGTACCGTAATCTCTGGGAATACGACACGGTGATTCGACCTCACTGGTACGTGGAGGCGGTTTATGTCTTTGCGGGACCAGAAAGTGCTCCCAGGCCGCAGACGAAATGTGCGTTGATTTCCGATTTCGACGGGGATGATGAGACGCTGCTTCGTTCGGAGGTTATTGCGTTGTCGAGGATCATAAGGAGGAGGAACGTTAATACTCATGAGGTTCAGCCGGTAATATAACCCTTTCTCCCCTCCCCCGACAAGTCATCATAAATGTCCTGCTGGGTTCGTGTGTAGCTGATGCGGAACCTACATGTAGGTCCTCATGTTTTCCATGATGGGACCACGGCATATCCGAATCCTTCATGCCCACTGGACGGGGCTCCAGTTGATTATCCAGAAGAGCCCACTCTACGATCTTCGACAGGAAGATGAAGATGTCTTGGCGCTGCTTTCGCGCTGGTTTCTCAGCATGCCGACGGGCGATACCAGATTAGCTGGTTATTGATCGACGATGGGCCCTGTGTGGCTAGAATGGGACAGATACGGATATGATACGATAGAGAGATTGGAACCGGACTTGATTGTTTTTTGTGTTTGCTGGCGTTTAAGATTACCACTATATAGCGAGATTTCAATGACATGACATGATTCAGATACGACTATTATCGAGAGCGAAGACCTGCCTAATTTCTCAAAATAGTCCAGAGGGAATTTCACAGCATTTGTTTAACTGTAGCGCCCAGCATGATCGATGTCTGTTGTTTCAGCCCTATCCTCTAGTTAATTACAGCAATGGTCCCGTCCATACGCGCATTGATCGGTATTGTAGATATGTCGACCTAAAACACTCAACGGCGCATGAACGAGGCTCTCTCTTCGTTGACGTTTTAATTTAAATCACCTCAAACTTGGAGTGTGGCATCACTTGGAATACGAAAATTATGCATCATAGAGCAAAGCAAAGACCTCTGTATACTGAAAGAACGGACCCCTCAAAATAAACTACGGGCTAAATAGAATATCCCACGAGGATCCCCCGCTGATAACTAACTGTAGTGGCCAAGCCAAGCCAAGCCACAATAATTCGCGGTCATCAGACAACTGTTCTGAACTGAAGCTCAATGAAGGACTATCGCTTGTGCCACTGCATGCGACAATCGATCGAACGAACGAATGAATGATTGAATGCGAGGAATGCTAGCAAGAGTGACCAAGCCGCCCTCCACGTCAGAGCGTCTCAAGTCCATGACCCCTCATTTGACACGACACTGACACAGCGCCATAACAGGATGATCGGGCGGGATCAGCATCAAGAACCAAGGCAACAACCAAGGCCATGGCCGTCATTATCGCCATGACCAGCGTGTGCCATCGGACAGGATTGTGAGCCCAACGTGACCGCTAATTCCAGTGACCCCCTCGCATTTTCTACGTCTTTCGTCACGGATTTCCTACCAGTGCGATGCGCTATTGCTCGATTCCAGCAGCGGACATAGCTCTCTGATCGAGAGGATTGCGCATCGATTCGCTTCGAATTCGCGTTGGAGCTCCATTTGTTGTCCCTCTTCTGAAGAGTACTTCAGATCTTGATCGCTGGACGACCCTGCAACTTGATGACAGCCATGGCGATTGCTTGGAGGCAGGTCCCCTGGGTGCTCCCAGCGCGCGCTGTCCAGGCTATCTTTGCTATCATCGTCCTAGGCTTGATTGCATATGGTACGTCGATATCGATAGCTAGGTCCCATTCTCCCTGGGGGAATAGCATGCTAACATGGAACAGTAATCAGTGTCTTCGACGACGAAGACTATGGATTCAGCTCCGACGTACTCAACTTCATGCTCTTCACGTCCGTGTGGACGCTGTTGGTCGCGACGCCATACCTCGCTCTGTCGCCGGTATACGTACCGCAGATCGCACATCGCTTCGCCATCGTGGGCATGGAGGCCGTCACGATGATTTTCTGGTTTGCAGCCTTTATCGCCCTGGCGGCGCTGCTGCCCCCGCCGGAAGCATGTCACAGTTCGCCGTGTAGATCCTCGCAGGCCGCGACGGTGTTTGGGGCCTTTGAGTGGTGAGTGTGCCTCCTATCCATATCAGTGGTGATTCATTCTTCTGCGAGATAGCAATTGCTCATGCGTGGTAGGGTCCTGTTTGCCGTAAGTGCTGGCTTTGCCATCTTCAATCTGATCGGTGGTCGAAGTAGCCAGAATAAGGAAACTGTTCCGGAAGTGCAGATGGCGCCTCATGCGGGTGTTTGAGGTTCATTTTGAGTATACCATAGTTAGTTATGCTTCTTTTCGGTCATGCAGATATGTAACTACCCCTGATGATGCAATTGATTTTTTTTTCTTTTCCTTTTATTTTTATTTTCCTTTTTTCATCATGTCTGTTTGAATCTCCAGCTCATCGGATTTGTCAGCTAAGCTTGATAGTTATTTTGCATTACTGTTAAGTAGTTACTTACTGTCTTCTGGAATATGCCCTGGCGCTTGGACCTTCGTCCCATGGCTCTCTCAAAGTCGTCCGTCAGCTTAATTACCGGTACCGATTCAATTCCACACAAACTTCGCATCGAAAATATCCAATTGTCCTTCATCAAGAGAGTTTATCCTTGTCTAGTGACGTTGGTGTATATTCGCGTAGACAATGATCATCATGTTCCTGGATATAAATACAGTAGTAAAGTAGAGTTATGACAACCCACGCTGATTCGATGAGCTTTTTTTTCCTGTGGTTCTATACTTACTCGGAACATTCGGCTGGTGCCGTTGCATTAATGATATTTCAACTAGGCAGTTCTGGTCCTAGGGGATTAGAATTGACTACGTAGTACATATGAGATTTTCATTATTGCAACGTTACAGTAACTACGTACTTTGAACTCATCTATCTGGCTGTGCTACGCGGGGGAAGCAAATAATAATAATAGCCACCACGTTTTCTGTGGAAATCCTGACAGACATGAATGTGTCATTATCAATCAGCCCCAGTGACACAGACCAGACATTTAAGTAATTAATTAGTTAATAATAATAACTAGTGAGTGAGTGAACTAGCTAAGTACGTTAGTCGGCTTCACCCGAACAACAAGGGAAAAAAACAGAGAAAAAGGATTCGCCACCGCTCCGAAATACTGCACAGAAACAGCCTTCTCGGCCTGCCGAGATCATCACTTTTTTTTCTGTTCCACGACCCACATAATCGTCTTTACCTTCCCCGTTTGCCTCTCTGCTAATTGTCGAGAGAATAATAATGAGAAGAAAATTCCCGCTCGCACCGCGTCTTGCCGCGTTTATCCATGGATGACAGACTTGGACTTGGATCCCTGGCCGACTGGGTGCAGTGAATTAGTTATATGTCGGCCAATTCCCCAGGTGCACAGGGAGAGTGTTCGTTTTTTTCTTTCGTTTTCGTCTTCGTCTTTCTTCCCTCTCGACTTTCTTTTACATAACAGAGTCCTGACTAGACTGGCGCCGGTATGGGGGTTTGAGCACATTCGGTAACGAACGACTTGGCTCGATCAGACCCGTGGTTGGCTCCCCACACACTACCTAGATACCAGAGAAAAGTAGAGACGTGACGAGACGAGAGGGGAGAGGGAGTCTCTGCTTGGCGCGTGGTCTGTTCTGTCTTGTCTTGTCTTGTCTTCTGTCTCGTCTGGGATAGAGCCACGATTTTTCGCGAGTGCAATACCACTTATACTAGTACCCTGCATCGACTAGGCAGGTAGGCAGGCATGGCTTCGGAGGATGAGGTGACTCGTGTGCCTAAGACGGCGGAGGGCAGCAAGGCGGATGAGGAGAAGAGCCTGGAGTTCCCAGTCAAGGAGTATTCGGTGCATTCAGGACAGCGATCCAACGATGACGCAGATATCGAGAAGCATGGCGCTGGCCGCGAGTCGAATCCCTTGCCCGATCTCAAGCGCAAGCTCAAGAGCAGACATCTGCAGATGATCGCGATAGGTTGGTCCAAGCTTGTCATTATTGGCAGTGTTATATTGACTGAAGAGGTCGCGCGCTTACTCTGATGATGCTCAGGTGGAACGATTGGAACGGGTCTCTTCATCGGTAGCGGTACTGCCATCGCCAATTCAGGGCCGGCCGGAGCGCTCATCGCATACATCTTCGTCGGTAGTATTGTCTATTCCGTCATGACGTCTCTGGGAGAGATGGCGACTTATATCCCCATTCCCGGAGCGTTCACGTCCTATGCCACTCGTCTGATCGATCCCAGTCTGGGTTTCGCCATGGGCTGGATCTACTGGTTTTCATGGGCTATTACCTTTGCGCTCGAGTTGACGGCGACGGGTCTGATCATCCAGTATTGGGACCGGGAGCTCTCCATCGGTATCTTCATCGCCATCTTCTGGGTCTTCATCACCGTGCTCAACTTCCTGCCGGTGAACTTCTACGGAGAGCTGGAGTTCTGGTTCTCCAGTATCAAGGTGCTGACGGTCATTGGATTCATGATCTTCGCCATTTGTATTGATGCTGGCGCTGGTCAGCATGGATATCTTGGATTCCACACCTGGGGAAACCCCGGCGCGTTCGCCCCGCATCTGATCACGTCGAGCGAGTCCAAGGCCAAGTTTGTTGGATTCTGGGCCGTGCTTATCCAGGCAGGATTCTCGTATCAGGGTACCGAGCTGGTCGGTATCGCAGCAGGAGAGACGGAGAACCCTCGCAAGACAGTGCCCTCAGCCATCCGCAAGACTTTCTACCGTATCCTGTTCTTCTTCGTGTTGACCATCTTCTTCATCGGTCTGCTGGTGCCGTACACCGACCCTAACCTGCTCTCCGATGCGTCGGATGCGTCTGCGTCTCCGTTTGTCATTGCCGCCAAACTCGCCGGTGTCAAGGTGCTGCCTGGTCTGATCAACGCCGTCTTGCTGACGGTCGTGCTGTCTGCGGCCAACTCGAACGTCTACAGTGGCAGCCGTATCCTCATCGGTCTCGCACAGGAAGGATTTGCGCCGCGCATCCTCAAATGGACGTCCAAGGGCGGTGTGCCTTACTACGGAGTCGGCGTCACCGCCGCATTCGGTCTGCTGGGTTTCCTGAACCTGTCGAACGGCGGTGGTACCGTCTTCAACTGGCTCCTGAACATCTCCGGTGTGGCCGGTTTCATCACCTGGGCATCGCTGAACGCCTGCCATCTAGCCTTTATGCGTGCTCTGAAGGCGCGGAATATCTCCCGCGACCTGCTCCCGTACAAGGCGATGTGGCAGCCGTTCTTCGCCTGGTACGGCCTGTTTTTCAACATCCTCATTATCCTCACTCAGGGTTTCACCGCGTGGATTCCCACCTTCAGCGTGTCCGATTTTTTCGTCGCGTACATCAGTCTGATCCTGTTCGTGGTGCTGTACCTCGGACACAAGATCATCTACCGCCCGGCCTTTGTCAAGCCGGAAGAAGCAGATATCGACACGGGCCGTACCGAGTTCGACGTCGTGTGGGAGACACAGGCGCCGACGACGCGCTGGGGGAAGTTCTGGGCCTGGGTGAGCGGTTAGTTGACTGCTAGCTAGCAACTATCCTTCTTCTTCTTCTTCTTCTTCTTCTTTCTCCTCTCTCAGGTCGCAACAGCATAGCATGAAGACCGCCTTCTAACTATTCATCTGTATATCGTCAATACCTTGCATGATTTGTGACATTGATATTCTCCGTGCATATTACGGTGTCCTTGCTCGAATAGCATGTTTGTGTCGGGTGTGTTTTCTTCATGGTTTATTTATTTATTTTTTTTTTTTTCGTATTGCAATGGATGGATGGTACCCCGCTCCGGTATATGTTGTTCGGAGTAATGAGGAGATGTTTTATGTTGGCTGGTTTTATTATTAGCTTAATACTCATATTATGAAAAATGATACTACGGATATGATGCGAACATAAATTATGTCTTGTATATTTCAATATGGTCTTCAGGGTAGTACAGAGTGGGCTCTGTGTGTTTCATTAGGATCTAGAACTGTGGAATCGATGAAATAAATGAATGAAACAACTCGATTGTCGACTGTTACATCCACATGAATTCCTTTCGGCTGTTGGCCGTCTCACGTGCTTGTCGAGTGTCTTTGTTGGACTTCAGGAAAGTTGAACGGGCGGGTATTTATTATCATTATTATTATTCTTGGAGAAATCAATGGATAATAAATCACTGATGAATCCACATATACTGAATCCAATTGCAGGTACCAGAGTGGTAAAATAAACGGTGCACCTTACGAACAAAACATGAGTATTAACTTGACTTTCTACCAGTATTAAGTACTCTCTCTCTCTCCTCTACCCGTCAGGATCAACGAACAAGTACTTTATCCCAATCGCGTCACAGGCTAGTTACCGAGGTCCCAACTTGTGCTTCCTAGAGTTTGAACCTACTTCTTGCCTGCCATCGATCGGTGCGATACTCTTCTTCTAACTGGTCTGCAAATTAAATCGATCTATTCCTAGGAGAGGAGGTGGTGGCTGACTGCTGACTTCACCCCGCATCAGATGGAATAACATAACTCACTAACCAGTCTAGTTCGACTGTCGATTACTCTAACTGTTAGATAGTCCCAACCTTCATCAGCTGCATCAAACGCTCGTTCGTCCGGTAGCCCCGACAGGAAACCTGACAGGCTGGCACGATGCGACGCGATAAGTATGCATCCCGGCACAACACAATAATAATGCAGATGCATACGCGAAGATGCTCCATCGGGCGCTCCGGGAAACTGGGAACGTCGCTAGTTTCTTCGTTATCCCGTCTAATATACACGGAGTTTATCTGAAGATGCAACTATTATTCCTGGAATCTGGATATTGTTCTAGTCCGAATGCTTGGATTGTTCCGAGATAAGCACCTTAACGGCGTTGATATTCTTCTTTTCTTCTCTCTCACCTGTCTCCCCTTTTTCTTTCTTCCTCCCGCGCCGGCAACCTAATACCCGTCTTGGCCGCGGAGACTTGGGGATTCTGGGAAAAACATCCAGAATGTGGCTCAGGCTCATACACGGGGACCGGTTTAGGATCAGGAGTGGATGCGGGCTAAAACAAAACGACCCGATCTCCGTTGACGAACAACATTCCTTCATTCGTCTAGCCCCGAGGGTCCAGGCAACGGGGTTCCCGAAATGCGTTCGCTTGCGCCGAGATCTCTGGGAAGCGGTCCCTGCATCCGACTCGTCCAGACAAGCGGAATCAAGGCGCTGCGAAGGCGACACATCCTCTATCCACATGGAAGTCTAAACCAGATCCAGTAGCTACCGAGGTAAAATGAGGGCTATCTGGAATTCAGTCCCCTTCGCGCAGCCACTACGTGCGATTCTCCGGGCACGCCGCTGTTCGCCCTTCCGAGAAAAGAGAGAGAGAGAGAGGATTACACATGTGAAGTAAGTAGGGAGCTCTCTTTCTCTCCTCTCTCTCTCTTCTCCGCATATCCTTCGGGTTATAGACTCGGGGTTTATAATCTAAATTAAGCTAGCATTCTAGTCCACCGTGGCTCTATCTCCGTCCGGAGGCCGCGCATCTCTTTTCTTCATTATTATTTTCTACTCTGGAGTCTTTCTCTTTTCTCTATCGGGCACATCTGGTGGTCTGATTTGAGGTCTCTCCTTTTGTGTTTGTTCCAAACTGTCGTCCTCCCCCGGGACGATATCATACTCAAGGAGTCTAGTTTGGGTTATCAACGGGCAGTCGACGGTATGTGGACGTCATATTCCTATATTGAACCTCTCCGCAAGGTGGTCAATGGTAACTAACATAGTATCTCTCTCGTCTTCCAGATAATAGATTTGAACAATGTTTTTCTCCAAACCCGTTGACCTTGCTCGCGCAGAGGAGCTGCGACAGGAGCCTCCCAAGGGCACGCCCCAGAGTGTGGCCCTTCCTGGAACCGAGAAGCCCGGTCGAAGCAGGGTTTACCGTGCGTGGAACTGTCAGAAAGAGCTGCTTGAGACGCTAGATCCAAAGGTATGCTACTCACAAGATATATTCGCATTGCTCTATCATTGGAAACCCTCGCTAATTGCTCTTTTACTAGATCCGCACCGCTCATGATGTCTTTGAAACGTCGGGTAAGCCGCGAAGGCTAGATAGGGCGCTCGTTTCAATACTGACTGTGGCCAGCAAACCGATATCCCAAGAATGACTGTCTAGGCTGGAGATCCTACAACCCCGCCACCAAGACGTTCGGTCCCTACCAGTGGATTGACTACCAGACCGTTCAGCGACGACGAGCGCACTTCGGCTCTGGTCTGGTGGAACTTCATGAGAGACATGGATGTCCGGGAGGCAAGCATGGTGTTGGACTGTGGTGCCAGAACCGCCCGGAGTGGCAGATTACGGGTATGTCAGATGAGACTTCAGGAAGCGCCTTGGAAGCCCCAAGTCACCTGCTAATCTGACAGACCTGGCGTGCATGTCGCAAAGCCTCTACTCCGTGTCCATATATGACGTCCTGGGCAAGGAGGCAACCGAGTACATCATCAACCACGCGGAGCTGAGCTGCGTGGTGGCCTCGCTGCCGCATATCCCGACCCTCCTGCAACTGAGGCCCAAGCTGCCCAATCTCAAGATCATCGTCAGTTTGGATCCAGTAGATGCGGGCGAGCAGCCCGGACAGTCGAAGCGCGATATCCTCAAGGCCATCGCGGGAGACCATGACGTTACTATCTACACCATTGATGAAGTGGAAGCGCTGGGCGCTTCCGTGAACCGCCCCTACAATCCTCCTTCTCCGGAGGATATCGTGACCATCAACTACACCTCTGGCACCACGGGTCCACCAAAGGGTGTGGTTCTCACACACAAGAACGCCGTGGCAGCAGCTTCTAGTGCCTTGTCGGTGATGGAACATTCCCCCGGTGATACCATGGCTTCCTACCTGCCACTCGCGCACATCTACGAGCGTCTGTCGGAGCAGGGCTTTCTGTGGGCCGGTGGCAGAATCGGCTATTTCCACGGTGCTATCCAGGAGCTCGTCGACGACCTGAAGGTCTTGAAGCCCACCGGTTTCGTCTCAGTTCCCCGTCTGTACACTCGCTTTGGAAACGTCATCCGCGGCGCCACGGTCGAACAGTCCGGCTTCAAGGGTGCTCTGTCGCGGCATGTTCTGGCCACGAAGACGGCCAACCTGGAGACCAAGGGGACCTTCAAGCATGCCTTTTACGACCGCATTTGGGGCCGCAAGGTTGCCTCGGCATTGGGACTGGATAAGGCTAAGGTCATGGTTTCTGGTTCTGCGCCGCTGGATCCCGCCCTACACAGCTTCCTGAGGGTTGTGTTCGGCATCGATCTCATCCAGGGCTACGGTCTGACTGAGACATACGCCGTTACCACTGTCCAGTATCCCAGCGATCTGACCAGCGGAAACTGCGGCCGTCTGGCCCCCAGTGTGGAAGCATGCCTGATGTCGCTTCCTGACATGGATTATTCCGTCGATGACAAGCCATACCCGCGAGGTGAGCTGCTGATCAGGGGCAACACGCTCTTCCGGGAGTACTTCAAGAACCCCGAAGAGACTGCCGCTGCCGTCACCGAGGACGGCTGGTTCCGCACAGGCGACGTGTGCAGCATTGACGAGATGGGCCGTTTCAAGATCATCGACCGTCGGAAGAACGTGCTGAAGCTGGCCCAGGGTGAGTACGTATCGCCGGAGCGCCTGGAGGGTGTATATATGTCTCAGCTCGGATACCTTGCCCAGGGCTACATCCACGGCGACAGTCTGCAGACCTCGCTGGTGGCCATCTTTGGCGTGCAGCCCGACGCGTTTGCCGGCTATGCCAGCAAGATCTTGGGCAGGAACATCAGTCCGACGGACATCGAAGCCATCAGGGCCGTACTTGGCGAGGACAAGATCCGCAAGGCGGTGCTGAAGGATCTGGATCAGATTGCGAAGAAGCAGAAGCTGGCTGGTTACGAGCGGGTGCGGAACTGCGCTTTGATGTTGGATCCGTTTACCGTCGAGAACGAGCTGTTGACGCCGACGTAAGTGGCACTTATTTTTCTTTCCTTTCTCTGAACAAAAAAAGATGACTAACTTCTGCGCAGACTGAAGATGAAGCGTCCCCCGGCGGCAAAGAAGTACCGCTCTGTCCTGGACGATCTGTACGCCCAGCTAGCAGAGGAAGAGGCCGCTCCCAAGGCCAAGTTGTGATTCATATATATATATACGACACACGACACACTGACACTTCACGCCCGTTTTCTTCACTGCGTTATTCATGCATTATAGGCGCCTCGACGCTTTTTTCTTGGTTCTCGATAAATTCACTGTACAGATTATATTCCAGACTAGTTGGGGATGAAGCCAGGAGGCATTCTGCTATAGCGGCAATTGAGCCTTTATATAGTTTAACTGAGCACGGCAAAATATATTGAGATGTGTGAATGAGTGGATTTGCAAGGATTGATATAGATGATATAGATGAGATGCCAGAAGAAAGAGTAGTGTCTGGTAGAATTTATCCACGCGACGAATGTGTAAAAACAATTCCAAAAGAAAAGAAAGAAAAAAAAAGATAATCAGATATACTTTATCATTGAAAAAAAAAATAAGCATTGTCAGATTCATCCCTTATGTATTAGTTAAACAAGAGGTGTGCTATTCTGTCAACCCAGCTCCTCCGAACTCCACGCCGGCCCATCTCCATCCCGCAACAACTCAACTTCTCAACCGCATTCACTCTCCGCCAACCCAACACCCAACACCAAACACTCAAGCCTACAAACCTCCTCCAACATCTCCATCTCCACCAACCCACCATGTTCCTCCCATCAGCGCGTAATTTACTCCTGCTACTCCCCCTCCTCCACGCCGCCACAACAACCGCCTCCTCCCTAACAATCACCATCCCTCCATCCAACCTCCTCCCAAACCCCAACGTCCTCCCCGCCAGCACCCACGCTACATTAACAACTCTCTCCGAATCTCCGAGTGAAAAAGGAACCGGGACCGAAAACAACATCCTCTCCGCGCCCCTAACCACTTCCTCAACATTTACCTTCCCTATCCTATCCAAATCGGAACCGGGACCGGGCCCGAGATCATACCTTCTTGATATCCGCTCCCGGGAATACGTCTTCGCTCCATACCGCGTGGATGTCGCGTCTGATGGGACGGTGATTGGGGTATGGGAGACGTTTCGGGGAAATGCATGGAGTAATCGGGGGATGGAGATGTTTGTTGCTACGGTGGGAGGAGGGAATGGGATTGGGGATGTGATTGTTCCGGCGAAGGTGGTTGCGAGGAGGGGGTTTTATGAGGAGAGAGCGAAGTGTGAGTTTTTATCCTTCTTCCTCCCTTCTCCCTTCTTCTTCTTCTTGGATTTCTGAGCTTTTGATATGGGTATGTATGCATGGTATACTAATCCTTTCTATCTAGTCTCCCCACTAAGTCTATTCAAAAACCCCATGATTCTCCTCGCTGTCTTTGCGATGGTCGTCATGTTCGCTATGCCGAAACTTATGGAAAACAGTACGTCTTTCTTCTCTTCCATCCATTTCCTTCCCAGAATCAACCCGCATATACCAATACTAACCCCCGCGCGCAAATACAGTGGACCCCGAAATGCGCGAAGAGTTCGAAAAGCAATCTCGCGGTGGCCCACTCACGGCTGCGAGCCGCAGTGCCGTTTCAGGCGGTGGTCCGGCCAACTTCGACCTTGCGGGATGGATGGCCGGGACGACTTCGAGTGCGAGTGCGGATAGCTCAGTGGCTATCACATCGGGGAGGGAGAGCGGTAGTGCGGGACGGAGGAGAGGTTGAAGTCAGCTTGAGGGTGGGATTGGTAATATTGGGCTCAAGTGTTTGCGGGGGGTAGGAAGTTATTTTCTCGATAGATAGTGTAATACGAGCATGGATATTTGTCTAGAAGATGATTTATACAAATGCTAGATGATTTATATAAATGCAGTGTCGATATGAGTTCTTACTATGAAGTAGAAGCAGGGAGTAACATAAAGCGAAGAGAGAATAGTTTGTAGTTAATTCAACCCGTCTCATAGACCAGGTATTCTGCATCTCAGGAGCAGCATCACATAATAACCATAATCGTTATCGTTCTCAGCGCATGACAGACAACAAACTCCCAAACTCCATCACTTGGAGAAGCCAAAGCAAAGAAACATCCTCAACAAACCCATTATCATAGCAGAGCAAGCAGCCCGCTACAAAGTAACAGCGAAGTTAACTAGGCCTGGGGGTGCTCTTAGAAATCATCACCACCAAAATCACCACCGCCAAAGTCTCCACCATTATCAAACCCCTGATCATACCCCTGGTCATATCCCTGTTCATACTCATGCTGATCATGATCCTCGATCATATCTTCAATCAGCATACCGCCCAGCAATCCACCACCGAGACCCAGCGCCGCTGCACCAGCGGTTCCCATCCCACCATGACGTCGTGCAGGAGCCTGCTGTTGCTGTGGCGGTGCGTAGTATCCTCCCTGCGGAGGATATCCTCCATAGGCCTGTTGAGGCGGATAGCCTCCGTAACCCTGCTGCTGAGGGCGATAGCCACCAGCGCCATAACCCCCTGCACCTCCTGCATATCCATATCCACCAGAGGAATGTTTTCCAGACGCCTTACCCAGGAGTTTTCCTAGGAATCCACCACTCTTACCACGCTGCTGGTCCGGGGCAGGCGCAGGCGCAGGAGCAGGGGCAGGACTTCCAGCATACGGACTCGCACCACTACCGTAAGGAGCATAACCCTGACCCTGACCCTGAGACGGACCGGTTTGAGCATTGTAATAATCATCACTCGCGCCCCGATTCCGTCCACTCGACGACGACGGCGCCGGACTCCTGCCCGCAGCGCGCGCGTCTTCTTCCGCCTGTAACCTCGCCGCGAGTTTGGCGTCCTCGTCGATATTATTCACACTCCCTCCTCCTCCTCCTCCTGCTGGCGATGTGTGATTATATGGATTATTAGACGAGAGAGTCTTATGATCGCCTGCGGCAGCGACTCTGCTTGGATCGCCTGGTCCGGTTTGGTCGTAAGATGGGGGCGGTTCGGAGGGTGGTCCGCCGAGATGAGGACGGGGTGAGGCGGGTGCTTCGGGAGGGTTCCATTGTGAGACGCCTGTGGAGAGGTTTACGAAGTACCTGGGAGATAATAATAGTGTTAGGATAGAATGTACGGAAGGGTAGGATGGATGGGTGAGGATGTATGTATGTACATACCACTGCTTGTATCTTTCATCATATTGAGCCTTCCACCCCTCCGGGACGGGCGGGGGTGGAGGTCCTGGTGGCGGGGCAAATGACATCTGAAGTTGAAGTGATTCACTGGAAGTATGGTATGTGTGATTCTTTTCTCGGGGGAAGATGATGAAAAGCCTCGAGTGAAGGAGAGTCCAGTGAGTGATGGATACAGATAATAATGTAGGTGATGAGCAGTGACGTTAAGTAGGTAGTAATAGGCAAGTAAAGTGGGAAGAAGGAAGTTGACGCGGGGACAACCGCAGTAGTTAAATAAATAGGATGATTAACTTATGCCTCGGAACTAACCGAACGAATATTACTACAAACTAGGATGATATCAATAATAAGTGAATCTGGTACTAGTACTACCAGTAACTATGGTACTACTCTAATAATACTCCATAGTCAAGGTTCAGCTGCCTAAGTGGCGGTGCAAATCTAGCCTCAGTATTTATTGTTCCATATTAATCAAGGTATTCGGATCCAACCTGAAGAAAAGGAATACAAAGCTAGATGATTCCAGAACTAAACGATCTTGCAGACTTGCATCACCAAACCAATGCACAGCCCTGAGGCTTAGCTGGCTGCGTGCTTATCGCCGCGTACGTGCACAGGCGATATTATTAGTACATATTACCATGTTCTGATTGAGGCGCTAAAAATGCTAAGAAATAGCCAAGCTAAGCCTTGCTGGACTTGAAGATCGTTCCCCAGGTCGCGCTTTTGGCCGCTTTGCCCTCGTGCTTGATTGCAAGATATCATGCTACTATTGTGTTTACAGTGCATTGGGACAACACAGGGCATATAAACTGCCCTACTAGGCTATTTCTGTCATGAACCAATGTAAAGTACATTTCTATTAGTTACCAGGGTATCGGAATCTAGACATAACAGTCGCTCCCTCAGTCGCATAATAAGTTAATAACACCAAGCGACATGCACCTCTCGAAGTAATGCAAGGTCATTGACTGCGCCTTATCCATGCTTATATGCAAAAGTTAGCGCCTAATAAGACCAACCCAACCCTAATTAACCCTAATAATGCCAGACACAATAGTCTCGTCTTAATCGTCAAGATCCTGGATATTGGCATCTACAGCACCGCTGTCCGGCCACCAGTAGTCTTCTTCCAGCGCTTCAAGTCGCTCGTCCTCTTCCCCAACGACCTCGCTCGTATCCATAGGTTCACTGCTGCCAACAGCAATGTCCTCAGAATCGGTATCTCCAGTTAAATCAATCACATCCACTATCTGAGTGATAATGGGTTCTATTGTGCGATCTTTAGCTTTTCGAGGGCGTGGCCGGTGCGCGAGTGCCTCCTCGTCTTCGTCACTGCAGAGATCAATGAGATTCTCCGGAGCCAGGGTCACCTTTGCAGGCCAAGATGTATCCCGTTTTCTCTTATGAAGAGACCGTCGCTCGTTCCGGATACGGGCAAGCCGGATCTGCGCTGCCACATACTGCCGAGACCGAACATCCAGTTGACGTCTTCTCTCCACAGGAGGACCGTCGAGTTGGAGCGCTTGTACGTCCTCTGTAAGGGGAGTGATCCCGAGTAGATCGGTGGGCGTGTGTGCGGGCCTAGCCCAGGCAGCATAGGGACCGTTATAGAGAGGTCCTTGGCCTACTCCATACACCGGATGCCGCACCAGCTGACCGGATGATAGCAGTCTATCCGCCATCTTCACAGCCGACTCTTCTTGCTCTTCCATATCATCAAACGGTTCACCAGCATGCTCGAATTTCATGCAGCTACTGTGTTCAAATGGAGCTGACGACAGCACGTGGACTCCTCCCGCAGCGTCTCCGATCAATATGTTGGTCTTGTCTCCGGAGAATGAAGCACACATAATCTCCTCCTCCAGAGTCACTACATCCTGGACATGAGCGTCTTCCGGGGACCGGAGAATATCCCAAACCTTTAGGCGTCCATCTGAACCACCGGTGTAGAAGCGTTGCACATGATCGCCCCAGAGTGCCACTCGGACACCGACATCTGCTTGTTCCCTGGTTAGATTTTCATCCAACTGGTTAAGCGGTTCCCCGTGCTGCAACCTGTGCAAGATCTCTGACGGGTTACGGTTGTCCCAGACGTATGTGACGCCATCAGTGCAACTAGCGGTCATGTAATTCGGGTCCAGTGGACAGAATTCAACGTCGTTGATGTCCAAGGCGGGACAATCGAACTCCACCGCACAGCGCTTCCCCTGTAGCGGGTCGTATACACGGACCACCGATCTGGTATCCTTGGCGGTCGTTGCACTTCGCAGCAACGGTGCGGCACTACCGGTTGCGAATAAGGGGAGCCTCGGATGCCAGGTGACATCAAAGACATTCTGGGCGTTCGGCAACAGCTGGTCACTGCTGATAGAGGCTTCATTCACTCGCCATACGGCCATATGGCCCTCGCGCGACGTATCCCCATTCTCTGTGTCTCTCCCAGACATTCCACCCACCAGGAAATGTTTGCTAGCCTCACTTGTTCCCCATGCGAGGGAGGATGGAATCAATTCCAGGTTCTTAGTTGGGTTCCTTCGGACGACATCAAGAGGCATATAAGTCCGGCTCTCGATATTCCAAACGCCAAAGGCTTGCGCGCCAGTTGCAAGCAGGTTCGGCGAGAAATTGGACCTTGCCATCACCTGGACTTTGGAATTATGATGCAGAGTCTTGACACAACGCGCAGCAGCATGGCTTGACACATCCCATAACTTGACCGTATTGTCGTAGCTTGCTGTAAAGAGCGTGTCGCCATACCACTGGACGGCAGTAACACTCATATACAGGTGAGGGTCAACCGTGTTATACACATGCTGTGAAGCAGCACTTGCAGGCAGAGGTCGTGGTATCCGGTGATCAGGGAGTGCTTTCAGTGAGTTACTCACCAAATCACCAAGAATGAGGTTGTTGCCCCGGTTGTACTGCATATTATGCTCGTCACACTGGGCAGCCGCACCTACTGCGAACCTCGTCCCATCTTCAGACCAAGCCAGGACAATGACATCATTTGATGCGCCCTTCCACGACTTGACATGGGTGAAATCAAGAGAAGTCCGGGACTGTATCCTGTGGTTGACACGGCCGCCAATCTCGCGGCTGTGCAATAACGTAGACATCTTATCCGAAACTGGCCGTGTAGCTCCACTGGCTACAACGCGGCGAACCCCTGAATGAGGACTTGATCTAGGACTCTGGGAGACGGAAAAGGCAGATTGCCTTGGTGTGTGTCTTATGGGTGTGCTTTCGATTGTCTCCTCTTCCAGATCAAAATTGGGATAGTTCCCATAGTAATTGGTAGGCGCTGCAACGGATCGACGAGGCCGCCGTGATGCGATTCCCCTAGATTGATTTGCAGCAGGTACCGAGGACGATGATTTCTGCGGAACCCTACCAGACGAGCGTTTGCCCCCTTTAGAAGGGTCTGGCTTCTCAATGTCTGATAGAGCGTGATGAGATGAGTCTGTCAGTGAATAATCGTCGGATGATCCATCGTACCGCTCCATCGAGACTTTGTTCACTCGCATTTTCGTTTGGGGCTGACGAGGAACTGTGCTGGTGGTACTCGAGACTTGGCCTCTGTTTGTTGATGTCGTGGTGTGATCACGCTGTTGCCATGCAGTCGATGGGTGTGTTGAAGGGCGGCGTGGTAACACACGGCGACTCCCCTCTATTTCTCGTGTATAGTCCACTTCCTGGTTTCTGACCGCCTTAAGATATCCATTGGTAGTCTCTTCGGGACGACTATGGGATTCTGGTCCTGCTGTCTCTGGCCTTGGTGATGATGATGAGCGACGGGGAGCGTTCAGGAATTGCGATAGTAATGACTGGGCTTTCTCCTCCAGATATGAGTTCTCTGAAACGTCTCGAGAAAAATCCGTCATGTACCTAGACGTATCGATGGACGACATTTCGGGATTGGACATCCCATACCCTCGAGATCTCTGACTAAAGGACATTGCGAGGATGAGAGTGGCCGTGAAAGGGGCTATACTCTCCCACGTATAGTCTGAACCTGGATCACCCAGGACCTCACACCTCGGTCCAGCACGAGACCAAGAATGCCGTTACCAAGCCAGGTACGGAACAAATCCGAAGAGCAGAAGATAGAGCAAGGAGATGAGAGTTACCGCGAAAGGGCTATACCCTCTCACGTATAGTCTGAACCTGGATCACCTAGGACCTCAAACCTCAGTCCAGCACGAGACCAAGAATGCCGTTATGAGGCCAGGTACGGAAGCAAATCCGAAGAGCTTCTGAGAAGATGGAGCAAGGAAGAAAGGCCCACCGAAGAGATGCCTTTAAGTACCACCCTCTCTTCTGAGCAGTGAATATCACCGTACCTCGAGAGGGGTTTCCAGTCAGTCCAACAGTCGTCGGATGTCGCAGTCCCAAGTCAAAGTGACAGATAGAAACCGATCACCGACACAGCGTGAAGTGATAAGTTCGCTTTTCACCCAGCTATCAAAACGAGTAGAGTCTTGCGAATATCCACCCAGGCCCCCAAGCATCCACCATTCACCATATATATATATATATAGATACGAAAAGAGTCCGGCTCTAAGCAGCGCTCATTCGAACAATCGAGGTGAAATCCGAACCAAACACGATTGGCGCAAGTGAAAGGGCTCGTTGAATGAATACCTAAATCGGAATTTCCCGTCAACTTCCACAATTACCAGAATGAAAAGCCACAAACCAAAGTGAATGAAGTGAAATTTACCACACCAGATATCACATGCGGGGAAGATCGATCGATCGATCAATTCACTAGGAAGAAAGCCGAACACACGTCATAACTTTTTGGACTCGAATTCAAATCACGCATAGCTTGCTCATCAGGAAGCTAGCAATGCGGTGATTTAACAACGTCGCTTGAAGCAGACTGGACGAGGAGTTGGACTTGAGGGTGGACTTGGATAGATCGACGAACAACGCGCGCGTCCTTTCCGGGGCGTTAAGTGCTTAGTTAAGGAGTAACTAAATGCCTGTCGCGTCTTGTCATCAGGTGACCTTGCTATCTATCGCTCTTATCGGCAAACGTCTGTGCGTTAAACCTACTCGAGTATATAACTAGATAGTGGGCGAACCCTAGGATGACGCTGGAGTTCATTTGAGATTATCTCTCACTTTTCTTTTGAGGTAAATGTGAGATCTCAGCTGATTCAAATCACTGTACTATGTCGTCCTGTCGGCACCCAAGTCCTTTATTGCCAGCTGAGCTGTAACGCGCCACTACTACCCCATAGTTACCTAAAATGGTGTGGAATAAACAGCATCAGCTACCTATTTCCATTTCCACTAGATATAGATCAAAGAAGAAAGGCTACATTAGGGAATTTAGTGCGATCTATATTCATAGAACGCTCATGTAACTAAGGTGGGTAATTACATGAATTAGTTACCCCACACCAAGACCAATTATGCTTATGCATCTGCAAGGGAATATCCTATGGACATCTACACCCACTATTATAGATCATGAACTAATAGAAAAGAAACTTAGTTCTCAGCTATAGTTCAATATTAAGGAATTGTCTGTAGTTCATGCAGGAGATATTCAGAAGAAAGTCCATCATCGGCCGGTCGGTAACAGTATACTTGTGATTGATATAGAGCCCAACTTTCCCACCAAATCACTTACTTTTGACCGTAATGCAGAATTAGGTCGTTCTTCACCATTGTTATAGCAAAAGCCTATTAAAGGCCTAGCAACACTTATAGTACTTCACTGAGACTAGACTATACCGAGGGGTATGCATGTAGTCTAGCCGACGCCATAACTATAGATGGAGAGAAGACTTTAGTATCAAAGAGCCGCAGCTGCGTTTCTCCAGATATGCACTTCCAAGCATGCACTGAGACCAGGTCTCTTCGTTTATTTCTGGAGAGCGCGCTTCGGCTTGCGGGCGAGAACTATCGCATTATAAATAATATCCTTGAAGGCAAACAGGAAAGCAGCAGTGATGGCGCTCTGGCTGACCTTGGGACCGATACCTATAATATAGATAAGTCACGTGTAAAGGAAATAGAATGATACTGGTATGACTCACCCTTGTAGAGTCCAGCATAACCCTCGTCCTGGATAATCTTCTTAAAGGTGCCGTTCAGAGTCTCCTTAGGGCCATCCCTGCTGGCAACGTGCATCCGGCTCTTGAGCGTGATGTACGGGTACGTAATCGTAGTGGCCAGGATCTTGCCCAAAGCACCAAGGTAGAACGCATCCTTGGGCGTCACCCGTCTGCGACGCTCCACTATGTTCTTCAACTGCTCGAAGATAGTGTACTGGAGGATAGGATTGATCACCAGGATGAGGGCGGGGAGGACGCCAGAGAACAATGCCCGGGGACCTTCCTCGCGGAGGAGATCCCGCAGGGTCTGGAGCGTCGAACGGGACTTCTTGGGACCCGCGCCAGGCAGAGCCTCCTCGGATTCATTCTTCCGCGTTGTCATCCGCGTGTTGACGACCCAGATTGGGTTCGTGAGGAGGACTGTTGCACTTCCCGCAAGTGCGCCAGCGATCATGGACTCAACGGTCGTGAGCTTCTTCGAAGCCCGACCCGCCTTTATGGCTGCCTTCTCAAAGGCGGCTCTGGTCCATTCGTACCAGTAGTAGTATACAAAGTTGGTCACACTGATGCCAAACAAGGCGGACTCAAGGCCTGCATAGAGTCCGCTAATTCCCTCCCGTTGGACAATGCGGCGAACGGCATCCAGCGTCGTCGATTGGGCGCGCTTCGACTCGACCTGCGCCCTAGTCGATAGGGTGATGAGAGGATAACTGTCCAAATATGTGTCAATGGCCGCCGCTTAATCAAACTGCTGCTGACGAGGGTCAACGCACGTCAAAACCATAGACAAGATTCCACCTCCGGCACCAGCCAGAGCATGGGTGATGTTGTCAGTTTGCTGCGCAGCAGCAGCAGCTGCCGCAACAGACCTCTTCTGCTGCTCCACAGTAGACTGAGACATATTGAAGATGGTTTCTCGCAAGGATAAGCAAATCGATGGCTAGGCGGATGAAGCGGAGGCGTTCGCGTGGACGGAAAGCGTGGAGAAAGGAGCGGACGGACGGTCAACTGCACTGCGACAGTCTGAATAGTTACAGAACGGCAAATAAGTAAGTCAGCAGGGAAGGGATCCGAGGGAAAGGAGAGATCCGAGCAAGATGTTAAAAGTATCAGAAGGCCCCTTCATACAACCGACCGCCCGGGCGATCTCTCGCTGGGACGAATCAATGCCGGGGGGAGCGCGAGAATCCTCCGGCGGCCACGAGGAGTCAGTTCGTACCGGCCGATATAACTGACGTTCTTGGCCTGCTTCTGCCTCGGCTCGTCCGGGGAACAGTTACTTAACGCTGCGAGATCAGCGCGCAAAGAGGGCAGAAAGAGTCGATGGTTGAAATCAAGAAGCTTGAATTCCACGTCTAACTATCTATCTAGATAGTCACTATTTCTGCTGATATTGACCTTTGGCCGGGAACTTATTGGTCTCATCTACCGCCGTTCTGACGCTGCCCTGACCTACAACACCAATAATGAATATAACTAGGTAGGCTTCAAGTTGTAGTGTGTGTATTCGGGTTTTCCAGTGGATAATCATATAATAATAATAATAATAATAATAATAATAATAATAATAATAATAATAATAATAATAATAATAATAATAATAATAATAATAATAATAATAATAATAATAATAATAATAATAATAATAATAATAATAATGATGGTAGGTTCTCACTTGTACTGACATGTGAACCGAGAATGGTAATACTACCTAAAACAATTGATCTACTAGTAGTCTGGGGCGCTACTAGCCGAGGCACTTTTTACCTGTAAACGTGAAGGACAAGAGTTTCCGATTATTCGTATCGTGAGTCTAGTGTCCGTTAGGGTAACTTAGTTAGACCCCTGATCTGGACCGTGATTATCCATGCATATTATTAGTTATTAACTCGAGATCTTTCCGACCGTGACGTCGATGATTTTTTCTATTTAGTGCTTGCTATAGAAGCCATAGAAGCAGTTCAAGCATGAGAAGAGTAACTATGTCGTAAACATCCCATGTGTATACTTATTCTGGAGCATTACCAGATAATGAGCCATCCACGATCGCGATACGAACCAACCATGCAAACTTCGAGAAATACGATAGTATTGCACAAATAACCCCATCGATATCGAGGTTCCAACGAAAGATCGCAAAGTCCCGCACGTATACTTCAGCGGTCTACCTGCTACAAACATCGGGTCGTCATCTCCCTAGAAGAGATCCAACCCACCAGCACCACACGGTTTAGACAGTCTCGAGATTTGATTGCATTCTTGCCATTAACCATATTCAACGAAATATGAAAAGAAGCAACGAATCCAACCTACAGACGTGGTGATGGTGGGTGATGATGGTGAGAGATAAAAAATGGTGGCATGGGTCGACAAAACATAAAACACTAGCAACATAAAGCAGATAGAAGAAAAGGATAATAGGGATGAACCGCGGGCCATCTAGAGCACGGCGAAAAGGGGAAAAAAAAAAAAAAAACAGGTCACAAGAAGCCGATCTCCAGCCAGCGAAGGACAGTCGTGCAGGCAGTTCCCACCACCGTCACCTGGACCACACCCATCAACGGGACAGACAGAAAAGAAAATTAGCCCGATGAGTCTGTCCAGCACGACTACACAATGTACCCCTTGAAAAGCCTTGTTCATGATGCAAACTTCACGCCAAACTGGGCAATACAACAGCAAAGATCGTCTCGTTTAACAGCAGCCGCTAGCGGACCCGGACTGGACGCCCTGACCCTGGCCGACCTGGACGGTGGGCTTGTTGTTGACGGTCGTAGTGCCCATTCTCTCCTTGATCTGTCTGGCCATAGTCAAGAAAGCCTGCTCGACGTTGGAAGCGCTCTTGGCGGAGGTCTCGAGGAAGGGGATTCCAAGGCTGTCGGCGAATTCCTGCAAGACAAAACGGATGAGCATTCACGCAAAAGATCGTTCTCTGTATGGAGGAGACGAACCTTGGCGACAGTGTACTCCACGACCTTCTTGTCCTCCATATCGCTCTTGTTTCCGACGAGGAGCTTGTTGACGCCCTCGGTGGCGTAGCGGTCAATCTCCTGCAGCCATTGCTTGACGTTGTTGAAAGAGTCCATGTCCGTCACATCGTAAACGACGCAGATACCGTGAGCGCCACGGTAGTAAGAGGAAGTGATGGTTCGGAAACGCTCCTGACCGGCGGTGTCCCACTGTATCGCCGTTAGCCCAAGCAGAAGCATAGAATCTAGATATTTTGAGGCACATACAATCTGCAGCTTCACTGTCTTTCCATCGAGCTCGATGGTCCGGATTTTCTAGAGCAAGTCACCCCGTCAGCACCATCTCACCGCCCCCCCGATAGCATAAGTCCTCAGGCACAGGTTCGAGGGAGGGAATGCATACGAAGTCGACACCGATGGTAGATATGTAACTCTCCGTGTATGTGTCGTCAGCAAAACGCAGCAGAAGACAAGACTTTCCGACACCGGAGTCTCCGATGAGGAGGAGCTTAAAGAGATAATCGTATCTGGAACGAGTTACTGATTAGTATCCCCGACCAATGCGGGCGAGAGACGTGGGATTTCGAAGAACGACGCGACGCCAAGTCGAGAGGATGAGGTGGCAGAAAGGTACTCTACACAATCAGAGGCGTGGTTAGCGTGATAGATCGGTCTTGAAGAAGTGGTAACCAGATGGCTGAATGTCGTAACGACAGCGTTTACGGCGCCAGAGGCACTTACCACTCGGGATTCATGATGAACGAAGACGGGTTGGCGTTGGACGGGGTGGGGAAGAAACGGTCGAGGGAGTCAGAACAAGAGGCAGGACTACGGGACCGGAGACTCTGGATATCAACACCGGTGGGAGAGCGATGCTGGAGGATAGTAGAGTATCGATTCGAAGGGGCGATATGAACGGTAAGGTTGCGTTGCTCAGTAGTGCAGGAGAGCAGGAGAGCACGGCGTGCAACTCTCTTCTGACTTGGGCGGTCACTGGATGAGCGGGCGAAACCAAACGCTGGACGGCTAGCGCCCGATGCAGTCTAGCCCCCAACAGCCCTGGATCAGTGGATCGAGCTCGACCCTGGAGATAGATATCATATCATATCATATCATAGATAAAATCAATTAATTACCTAGTGACCAATGTAGCAATCAGCTGCACCGGGCGTCTGCCATGAGCGACACAGAGTCATGCGTTGCTGACCGCAAGATCCCAGGTGGCCTCAGGTGACTGGCGCGATGCAGCGGTTTCTGGGTCCTGTCTTACCACTGTTACTAGTATTATATATTACTATTACAACTATTACAGCAACAACTAGTTACTACCACGACTAAGGAGCTACTCTCGAAGCCTACAGATGCGGGGAAAAGGGGAGACCCTAGACTCTCTCTCTCTCTCACTTCAGTTGGGTTAGACTTGCATCTCATTATCGCGTGGCTCTAGATATCAATGTATGTCTGCTGCGCCCAACTGCAACGCTTGGCTTCCGAACCTGGTGAAACGGCCTATTGTAGTTATGTGGCTTACGCGTATCCGTGTGCCTGCAACCACTGCAGCGCCAGCTTCTCGTCCCTCTCCCGGTATCGCGAGTTGGTCCGGATGGTGTCAGACACAATCACCAGAGCCCGTTCGTAGGCACTGGTGTCCTTGTCCTTGAAGAAAGACTTGATATCCTCTCCGATCGCAGCGTCGGCGAATTTCGACAGGCCCATGCGCACAAACCGTTCAAACACCACATTGTTCGCAGACAGACGCTGTGCCACTGCGTCCCAGTTGGACTTCATATAATCCCACAGCAGGTGTCGGACTTCAGAGTTCGCTGCCAGGGACACGGCTCCGTTGTGGATATCCTGGACAGGAACCTTATCGGAGAAGACAAAGTCCAAGTAATCCTTGACAAGCTCAGGGTTCTTCGTACGACCAAGCGACGCTAGGCAGATCTCCTTGCCATCGACAGAGTCGGTCCGCAGATATTCTTCCTTAACCGCCTCGTACTCCTCGCGGCCTCCTTCTCTCACATTGATGCTGAAGATGGTCGATCTAAGGTTGGGATGGATGGCGTTGCGGTCCTTGCCCGTAGCCCACAGCTGGAAGCGCCGCTTGGCTTCAGCAACAATGCTAATGTCATAGTTAGTTACGCCGCATGAGAGAAGCATCGCTTCATGGAGCCTACTTGCCTTTCGTGTCCTGCAGTTCCTGCCGACGAGAGCACCAGCTTCCGAAGTTGACCCGTAAGGTAGTCCTCGTCGGGCTTGAATTCCCAACCCAGCTTTTCAGCAGTAGGAGACACCAGTTTCAATGTGAACCTCTTCAGGGCCGCAGCCGTCTCCTTGTCTCCGGAAAATACAGATCTCATGTTTGCGAGAGACGTTGAAAGCTGCTGCCAGACCCTGGACGATATGCTTTAGCAACAATGAAGATCGGCGAAGGTATTAACGACACTTACAAGTAGTTCTGCTCTTCTCGGAAGTTCTCGAGCAAACCCAGCAGAGCAGCTGTAGTGCCCTCTCCCGACACAGCCAGGGCGGCAGCATCTCCGACCAAGCCGATCTTGTCTTCCGTGCTCAGCAAGTCAAGAGACTGTCCAAGCTTGGCCAAGCGAGCAGGAGGGTAGTTGGTTCTGTAGAAGCCCGACTGGTCCTTGTTGAGTTTGTAGAAGTCTGCATCAATGTCCTTAACGGTAGAGGTCTTGGCGACCAAGGAACGGGGGTCTTCCTTTTGCAATTTGGGGCCAGATTTGATTCCCAGAGGAATCCACCAGACGGTCTCGTCTTCTTCCGGCTTCACGTCACCGGTAGACAAGAACCTCTTCTGCTGGATTCCAATCTGGCTAGGTTCCTCTGCGACTGTAACCACGGGGAAACCAATCTTACGGATCCATGGGTCCTGGAAGATGTTAATAAACGGAACGATCGACAACGGGGCGATTCTAGACTCGCCATGAAACTTGTGACATCCTGGCCAGAGGCCTTGCTGAGAGCCGACCAAAGGTCATTGGTGGTAGCATTTCCTGTTACACAGAGGTCAGAATGCAATCTCCTCCACGGAACCAAGAGTATCTCACCGTATGCATGAGATTTAAGGTAATCGGCCACACCGCGAAGGAAGACATCCTTTCCAAGATGGCTGCTCAACATGCGGATAACCGAGCTTCCCTTAAGATAGCTGATATGGTCAAAAATCTGGTCGACCTCAAGAGCGTTTCTCACGGGTACTTCGATGGGGTGGGAAGCGCGCAGCGAGTCGAGTTGGAAGGCTTGTTGAACACCCTCAGCCTGTGCAAATGTCAACATATATTCGAAAGTCTTGGGAAATACCTCGAGAGCTTCGTACGACAAACTGAGACCAGATATTCCATTCTGTTCATGGCGTTAGGATGTGTCTACCGTTATGTGGATGTGGAAATCTTACCCGGATAGAAGTGATCGACGGCAAGCCAACCGACCCAGGTCGCGAATCCTTCATTCAGCCAGAGCTCATTCCACCAATCCATCGTCACGAGGTTTCCGAACCATTGGTGTGCCAATTCTGATCGTAGTCAGTCAGTGTCGAGCTGCATAGCCTCAATGTGAGATAAGATTTACCGTGTGCAACGACGTAGGCAATGCGGTTTTTGTATCTAGCGTCAGACTTGGCCTCATCGAACAAGACGGCGGTTGTACGATAGGTCACGAGACCCCAGTTTTCCATTGCACCCATGGCCTAGCCATAAGGAATGTCAGCAGCAATCGAGTTAAGGAAAAACAAGAATAGGCACGCATTGCAGGTATATCCTAGCGATGTGTGATACTTACGAATTCGTGGACCGCAAGCAAGTCCGCCTTGGGGAGGGGGTACTCGATCTCGAAAACCTCAGAGAAATAGTCCACTGTTCGGTGAGCGCACTCCAAGGCGAAGCGAGCCTGGTCCTTGAGGCCCCTCGTCGTGTATACTCGCACAGGAATACTGGCACCCTTATATTTACGCTGCGTGAAAGCTTCGACATATTCGAAATCACCAACTGCCCAAGCAAGTAGCTAGACTGCGCAGTTAGCATGAGCTCTTAAGTACGGTATAACGAGATATACTGACATAGGTGCTCATGATGGGCGTTCTATCGAAAGAGACGAACTTCAGACCAGGCTTGTTTCCATCCCGTACCGATTTGACGGGCATGTTGCTGAGAGCAACCTGTTCCTTGGGGACCTCGAGCTCAAAGTCAAATGTTGCTTTCAGATTCGGTTCATCAAAACAGGGGAAAGCTCTTCTAGCATCGCACGACTCGAACTGAGTGCTCAGCATGTAATAGAAGTCGCCCTCCTTTGGCGTGTCGGCGGCCGGGGTTGCAACTGGCTTGTACTTCGACCTATAGAATCCGGCCATCGCGCTGTTCATTGTTCCAGTGAAATCAATCTTCAGAACCGTCTTCGAAGGAGCTATCTCGTTGGGGAATTCGAGCGCAACACGCTCCGACTTCTTATCGTAGGTAATTTGGGAAGCCTTGGCCGACGCGGATCCTATTGTCAAATTCCGTATCAGCACTCAGTTCCAGGGGTGCGAAAGGAGAACTTTGTGTATGAAAAGGGCAAACGAGAACAATACACAGCTGTGATGTTCACTTACCATCCTTAGCAAGGATCTCGGCGCTCTGTACATCGATTTCCTTGGAGTTCAGCACGATCTGCTTGGTAGGCTTAGTGACATCGAGATCGATCTTGACAACACCCTTGTAGCTCCACGATCCGCCGAATTCCAGGTCAAAAAGTGACAGGTCATAGTGAATTGGCTTTGCCCTGGTAGTGTATTAGAGCTCCAGGATCTCTCGCGTGATTATGTAGCTATGGATATCCATCAAGTTCCACTCACACGTCCGGCAGCGTCTCTCTATCCTGTGCAACCATTGTGCGTGATTCGTAGGAGCAGCGTCTCACCGTGGGAGTATTTCCAAAGGAGACCGGAATAAGACGAAAAGATGCGCGAGAATGCAGAGGAGCTATATGGCGGGGCGCGAGGGAGGGGAAGGAGGGGAGCCGGCGGGAGGTTGGCGGGACGCTTTGATGGGTTGCATGACAACGAACAACATCAGCGCTCAGTCCGCGCTGGAGTCCCTTGGCTACACTTCTTCGTGACCGGACAGCCCACATCTGCTGCGACCCTGGTGCGTGGCTAGTGGGCGGGATATCTGGCGACGATTTTATCGATTCACGAGCTGTCTCGTCTTGCGAAGAGACTCGAAAAAAAAAAAGAGCAGAGCAAGGGAGAAAGGGAGCTCCGAGGGAGCTTGGGCCTTGCCTATCATCTCCGACAGCCGCACTTCGCCCGACCCAGCAAGGACCTATTTTTTCGCCAACGGTCGTGGCCAGCACTGCTACAGAAATCATGGCCGATTCCGATGAGGAATATATCGGAGAGATCACAGACGATGAGGAGGTGGGCTCCCATCAGGTGTCGCGCGACACCCGTTCGAGAAAAAGACAACGAGGAGGCGCGGAGTGGGAAGTCTCAAGAACATGGGAAACGCTGGTAGAAGGTGCAGATGGGACTATCAGCTCGACGGTGGAAGGCTTATTAGAAGCTGGGAAAAGGAAGAGGTGAGCTTGGCCGAGCAGGCTGCGTCTAATGGAGCTCCTCCGTCAAGAGTAGAAGCCAGAGATCGAGAGTGATGGTGCTGAACTGGGATTTCCTTACAGGCTGCTCAGAGATACGACTCCACTGCAGCGAGGTATCATTCGGCATTTGATATTACTCTTGGATCTCTCGCAGGCCATGGCTGAGAAGGACCTCCGGCCTACGCGCTACCTCCTTATGATTCGATATGCGCAGGAGTTCGTCGTGGAATTCTTTGAACAGAACCCTATCTCCCAGCTCGGTATCTTGGGTATGAGGGATGGTCTGGCAGTCAGAATCAGCGACTTGAGCGGGAATCCCACAGAACATATCAGCGCCCTACAACGCCTCAGAGCGCAGGACCCAAAAGGGCTGCCCAGTCTTCAGAATGGGCTTGAGATGGCCCGCGGTGCACTATTGTATGTCATCTGAGCTCCATTTGTGCAATATCCTGAGTTTGATGCTAATTCACTAAAGCCACACCCCCAAACACGGAACGCGAGAAGTGCTGATCGTCTTTGGTGCCCTCCTTTCCTCGGATCCTGGGGACATCCACCAAACGATAAACACGCTTATAAACGATAAGATACGAGTAGCCGTGGTCGGACTCGCAGCACAGGTTGCGATATGCCGTGTACTCTGTGCGAAAACTAATAGCGGAGATGATACAGTGTATGGGGTTGCACTTAACGAGCAACATTTCCGCGAGTTGATGATGGAAGTGACAACACCACCTGTCCAGCATTCCCAGAAACAGGCTGCTAGTTCCCTATTGATGATGGGATTTCCATCCCGTACGGTTGAATCAGCTCCGTCTTTGTGTGCTTGCCATTCCAAGCCCTCGCGTGGAGGATATCTATGTTCCAGATGCAACAGCAAAATCTGTAGCCTACCCGCAGAATGCCCAGCATGTGGTCTTACACTCATTCTCTCCACCCATCTTGCTCGATCATACCATCATCTATTCCCACTTATGAATTGGGTTGAGGTACCCTGGCAGAACGCCTCGAAGAGCTCTAATTGCTTTTCATGCGGCGTCAACTTTCCCCCGGTTCCGCCTGAGGATCAATGGCTGGTCACGGAGAACCACGCTCATACCAAAGGGATGAGTGTGAGCAGCCGTTACGAATGTACAGCCTGCGGAAATCATTTCTGCATTGATTGTGATCTATTTGCTCATGAGGTTGTGCACAATTGCCCTGGTTGCCAGAGTGGCCACATTAGGTCAGAAAAGAAGGAGGATGTCTCAATGTCATGAAAAATGGATTTTATCGGAGTTTATTGGAAATAATGAAAAATAGGCGCTCCTGGTCGGATTGTGTCGGCGCGCAAGAACTCGGAAAATGTGTGTACACTAGTTACAAACCTACTTAACTATGCATGAAAAGGAAAAATGTACAGTCGCGAAGTCATTGTTAGCATTATTTTCTGCAGTATTTTGTTGAGATCTATCCTGTCAAGGAAGTGGTAATGGGATATTGTCCCTCTGTCTGGATATATTAAGTATGCATTTGGTGGTTTTAAGTAGTAGTACCTAGTTGGCTTAACATAATCATCAAGAAACCCCTCATATCAGCATCCAGCGCACCAAAAGCCAGATAAACTATTACAATAATTTACCCCCTCCTATACCATTACCAAGGTACATATATCCATACTCTAACTACCAAGACTTAACGATAGACACTATAAGTAATATTAATACTTCGAGTAGCGTCGTCTGCTACGTCATGGTCTTAACCCCTCCACTCAGTGTCCCGCTCCCGAGCTTAGAGTACCTAATCACTTACCTATCTACCTAGAATCGATTTAAAGGACTCCGCACAACTCACATGCAAAACGAGGTTCGTTCTTTTTGTTGTGATACCCACCAAGTACTTAGTTCGTTGCGTTGATTTCTTTTCGTTCTCCTTTTTATATCGATCGATATAGCTTCTTCTTCTTCTTCGTCCTCTTTTTATTATTATTCCGTGTCACACACACACAACACGGCAGGCTGAAATGGCATCTCCAGCAACGCCCGTTACGACGGGTACGACTACACTGGAATCACGCTTTAATGAATTGAAAGCATATCCATTCTCGACCGATCTCGAGTTTAGAAAGGGCCTCGCGGTTATTCTCGGTCATCCCGAGACGTCTGCCACGGATGAGGAGATCAATCGTGAAGATGACCTGGTGCTGCAGGCTAAATGCTTCTACTTCTCGAGGTGAGTCCGCTTTCTACTCTAGCCTAGTCTTGTGGAGATCTTCTTATGCAAAGGCTATAATCGGATGTGAACGGCGACGGACTAGATGCTTACTGATATATTACTTTTTTGGCAGGAAGGAGAATCTGACACCGCCTCTTGATTTTTCAGTGTATAGAAACTGGTTGAGGTCGACGTCTGCGTCTGCGTCGGCGTCTGCACAGTCGCCTAACGAGGCTCAGGAGCAGGGCAGCAAATCACAGGATGAGGTTCCACAGAAAGCAGAGGCGGCGTCATCTTCGCAGGCAGGAATCGAATCAAAACCAGACGGAACAACTAGCGTTGAGCCTGCATATCCTTCCTCTTTCGCGCATATAGTCGAGCTCATAACCACCGGACAACCAGTGCCTGGCATCCAAGAGATCCCAGATACAGTATTGACTGGCCAAGAGGCACCAAGCACGCGGGAGAAAAGACGGAAGCCATGGGAGAAGCCCTCGACGGATGAGGCCGCCTCACAACCCCTAGAGGGTTAAACAATAAAGGACATCGACAAGCATCTGATCCAAGCCCCATGCTGCCTGCTGCTGACAGTCACGCCAGCCCCGTAGGTCTTCCCGATCAGTCCTCCTTTGACCTGCGTGACTACCATGTTGATGCAGCAGGATATACTATTGCAGCCTCTATTTCATGATCCTTCTCTACTTCTTGAATCAAGCGCTCGTGCCTCACAGACTGCTCGGGTGTATCAATAACATATGAACTGATATTCCTAGAGAAAGAAGGATTCGATAACATACAGGATGTTTTGGTAGTATGAGCAAGAAAGGTGAGCTTTAAGCCACCGCCACCGGTTCCTGCGCCTCCGGACAAGTAAGAAAATGAATGTGAAAAGAGTGACAGGAAAAGTAATCAAACATTTGAGGGAGATCCCTCCTGAGATAGAAAATAGTTGTGAATGAAAGCAGGTACACCAGTAATATTACTGCTGACAAGGGAACAAGAGCACTCATATGAAAGGAGACAATTGCCACGAGAGAAGCATGCTTAACCAGGGGCACCTCTTGCTTTTTCTCTCTCGGTAAACCAAAGCCCCGGAGATAACGATCCATACAAATTATGTCTTTGGGCTGCTTTAGAATGTGACCATCTTCAGAGATATGACAACTTAGAGTGACGGTCGTTAGCTGACACTGCAGCCGAAAGAATTAGAAATAGATATGTCGTACCGTAGTAGTAAACAGGCGTAAAGTTCAAACGATGAGACTGATTCGTTTGTGCTTTGGCGTTCATCAGCCAAGGCAGGACTTTTGCTGACGGTAGACGCCCTTGAACCAAAGACATAACCCACGCATCTGACTCCTAGAAAGAGCATATTATATTCAAATGTGTATTCGAACAAGTAGTTGTTGACATTTTTTGATTTTAGCGCGGATGCTGTCATCCACTTCTGGTAATCCGATCACAGGAGATCGTCACGATTCCATTGTCAGTTGGTTCAGTTAACGGAAAGGAGGATATCCAGTATTCCACTGGTTACCGCGGTTGAATCGACCACCAATTTGAGATGCCACGGGGTAGCGCTCGTCGTTCGGGTTGCCAAAACGGCTCAATTGGACGCCAGCACCTGGGCCAGGACGCGTTGTGTGAGAAGGGTTGCAGCAGAGCATGGCGACTCTTGAGCCAAACTTAGAACCGCGAAGGGAAACCATATGTTTTCTGTAGGCAATAGGTTAACAAATATATCTTGAAAGTATGCGTACTACCTATACCTGATGTGAGTAGCAACCAATTCGCGCTGATGAGGAGCTGCATTCATCAGGATCCATTGAATCAAGTAGTTTCCGTATTGGTCTCCCGCGACTATGCACAATCAGCATCAAGATATCCTTTTTTTTTCCCAGAACCTACTGTCAATTAGCGGCATACGAGGGCGGTCCGGACGCCCGGTGCAGACGCGAGCAAGGTACCGGTCAAGGAACTCGCTACCGCCGATCTTCAGACACTTTTCCACGACTTTAGAAGCAAACTGATCCATGCTGTAATCAGTTGCCCAGAGAAGAATGTGTTCAATAGCCCGACTCTTGTCGTGGGGAGCGCCATGTTCACAGATGTGTTGTATACACCAGTTACCAAACTGGCCATGAGAGAGAAGATCGATCTTCGCCAGGACTTCTTCGATTGCTGGGCGCTTTATCATAGTTTAGTCTTTGGTCAAAATTACCGCAAGTTTTCGACAATTACCTTCTCATCTTCGACACAATTCTCAAAGATATTCTGTACTACGAGACTTCCAGTCTCGCCCAATGCCACCTCATGCCACATTCCTCGTAGGGCCTCGTTAACTTTCGCCATAATCTGTGGAGGCTCATTGCTCCAACGCAACTCGAAGAGCTTCTGCCAAACATGGCAAGCGTAACGGTGAATAACTGTCTCCGGAATCCGACGCAAAAGTTCATGGACCATCACAGCTTTGTGTTCCTCAGGGACACAATCAAAAGCCTTTTGGATCACATGGCAACCAAAAGGATCCATACTGAGGCTTAATGTATTGCCTCTGATCGCGTTTGCGATAGCGACAACTTGCTCAGGCGTTCCATGCTCGAAACAGCGCTGGACCAAGAAGTTCCCGAACCGGTTCACCATGAGAGGATAAGCTTGACTCACTATCGCTTCGATTATCTCGTACTTCTGCTCAGCAGTGCCAACCTTGAGCTTCTGTTGGAGAAATATAGAGGCTTGCTGGTCGTTTCCGCATACAATCTTGTCGACGATGTATTTCCAATCACACGAGACATTTTTGTCCAGGAGACGGCGATAGTTCAATGGCTCAAGTGGTGAGATATATGTCTGGGAAGAGTTTGTCCCAACCTTAAATATGTCAGATTTGTTTTAAAATTGCGTTAGGATATCTGGTACTTACCGCTGATCCTGCCCAGGGAGCAACATTTCCATTGGCCGAAGTGAATTCTGCAGCAGTTGGTGAAAGCGGAGTCCCAATGGGACGGGGCTGGTACGGCAGGACAGGGAACATCCCAACCTGCTGGTAAGCCCCAATGTGCTGGTTTGGTGCTGGTCTGCTACCGATATTGTTCGGAACTCCAGCAGGAAAAGTGCCCCAAGGCGAATTCTGTGGAGGAAAGCAGGAGCCACCACGGTTCACTTGGGTGAAAGAGCGACGAGGTCCAAGGTTAGGACTTTGTAAGTACACCGTTTGCTCACCGGAGTACCGTCCATCAAAGCTAAATCCCGCATTAGAAGAAGGACCTGAGAGTACTCGATGAGCCTGGTATGGACCCTGGCCAGGATGGCACGGTGTGCCAACGTTGCTGTCCCAATCACGACTGTGCTCCTGAGCTCCGGAGTTACCAGGCATGGAAGGAAACTCGCGATAGTTCTTGTCATTCGAAGCTGGAAGGTTAGCCCCAAATACCTGTTGAGGGGTAGTCCAAAAACCGCGGGTTCTGTTATATGCACCAGCAGATAGTGCATCGGATATATCAGAGCGCGAATCATCTTGGCCAACCCATGACTCCGCGCGTTGGCTGACAGACCGAGTAGAGGCATTGAACGCACTTTGGAGGTTGCTAAGAGTTTGCTCCGTAATGTCACGGCCGTTAAAGTCAGCCTCTGAAGGCGGTCCAAGTGCTTGGTCAAGGGTATGCTTTATGACGCGTGTCTGCGCCAATTCTTGTTCCTGAAGCGCGATACGTGAGTTGGCAGCGAGTAACTCCTGCTTCAGGCGGAGCATTTCAATGGTATCTACTCTCTCATGGTCTCGCTTTGTCATATCTGCGCTGCTAGGGACCGTGAAAGGTTCAGTGGCAGGAGTCCGGAGCGATGCACCAGAAGAACCATCGTCTTCTCCCTGGACAGCGGAAGGAGTATTGACCCTGCCATGAAGCAGCTCCTGTCTCTCCAAAGACACCTGGCGCTCCAAAGTTTCGGCGATAGTGTCCTTAGTAGTCTTCTCAAGGATCGACTGAGGCTTAGGGGAAAGCTTGGCGAGAAGTCTCTCCATCTCGGATGTGTGATGTTCAGCGGATGACATGGTAGAGGAGTGTTCTAGCTTCTGCTTCTATGACTGTGAATCAAGAAGTCATCTACAAAAGAGTGAGATGGTCTGACCTTGCTCGACGGCACATCTTCGCCGTTGCTCACGCGGGACTGGTTGTTTCCAGATTTCCCAGGCTTTGGGACTGCAGGAAGACAGCTAGACATGTTTGGATCTTCCTGCTTAGGGATTGAATAATCGTCAGAAAGCTGATATTCTGGGTGTCTATGAAAACAAAATGGAAGACACAAAAATCAAAACGCGTCGAGAGATGGACGTACCGTAGCCACACGAGCCAAAGTAACTGCAAGGCCTTCAGAGCTGCCCTCATAGGGAATTGAAAGATGACCACGGCCCTTGTTGTCAGATCCCGCTGCTGGTCCAAATGGGAGCGACATTTCAACCCGATGAACACTGTTTGGTAACTGCGAGAAGGCTTCAAAAAATACGAGCGCCGAGAAAAACAGTATAGAGTACCAGATGAAAGGAAGCTGCAACAATGTGTGTTGGTCACCTGCACGCCCAGCGGGCTAGACGTGCTGAAATCAAAGACCAAAGAAGAAGCTTGAACAAGAGTGCTAGTACCAGGCACTGAAAGATTACGAGATTCAGAAGCAAAGCTGAGAGATATGCAGGTAGATAGTAGAAAGTAGAATTGAAAAGATGCAATGATCTGGCAAGCCAGATAGATACTCAAAGAACTCAACACGAGTCGGGAAGGAAGCTTAGAACGAGCGTAGGAATGGAAGGCTGGACGGTGGATAGAAAGAATTGAGAAGCGTCAACAGAGACAAGAGGGGGAGGAGGATGAGAAGGAGGAGGAGGGAGCGATGTTCCTATAACACCACTGTCCCAAAGAGGAAGGAGCATCAACAACCTGAACCTGGAAAGAACCTGTGGACCGGAGGATCTCGAGATACAGCCCTTGGGCACTCTCACATCCTGAAGGATGAAATAGAAGATGCAAGACAAAGTACAACAAGTTGTTTGAGCTCACAGCTTTGTAGGCTAGTGTCTCGTGAAGCTACAGGAACGAATCGCCATAGTAAAACAAGTAGATCAGGGTCCTATGCGCAGGCTTGCTACCGGATAGAGTAGAGAGCACTGAACAAGACTTTCATTTCAATGATGCAATGAAACATCGCTCTGAGCAGAACATCATCACAAAAAGAATTATCAGCAGCTCTTATAGTCATCTCTTGCTAGACATGTAATCATTAGAAAGCATATATGAATTGGCAAGTTTCTCGGTCTCTTGGGAATAGAGAGAGAGTAGAACTTTGTCATGCGGAAGTAAATAAGAGCTATCAAAAGGTGTGGTGGCCGTAATTCTTACTCTCTGTATAAGGAACATGTTCTGATGAAACCAGTAGCCCCAGAACAATGACATGACCCAATCATTGTGCAATGTCATTTCAGATATCGGTCGAATATAAGAGCGGTTAGTCGTAGGAACCAACATGGGGTTCGTTGGAGTAGCGTTTTATTTAACAGAAGAGTTACGAGGACATATATCACACCCAACCTCTCTTGCCATGGGATAGACAAGCGATAATACCGCCACGTCCACTGAAATAGGACAGTATTACGAACACACAAAGGTCATCGAAGTTAGGCAACTGTGTGCCATTGCGTATATCTTGAAGTGAAAGACCGGGGAATCGTAGATCCACGTAAGGAGCCGCCTTTGTCCCCATAGTCGAGGAGAAAAGATGAATCCCCGAAAGGGCTGGAACGTGGATGATAGGCATATCTGTGATTGGTTAGAGAAAGATCCCACCTGTCGCCTCTAATCTAACAAAGGCTAAGCTCTTTAGCTTGCGCCCAGAATCGATTTCGACGACATCGACGTTCAAACGGAGAGAGTGTTCCCTAACACGGTAACTAAATTTGATAGTAGTCCCTTAATCAGCTCGAGTGCCTGCCAATAATAACTTATAAGAGTACGCCGTATATTTTCCAGATGAAGGATGAAGCTGTACTTCGATATCATTATTATTATTATTGTCCACGGGCGAAGATGTCAAACACGTGATTTCACTGTGGCTTCCCGCTGCCGAGTACTTCAGCCTCTTAAAACGGACGCTGACGACGACTCGATACCAACGGAACCAATCCTTCCACGTTTTCCGAAACTACATATTACCACCAAACGAAAGCACTGTCGCTGCCCACGCCGGATGTCAAATCGAGTTGGTAACTAGACCAGGCGATCGATCCCCAGTTTATGTATCGACTCGCGATCCCAGACAATGCAGTGCTAGTTCAACACGTCCATTCGTTACCTGTTCCTTGCCGAGTCCAGTGTCTCGGCTGCTACACCTTCCGTACCGATGTTCAATCTGTATAGACGCTCTTTACTGTGAACGACTTGCAAAGGTTTCATTTCGATTCCCAATTGCGCCGTGGTAGGGTGCATATTGGAGATTCCGCCGAAGAAATTGCCTCTCGATTTCCGGTATGGTCTCCCCCGCGGAGGGTCGTACGATGTCTCAAGACGATACTGACATATCCAGTAGCCCGTAACTTAGGCCTGGGACTATGAGCACGACCACAGTGACCGGTACGCAGCGGCGAGCATCAATTCGGCAGACACAACCACCCGTAATACAGACATCAAGCGCGCATTCGATGCCGAGCCCCGTCGATAAATTCCCAGACTTCCATGATGATTCGCATGAGGCCTTAACAGATAAAGGGCTTCCTTCCCTTCAATATGCGGCGAACGATACCTGGCAGCCGCGCAGAGGAGGCAATCCTCCTTGGGCGCATGCTGCGGGGCCAAGAGGATCGAAACATCGACCGAGAAAGAGTATAAACGAGGCGTTGACCACCATTAGAACTGGGAATGGTGGCGTGAGCGCCAATGCGCACGAGCTGGCGGAGGCGCTCAGGGCTCCAGTGTCGGTCAGACTCATTGTAAGGCAGCGTCCCTGTTGTGACGTCCGTTTTCATTCCCGGCATCTTGGCTTACCAGCTTGAGCTCCCAGGTACTATGTCTTATCTGGTATATGACTTCGGCCCTGACGAATACGTCGTCTAAATCAATTCTCAACGCGCTTCCAAAGCCGATAACTCTTACTATCGTTCAGTTCGCTTTCGTCTCAATGTGGTGCTTACTGCTCGTATACATGTCGAGATTATTCCCATCACTCAAACGAGCAGTGCCGGCCCTCAAGCACGGCATCCGTCGCCCATCGAGGGAGGTGATTATGACGGCGTTGCCCCTGGCGATATTCCAGCTGGCTGGTCATATCCTCAGTTCCATGGCCACATCCAAGATTCCAGTATCTCTCGTCCACACAATCAAAGGATTGTCGCCTCTCTTTACCGTGCTGGCATATCGGTTTGTGTTCCGTATTCGATACGCAAGGGCAACTTACATGTCCTTGATTCCCTTAACTCTCGGTGTGATGCTCGCCTGCTCGACCGGTTTCTCCACCAATTTCTTCGGCATCCTGTGCGCCTTCCTAGCTGCAATAGTATTCGTCTCTCAGAATATTTTCTCCAAGAAGCTCTTTAATGAGGCAGCCCGTGCGGAACAAGACGGCCAGTCTGGAGCGCGTAAACTAGACAAGCTAAACCTATTATGCTACTGCTCAGCGCTTGCATTCATACTGACCGTGCCTATCTGGTTTGTCAGCGAAGGGTATTCTCTGATCAAAGACTTCTTCCAAGACGGTGCGGTTGAGCTGTCAGGAAAGAGAGGCGCACTGGACCATGGAGCCCTCTTTGTCGAGTTCGTTTTCAACGGCATATCTCATTTTGCCCAGAACATCCTAGCGTTTGTTCTGTTGTCCATGATCTCTCCGGTGTCCTATTCAGTTGCCTCTCTCATCAAACGTGTTTTCGTGATAGTGGTTGCGATCGTGTGGTTTGGAAGTCGCACAACACCTATTCAGGCGCTTGGTATCGCACTCACCTTTCTCGGGCTATATCTCTATGATCGCAACAGTCATGATGATGTTGCTGATCGTCGGGCGAATGCGGACCATTTCCGATCCAAGGACTCTGTTCTGCCTCTGAACATTGGCACTCCCAGCAAACCGCGAGACTCACATGGATACGGGTTCCCTCCCGCCAAGATTGGCGAAAATCGTCGTCCTGAAGGCTTCAGTGCGGCGGTTGCTGACCAGAGGAAGGAAGATGATGGACCGGGGCCAACAAGAGATAGAAGCACCTCACACACGTGGTTACCGCCTGGAACTAGGCAAGAGTCGACATGGCAACCCGGTGACGCAGGGTCTTCGAGATGATCTTTTGCAGGCCTTGCGTCTCTTTATGTACCATATTCGGATCATGATATATTTATTTGAATGGCGTTGAAGAATGTACTCTACAGACCCCACGGGGAAGACATGTCTGATGTCATGTCGCCTGATCAGAGCATTAAAAGCGCCTTTGATCGTTTTGTGTCCAATCTAGATAAGGAATTTGGTAATGACATCTTATGTTGACCATACCATACATGCGAATGCGCACCTATTAGATGATCATCTTGCGGACCTGATATCATTCAGGGCGGTTGATATCGGATACGGAGTACATAGGGTCCCCATATCGTCGTAGCGTAAACTCATTATTATTGTGCGATTCAACAGCGACAATGAGCAACGAAGAGTCTCCAGTTGTAGGGACATAAATACGGAAAGAAAGGAAGGAAAAGTTCGTCTGTAATAATATCATCCAGAACAATCTTTACGACCTGCATTGGTGAGAATAATAATGCAGAATTGTAGCGACCGTCGGTAAGGAACGGAACCGTAATCAGACAGAATCTTCTGCCCTCAGTCGCTCCAGCTACGGCGCCAAAAAGAAACTTGTTCTGGGACTGTGTAGCAGAGGAGGAAGAGATCAATCCTCAACTGAGAAGGATGCACTACCACCTACAATAATCACGCCCGTAATGAGTATTATATTTAATAAAAGAAGAAAGGGAAAAAAGAGAGGGGGGAAAAAAAGAAGAAAATTGAGTGGTTGTTAATCAGCGGGACGGAGAAAAGAATGCTCCGCGCTGCCGAACCAATCTGAAGCCGGTGATTTGAGACGCCATCCCGACGAGGGTCTTGGCAGAGAATCCGAGTGAGGTCAAAAGTACTTCGACCGCGAACAACAGCTACTCCATCCTCTGCCCTTGTTCCCCCCGCCCTTCTCTCTGCCTCTCCTGTCGCAGTATTTCCTCCTGTCCTAATTACTGCCCTCTCCATCATGCGGCCGCAGCTGCTTCGTGCGGCCGCCCGTTCGAGGCGGGTTCCGAGGATCAACTATCCCAGAACCTTCGCGTCGACGACCCCTCGGGCAGCCGAAGTGGAAATCACAATTGGTGCGTCTAGCATAGTCTGCTGTATATTTCGGTAGTGGGAGATCATTGACTAATTGATTACAGATGGCAAAAAGGTTTCAGTAGAAGGTAGGAAGAAGTTGGATGGTCGTCTGATGTCGTTTGCTTACATATCATCATAGCCGGCTCTGCCCTTATTCAAGCTTGTGAGAAGGCAGGAGCGACAATTCCGAGGTGAGAGGAGATGATCATATCTCTAATAAGGCTCAATGCTAACTTGAAGGCTACAGATATTGCTACCATGAGTACGCTACCCCTCTCCGCTAACCGCACATGTTGGATACGGATACTAACGCGATACATCAGGAAGTTGATGATTGCAGGCAATTGTGAGTATATACCGTTGCTCGCGGATATTATATGAAGCCTAACATCTAGATAGGCCGTATGTGCTTGGTCGAAGTCGAACGCGCCCCCAAGCCTGTCGCCTCTTGTGCTTGGCCCGTCCAGCCCGGAATGGTCGTCCACACGAACTCCCCCCTCGCGCACAAGGCCAGAGAAGGTGTTATGGAATTCTTGTTGGCCAACCACCCCCTCGACTGCCCCATTTGTGACCAGGGAGGTGAATGTGATCTCCAGGACCAGTCCATGCGATATGGTGCCGACCGTGGACGATTCCACGAAGTGGGAGGCAAGCGTGCTGTGGAGGACAAGAACATCGGACCCTTGATCAAGACCTCGATGAACAGATGTATTCACTGCACTCGCTGTGTTCGATTCGCCAATGACATCGCCGGTGCCCCAGAGCTGGGAACCACTGGACGAGGCAATGACATGCAGATCGGAACATACCTGGAGAAGAACCTTGACTCCGAACTTTCTGGCAACGTTATCGATCTGTGCCCCGTCGGTGCCCTTACCTCGAAGCCTTACGCTTTCCGCGCTCGTCCTTGGGAGCTGAAGCACACCGAGTCCATCGATGTTCTGGACGCTCTTGGCTCTAACATCAGGATCGACTCTAGGGGTCTGGAGGTGATGCGTATCCTGCCTAGACTGAACGACGACATCAACGAGGAATGGATCAATGACAAGACCCGATTTGCATGCGACGGATTGAAGACCCAGCGTCTGACTACGCCTCTGATCCGGAGAGAAGGAAAGTTCGCTCCGGCTTCTTGGGAGCAGGCCCTGACCGAGATCGAATCGGCCTACCAGCGCCTGCAACCTGCCGCCAACGAGTTCAAGGCTGTTGCCGGACACCTCGTTGAGGTCGAGTCCCTGGTCGCTATGAAGGACCTAGCTAACAAGCTGGGATCCGACAACCTCGCTCTTGACCAGCCCGGTGGCTCCTCTCCTATTGCTCACGGTGTTGACGTCCGGTCGAACTACCTGTTCAACTCCCAGATCCACCGAATCGAAGAGGCCGATGCAGTCCTCTTGGTTGGCACGAATCCCCGCCATGAAGCTGCCGTTCTCAATGCTCGGATCCGCAAGCACTGGTTGCGCTCTGATGTCGAGATTGCTCTGGTGGGCGAGACCTTCGAGAGCACCTTCGAGTTTGACCACCTTGGTAACGACGTTACTTCGCTCAAGTCTGCGCTTTCCGGAGAGTTTGGCAAGAAGCTCGCTGAGGCTAAGAACCCGATGATCATTGTCGGTAGCGCTGCGGCCGAGCACCCTGATGCGAAGGCCATCTTCGAGACCGTCGGAGGCTTCATCGAGAAGCACGCCAACTTCAACACTCCCGAGTGGCAGGGCTACAACGTGCTCCAGCGTGCTGCTTCCCGTGCTGGTGCTTATGAAGTTGGTTTCACTACGCCATCTCCCGAGGTCGCCAACACCACACCTAAGATTGTTTGGCTCCTTGGTGCCGATGAGATCACCGCCAGCGATCTTCCCAAGGATGCGTTCGTCATCTACCAGGGCCACCACGGTGATCGTGGTGCTCAGTTTGCTGACGTTGTCCTGCCGGGTGCTGCTTACACCGAGAAGTCTGGCACATACATCAACACCGAGGGTCGCGTGCAGGTGACTCGCGCCGCTACTTCGCTCCCCGGTGCTGCCCGCGACGACTGGAAGATTATCCGTGCTGCCAGTGAATTCCTTGGTGCCCCTCTTCCTTACGACGACATCGAACAGCTCCGTGACCGCATGGAGGAGATCAGCCCTGTCCTCCGCCGATATGACGTGGTGGAGCCGACGTCGGTCAGCTCCCTGAGCAAGGTCCAGCTCGTTGACCAGAACAAGGGCAGCAAGCCCAGTGGTGCTTCTTTCAAGAAGGTCATTGACGACTTCTACTTCACTGATGTGATCTCAAGAAGGTTTGTTAAACCCGGTCGTAGTATTTGTGAGGACTCTTTTTCTAACATCCTATGCAGCTCTCCGACGATGGCTCGTTGCTCTGCAGCTAAGGCTACCGGCAACCCCGAAACGAATTTCATGGCACCTGGGGAACTGTCTCCCCAGGCCGCGTTTGCCTAGACTGCGAGCGGCGTAGTTAGTCTGTTGATTGATCAGTATTCATTTTGGGCGTTTCTCTATGTATCACTCTGTACTCGATTGCTTATGCCTGTCGCTTTTTGTTTCCAATCACAAATTTCTCCTTTGTTTTTACCTGGCGTATGTCTCAGTGTGTCTCTCTCCGACCAAACTTCCTAGGGCCACCGTCCTTTGTAGGAAGCGGCGGACTTGTACATATAGATCGACACGTCAGAGCATGAAATCCTGAAGAGTGGTTGGTGTTCGAGAAGAGCCCACAGATTTGAACTCAAGCCCTTGTAGATCTATCCTTTGAAGTGAACATCTGTCCTTCCCCTTTGTGAGGCATCGTAGCTACGAGCTATTGCGGATCCATACGACGGAGCAGTAGGATAAGAGGCACCAGCATTATCCTATACTACAGGAGCTGGCAATTGAAGTTTTGAATAGCTTGACATTACTATAAAGAGCCACGGTTTTGACTAGAGGGGAGTGACTTTCGCTTTTGAGCTAACTACAACTCATCATCATCTGTCTCTTCATCATCTTCTGGAGAAGGACGAGATGGAGGTGGCTTCTCTGCTGGGGGACTTTGGCGTTGATCCCTCGCTCTGGTTCGTTTAAAAGGGAGCTCTCTTCGCGGTGGAGGGGTATGTCGGCTCTGCAGGGCAGGTGGTCCGGCATTTCTTTGTATCCCACCAACTGCATTCACCTCTGCTACTTTGGCCTCCTTGCCGGCTGGAGGTGGAATTGCCTCATTGTCCTCCATGTCATCGTCACTTGCGGTCTCTTCCTCGTCTTCCAGCGGTTGAGGCGTTGAGGGTCTGTCGGAATCTGTTTCTTCTTCTTCTTCCTCCTCATCAGGAGCTGCGGCTGGGGGGCGTCGACCTTTTGGTGTGTCGACTTCCATCTTCTCGAAGCCGTCTTCGTCGCTATCAGCGTCGACGGGGGTTGCTACTTTTCTTTTAGAAACTCGACTCGCACCGGCTTTCCTTCTTCGGGATCCGTCGGAAACAGCAGCTTCGAGCTCATGGGCTGTGACGGGGTAGGACTCATTAGATGGTTGTCTACAAGGAAAGGATTTTTTTTTCTATGAAAACACCCACCTTTACCAGGGTCCACATTGGAAGACGCCAGCAGGCGCTGTTGGTTGCGAATCTTGAGCTTCTTCTCATTTAGCAGCTGGACGCATTTAGCGATTAATTGATCCTCATGCTCGCTCTTTGCCCGAACCAGCTCTTCAAGCTGCGCATTCAATTTGCTGATGGTGTCTTCTGCAGCGCGGTATCGAGCACTCAACGAGGCCACCTGCGTTTCAAGGGTGTCTGCAGCAGATGCAGTGATAGCCGTCCATTCGAACAATTCGATGGCTTGTTCATCGTCTTGTTTCAAGGATATAGAGCCTAGTCTTTGCTGTGGTGTATGCGTTAGACGGGGCTTTCACCAAGACCCAAAGAGGCAAGTCTGGAGAATAGATGGCATACTGTAATGGTGTCGATTCTCTTTCTGATCAAAATGACCAGCTCCTTGTCTTCGTCGCCCTCTCCACGAATACTAGCCGTGACCTCCAAGCCGGTGGTCCAGGTAGCGTCGTGGTCGGAGGGCGGGGATTGTCTGAGAACATAGCTCAGAATCTGAACCCATTCGTCATCGCTACCCTGGTAATTCTTCGCCCGGAGGCTCTTCACACGCGACTGTCTCACTGTAGTGAAGCTGTTAGCACGCCGCTAGCGGATTGTCGTAGAAGGATAACGGGCTGATCCACCTGAGCCGACATACGGCGCCTCTCCTTCTGTCGCGACCAATTTCAAGTCCAGTGGCTCTGAGCCCGACCTGGAGACGTGGATGAGCACGTAAGCAGTCGGGTCATCAGTCCTCGATAGACGCAATATGCGAGGGGCTGGTGGCTCGGCGGAGGACGACATTGGAATGACCGAATGGGAGTCGCAATGGGCATTAGAACAGGATCAATGCTGAAATAAATATGGCGGGATTACGCCCGGAAAATTAATACCAGGAGACTTTTCTAGTTGGAATGGCACAAAATAATAATAACGCGCGGGACTTTATAACTGATGGCGTCTGCGTGGGTTCAGGCAGACATGGTCAAGGCGGGATATTTAATATTAGTAGCTTCCAGGCAGCTCTCGATGGGGTTTCACTACTGCCAGGTACGGTGAAGATAACGGTTTAAGCGTTCTAGTTAGTTACCTGGGTACCTAGTTTACTAAGTACTCAGAACTTTTGTTTACAATCTTCCCCGATTCAATCATTATTATTCCAGCAAGCCTTTCTCTTTTTCTTTTTCTTTGTCTCTTTTTTTAAGTCACAAATAATTCAGGTAGAATAAGTCTTTACAATCCTCATAGCTATAACCAACCTCCTTGGGAACTATATTGCTCGATGTCTCGCCTCCCTCCGGCATGCTCTGGTGCTTTTTGCGCCAAAGATCACACTAAGAGCGCTTAACGTTCGTCCACCCGCGACCTCATTCCACTTGGACGCTGGGGACGGCATCACCAAGCCACGTCTTATCCTTTGTCTCTCGACCTCCTGGCGCGTTGCCATCTCTCACTCATTCCTGTTTCCATCGTCGTGGCTGTCTTCGCGTTGCCTGGAACCCCCCGCGTTTATCGCCTGACCCGCTCTCTGGGAGATTCGTCCTTGCATCGTCTCCCACTTCTTTGATCTTCTGATCGCCCAGAGGCTAGACTAGACCCCAAATTCCAGCTGGAAGCTGGAGACTCTATCGCTTTTCTTGTTTCTTTCTTTCTTTTTTTCCAGGATAAGACCGTTTATTGCTCACCAGCATCCGCCTCGACGCAGAAGAAGCTACAAACGAGCTTCTTAGTCCTACGATCACGGTCTTTTGAAACTACGCGGCATGACGTTCGATCTTCCGCGTATCCCAACTGCAGCATCTGATACCTCCTAGTCCGCTATCTACTCCGATATAACTCTGATCTTGGGTCGCATCTAGTCCGTTAGTTACATGGTCGTCCTGCCATCCTGTTACGCGGCCCTTCATCCGATATGGAGGCGTCCACTCTACGACTGCACCACGCTGAAGAGGAGCTGATTGAATGTTGGGATGACGATGGTGACCTGCAGTGGACGGATGACATACAATTCCCTGCTGCTTCGAGCGCGACATCTGTGACAAGCTCGTCAGTACGCCGCTCTGGACACCGTGATTCCATCTCATCTCGCCGTTCAGCCCGTTCCGATCTCGACTCCAACGCTGGTGACGAGGATTGGCAGGTTCTGCTGCAAGATAATGACGAAGCCGCCACAGAGGAAGCCATTGCGTCCGCCAAAGATGCCGGCATTCCAATTCCACCCAATGTCCCCAAGTCTGCCTTACTTGGGGGCGCGATCAAGAGGCTCGGCCGTAGGAAAGTGAAAAAGAGTGCTGTTGAAGACTGGTCTGAAGACTTGGATCTATCAGAGGTCAATGGAGAGCTGGTATTGAGGGAACATGAGACACGCATCTTTCCCGACAGTCTGCGTCAAATTGGCTCCGCCGTTACAAGCCCGGTCAAATGTCACTCTCCGAACATTTTTGATATAACATCATCGCCGCACTCTAGACCGACTGTACCCAACCTAGCCGCTTTCAAAGACTCCGATGATCTCCTCGATATGGGCGATATCCCCACAATCAAAGTCCCGAAGCCGAGAGCGGCCCAAAGGCAGACTGTGCTGAACAATCAGAATGTCACCGAAGACACGGATGATTTCGATCATGGCCTCGAGTTTCCGGATGACGGGACGCCTCTGAGACTCTCGACACGGAAGGACACTCCAGGTTCTTCAAACCATACTCCGGATGATTTCGACCTCGAGTGGGCGGAAGGAAGCATTGGCGTCCGTTTTGCGGGAACTATGAGGGACGGTCGATCAAATCGCAGTTCTTCGGCCTCTGCTCTTAGTCCCAGTGTTTCTAGTTGTTTAACTGCTGAGAGTGATGATGGCTTGGATGGTTTGGTCCTTCCTGATGGGCCCTTGAATCTCGAGGAATCCCTGAGGAAGCGGCAAGAGTCGCAGCCTCCACAGGATATCCCCGACACGCCCTCGAAGGTGCAGAGGACGGATCATGCTTCAGCCAAGGAGGATTTCTTCGATGATCTTGAGATAGGAGACGGCGATGTGTTCAACCCGGGAAAACTCACTCTAAACCGGAATATCAGACGCAAGACAGAACGTCCATCTAGCCCTGCTCGTCGCTCTGCAACTACGATCACTTTCACAAACAAGCCCGTCTCCCCTAAAACCCGAATTCCGCGCCTCTCCGGGCATGGCCATGATCGTTCTCATTCTACCCACCTTGAACCCGTCTCTGAAAGCGGTGCTCCCCTCCAGCAGTTTCGAAGGCCGCAGTCGAGATTTGGAGGTCATATATCTCACTCTTCCCTTCCTACGCTTCCTACATCTTCTCATACTTCGACGCCTTCGACCCCCGGCCGTCGCAATTTCGTCTTTAACCCTTCAAGGGATATTGTCAAAAATGAGCCGACTACTACTAGTGCTCAGCTCTTGAGAGCAAAGAGATCCATGCCGGCCATGCGTACTGCGCCCGGGTCTGCGACAGGGCTGTCCTTCCAGCGCTCTCCGGGACGTCACGACGGAGCTCCTCGGCCATCTTCGTTGACTCGGCCAAAAACCCCGGTCGAACGCATGACGAATGACTCGCGCTTGGTATCTAACCGCAGAACACCTGCGCCATTTCTTCCAGCGGGCGCATCTCATGATCAATCCCATCATGTTAGCGTCAAACCCCGTAACCTTCGACGTAAGGACTCGGATAGTTCTACAGATACTCATTATACCCAGCGGCCGACCTCTCGTCATTCAACTTCTACGCGGTCAGATACTCCCGGTCGTTCTTCGACCGAATTAGCCCCTGAGACTCTAGCGGCAGCTGCTAAGCGCACTATCACCCGGCCAACCAGGAGGCGAAACTTCGGTGACGGAACCGAGCTCGAGTCGTTCGATGATCTTCCAACGTCCGCATCAGCTGAGAGCAAATTCGTCAAACAACCTGTCGGGCGCGGTGCTCCTAAATCTCTCCGTCTTAAATCGAATCAGTCACAGACTTCGTCGGGAAACCGAACAGAGCATCCCTTCCCCCCAACCACTCCCGTAACTTCTTCCAGGCCACAGGACTCTACTCCACGGTTTGCACGCGACACTGCTGCCTCTAGAAATGCCAGGGAACAGCGCATAGCTTCATTGAACATGAGCCTGAGGGACCGTGATGGCGGCCCTCTAGCTCCTGTCAGTGCAAATTGGAAGGCTCAAGCCGGCACTCATGGCTCTAGCTCTTCGTCGACAATCAAGAGCAGAAGAGGAAAGTCGGGAGGTTTAAACAAGCCTCACTTGATCAAGCCGCTGGGAGCGGGCGTGCATGAGGCTAAGTGTGCGTTAATTCCATATGTTGTAAGAATACTATGTGCATCTAAGCTGACATCTCTTGTTACAGCCCTCAAGGGAATGCAGTACAACCCTTCTACGTTCCGCTGGGAAGGGAACGAGAATGCTTTGGCTGGCTTTGATGCATTGGCGTCTCCTAAATCACCAAAGACGGCGCCGGCTCTGATAACGAATGTAGGTGCAATGCAAGGTGTGCAGGTCGTTGGGGGCATGGTCTTTGATCCTCGGCGGATGTGCTGGCTCAAGCTCGCGGCGACACAGCCCGGCACCGAAGGAGTCGCTGTGGTCGATGAGGATGAAGATCCATTTGCAGGTCTAGAGGATCTTAAAGACAATGTGTCGAAATCACGTGGGCCCCAGGCAACGAAGACGTACGACTCGAACGAAGGCGATGGCGCGGCAAGCGGTGATGATAGGAGCGGTGGTGATTCTTCGGACGAATGGCCGATGACCGAAGAGTTCGACGTCGGACCAGAGTTTATCAAACGACAAAGGGCGGAGGAAGAAAAATGGAGGCGCAAAGTTGATAAATGGGTCAATGCTGACCGTGGAAAGCTCGGCGACAGTTGGAGATGGGCTATTCGCAGCTTGGTCAGGACTGATGCTGGGCATTTCGACGCGGAGCCGATTGAGACCGCAGATAATGGCAATCGATTCTTGCCCTGATACGGTTGAAGTGATGAACGAATCATCTAATGAAACAAAAACGCGATACACGACTACGCATATGTCACCCGAGGAAAGATCCCTCGCAATTCGTGGCATGTGCCTCTTCCCACCCCACGCACAGCATTCCTGAAGCTCGAAAGTTGCGGTACTATCCCTCACCGGCTTCTTGAAAAAGCACTGCTATAACTCGATAATGACAGCATTCTATCGCTGGGGGAGCACAGAACAGCTACTCTGTCTGGCTGACAGATGCTCTATGACTAATGACGATGAGGCATTTTGGTTTAATTGATCCATTGGGCGGTGTTTTGACTATCTGGGTCTTCCTTAGGTTCCGTTCTTGCAACTTGTTTTTATAAACGCCGTTCATCCCACGCCTTGCTGGGTGTGCTCATCTCAGGACCTGGTGGAATCAGGGGTGATGACTATGTTTCTATGGGCGACACTGTATTTATATTTGTTGTTTTATGTCAATAAAGCTTTTTGGCAATAGCGCTTCGGGAACTCTTCACGGGTCTAGAAATCTCAATACCGCTGTCTGCTTGCATTATCTTGCTCTACTGTATCATTGCCATCTAGCACGCGCAGCCTCCTGTGCGGAAAAAAGTACAAGGGAAATTTTGAGGATAGGCTGCTCCTTTCCAGTTATCAGCCAGGAAGCACAATCGAATCCTTCATGCCGCTTGTCCAATGGCTAAAAGCAATGTAGTAAAGAACCCCGATGTTGGGCCCACACTGGTATAGCATAACGAGAGGTCGGCGGGTCATCCTATACCGACATTTCCCGTCGTTGAGAAATCGGCTCTCTAACGAGATAACAAGAACTTCCATTTTCGGGTAGTACTCATGATAAATGTCTATTAGACGAGAAGAGGCAGCTGCAATCAGGTGAGGCGAAAGAAAATACGATGAGGACCGCCCTCATATGGGCAATATACGGGACCTTGAAAAGAGAAACAAAGTAACACAAGGTAGGGAATGACTCCACAACTCTGCAGTGAGGTGAGGTGCTAGTTAGTACACTTGAAATTTCTACAAGAGGCACGGGGACTCTGCGCTTAGAACCCCGAAACAAGATGCATGTATACTAACTATACAAGGAGTTATTTTGGATTATTCTGAAGAAAAGAAATTCTGCAGACGGTAATCGGGATATAGGGATGGAATGAGGCGATTGCACTGCATGATTAATAGCAAGAGCAGAGAGTAAAGTATCCAATAGACATTTACTCATTAGGTAGTTTGGAAGATTATCTCGCCTACTATGCTCGTATCCTGACAGGCATGGGCACAGAAGAAACCAAAGAAAGCTAATTAGTTAAACCCGAAGTATCCGTTCGTTTAACGAGTTCTATAACCAAACAGAGATGGTCCTGCGGTTCCGGTAGTGTGGCTTGCTTTGTAGGAACAGGGGGTTTGGCTTCGTTCCTTTGTTTTAATCTTTTGTCTTTGACAAGGGAGAATGACAGGGTATATACATGCAGACAATGAGAGGGTAAGGTTAGAGGAGGGTTAGATAGATATGTAGTTAGTTCCCATAACTATACTTGCTTGTTTGGTTAAGGGGACCGAACTTTGACTGACTGTTGACTAGCGCTTCAGGAAGTATGGTCAACGATCAAGATCCATGTCCCAGAAAGGTAAATAATAATTAATATGATATATAGGAGATCAAAGTTAGGAGAGATCAGTTTCTGAATATTCCGAGTCCCTCAAGTCCACTGCAACCTCGAAATGTATAGTACCGAGTACATGGCTCAAGTTCCTTTCAGGAAATGGGATTGCATTTCATCATTCTCGACACGGTCTATAGTGCTGCTTCTTCATGTATTGCTAGTATTGTGCAACAGTATGTATCTAGGATCCGACAAGATACATCCAGGGAGTTACTGATTCCGCCGCCGTCAAGTCTAGCTCACCTTTTCAAGGGTCTAGATCCAAGTCCAGAGACCAGGCTATATCGTGAAGGATCGGAGAACTTCGTGCTGTCTGTCTGACTCAAAAGTGCGGTCTAAGCGTAGAATACTATTGATTCTCAGACTTTAAGCTGCAGGTAGTTATGTGTGACATGATGACTAGTTGGGTTCGACGGCCGATGTCAGTTAGTCATTGAGAGACTTAGCAAGGCTATGGTAATTATCCATGCCTTCGTTTCGTGAACTGTTCATTCTCTGATCCCAATAATAGATAATTGATGGCAATAACCCCGGCCCTGCTGTCTGCTGAACCGCACTTGGAAATCCCGTGATAATCTAATAGCCCATCGGATTCTGGCGCTATTCATCCCAAAAATGGTATATAGTTACTATTTATTAACGAGACCCAGTTCTCCACGGCTCCGCTACTTAATGCCGGACGTTGCCCGATTGCATAGATATACACTACCTAGACGACTGGTCTACTTTGCTCAATGCGAACAGCACAAGCAGCAAATCGGAGAACACCGTTTGCTACTTCTCATGCCCGATCTCGCGACGAATCCTGTGCTACTTGTTCTGCACTGAGTGGACGGCGATTTCTCCTGTTCGCTGTCCCTGCAGCAGCGCACATTATCGGAGATCTCTTGTCCTTGAGACGCTCGTTGCGATCGCAAGAAGCCTACCCTAGTCACAGTCCGGCTATTACCATCGCAACTACATCATCTGGAAGCTTTTGACTATGTATGTATATCTCGCTGTCTTAGCGATACTATCCAGTATCAGATTTGGTTAAGACAGATAAAGGCCAGAACCGATAGAGTCCACAGTGCGGAGACCGCTATACCCATAGCAGCGTAGCTTCAATGGTCCAGCTAGGTCGCTGAGACATTGTCATAAACAAACGCACTTATACGAGCCATTGAGAAGATCCTCTCCAGAGATCTGCAGCAATGATTCCACGACATACAAAGATTGCTTATGCCTTTTCTCATTGACGGGTAGAAGACACCCAGAGTCAAGAGGTCTGGACAGCAGAGCTGCATTTGCAAAGGACATATGAGAGAGTTGAAGGGCACGTCAGAAATGGTCCAGGTGTCCGTCATCATAGTGCGGTGGGCATTCCTAAGTGGCTCATCACCTCGAGGCAATGCAGTAGATACGTCGCACAGAAAAGCAGCCGCCTGGGAGACGTGAAACGCTCGATTGTGCCTCGTGGCTAGACACGGATTTGACACTGCCAGCCCAAATCACCCCAGGACACGAGTCTCCGACGATATGGATTTCGCAGGAACCGGAGTTCTATCCCCCTTGACCCTGATTTATTGCACGCAGGAGACATCATGCCCAAATAAGGGCTCTTCTGTGCATGCCACTGCTGCAGATGAGGGGCGCCCGATGGTTCCCGGCATCGCACTGTCACGGTCAGAGAAAATGAAGTATGTATATCGGCCAGGTCTAGATGACAGTTGAGCCTACACAGACAGTTCTCTGAAAGGTACCAAAGTCGGATCGCGAGACCTATCATGGATCTCTGACGACTTTGTTGGCGCCATAGCTGGCCCCCAATCCCCCGATCACCGTCCGGCCATTGGTTATAGCCTGTCCCGGCATACAGCACCCTTGGATGACATTGCAGTAGGGCCACCCTCCTCGACGTGGCCAGCGAGCGTGCCATGTATATTTCCGTTGATGAAGACATTGTTGAATGAAGTCGGTGAGGAAGCGCAACGCATGAGCGCCTTGCGAAGATCCATGCTGCTTGGGGCTTGCAGTGATGTGAAAACTCACCGTGGCTGTTCTTTGGCTCTGAATCAGCGAGGCCCGGGCAGAAGAATGGAACAACAAGCTGTCTGCCCCCGTTGATCCTTATACCAGGCGAAAATGATGCTCTTTACTCGATTGGGTTTGACCGCTTCCGGCTTGGATTGTCGATGCAACTTGCAGTCAGATATCCAGATCCATGCAAGCTCCACCTTATCCCCATTTCCCACGATGGTTCAGCTGACTTTTAGTATCTCGCCCCGTACCTTACAGAGAACACATCTATTGCATTATTTGCTGTCCCTTTCCAGGGATCCTATGCTCTATGCTTCTTTCCTCTCATGGTCGCTTGGATTCTGCAGGCAGGGCGTCATGGTCTCGTGGAGCTCTCTTTTGAACTCTTCTTGCCACACGTACTCGATGTACAGCACCCGCATGCGATCCCATGTTTCTTTTCTGCTTGTAGCTAGCCAGACTAGCTATTTGTATGCTATCCTTCGCCCTTCTTGTGTCTTGAGATTGCTTCCTGATACCACCTGGCATTCAATTTCCCCTAAAGAAGTGTTTCACCATTCACACTGGTTTCTTGGTGTTGAAGCCCTTCTTCTGTCTTTCTCTTCTTCTTGATCTTGGTTCCTCTATCGACTATATTTATACGATTCATGACAACTCAGTCTGGGGTTCCAGTTGTGGCAGATTGAATACGATATCCATAATATTGACTCATAGTGGACTTGAAAGCCGCTAAATACCTCTCTCAATTACTCCTAATCACACAAAGACTTGTACCATACCGGCATCCCCTGTGTTCTGTCGTCGATATATTGGTTTTCCCAGTACTATCTAGATCAAGCCATCATGAGTGGGTACGGAAAATATAGCAGCCAGGGGCACGATAACTACTTCATTGGCCAGCAACTGAATATATCTGGCACATATGACAATGTCGAACCGCATGAGCTTGGGTACGCTGAGTCTGCAGCATACAGCTTCTCCCAGCAGCCGTTTAGCACCTATTCGACTCAGCTCGGATCATTTGCTCAACCGTCATGTCTGTCTCAAAATCCTCCGGATTCGGGAGCATCTTACGCCCCTAGGCAGTATCTTTCTCCAATTTCTCCACAAAACCAGATCTTCTCCCAGGGGTTGCCTCACAAATACTCAGACTATGCATCCCAGACGCACTATCTTCATTCCCCGAGATATCTGCCTCTGCGGTCTCCGTTGCCTCGAGATGAAGTCGAAAGTCAAGAGTCGTTCGATGAGAGCACAATGCTGTCTGAACCTGTCATACCTCCACTGCAAGGTTTTCCAGATGTTAGGGAATTCGACCGGTTAATGGCAAGGTATGTTGTCCATTTCCCATCGAATGAGCAGACAGACACTTTGCTCATCAAATTTTCAGTTATGTCGATGATCTTTCTGTGAAGAAACAAGACAAAGCACTTATTCACGCCGCCAGAGCGCGGAATATCAGGAGCGTGCTGATGGACCCGAAGGATACGGCTGTCGAATCTGCTCAGTTCAGGTACGTAAATAGATATCCCTTCATCCAATTGCAGAAGCCTGCCATTATATCGCCTCTATCCAATCTCCATCTTTATTCAACTATACCAATGGGAATCTCTAACGATGAAAAATATAGGTTCTGGGTCAAAAAGATGTTCAAGCTCCAGGCAATTGACGGACAAAACCCAGAGGTAACATGATGTCACATGTTCAACTCTTGGATGATGCTAATTCTGATGGTATTGAAACAGTGCAGGATGGTCTGTCATGAGGGAAAGCCAGTAGCTATTCGCGAAAAGCTATTCAAGATTCTTACAAAGGCACATCAAGAATGCCAACACGGTGGTCGAGACAAGACCTCTGCCCAAGTGCGTCGGGTATATTCATGGTAAGTCACGCCGGACATGTCCTGATAAAGTGGCCTCAAATATGCTGGTCTTCTGTGGCTTTTATCTGACAGAACACATATCCAGGATCCCCAAGGAGCTTATTTCCCGTTTCGTCAAGATATGTCCTACTTGTCAAGTTCGTCGACGAGGATCCCGTCTTACACCTCCTAGCTCACGGAGGGAATCACCGCAACTTGAACCAGCATCGCGGTCTCCAACGGATATCTCTCCCCCCGTATCTAGGAGACAGTCGGTAGTCAGTCGACACGCGAACCTAGACAGGTTGCAGACACATGTGCTTAGTGAGTCTCGCAGCCAGGGCGATTGGGATAATGGCCGCCAACAAATTCGTGAACAGCCAGGTGAAAGTCACGGGATGTCTTCTTTTCTTAGCGATGCCTTACATACAATGCCCAATTCCATTGCCAGCCCTTTGAACCCCCCAAGGAGCGACCCATCGCTTATTCCACCTCAGCTCAGGTATAACCCTGTCCTCGTGAGGAACGATGGCAATCCGAATCAGCGTTCCTTTTGAGCCTTGCATAATATCCTTCTCTTTTCTGACTTGGATATCTGGAACACAGGCAGTGAACGGAGAAAGGAGAGCTCTTGCATTCGTTACGCATCAGGTTGACCTGGGCGGGCTACTGTCGTGTCCAGATAACGCTTGGACGTTTCTGATATCGGCCTATTCATCAGTCTGTTTTTTTATTGTTCCCTACGCAGGCATCAGCATTGACGCTCGAACAGTTCTGGGAGAACAGTGGCGTTGACAGGTCCTTTTCTCATTCTTCATGTATTTCCTTTTCTATTTCTTCCCTAGGACGACAAAAGTTATTGCCAGTATGCAATAAGGCGCTTGGAATAGCAGGCAGGAGACGACCAGGCGAAGTTGGAAATGACTAACTACATGCTAATACTAGTTTCCTAGTATGATATCATATTTCTGTACCATTTGTCAGATATAGTTATAAATACATGTGGCAGGTAACAGGGAAGATTGTTGCATCTACAACCTACTTTATAGCGGGGCTGGGGCCTTAACTATATACGCGCGAATCTGTACACTAACTTACTTAGAGTAAAGCAGGCTGTGGAGCGATAGGCGCGTATTATCACGTGACGGTATTGGAGCAGAGGCGAAAGTCGGCGTCGGAGTTCTCGATCGCAACCGCGCTCGATTCCCATCAGAAAAGTTTAGCTCGCGCAAGCACCTTAATACCCAGTGGGGAGCTCTTCGTGTCTTTGACGAAGCTTGATACGATATCGGACCATCCTGACGCGAGTATACGATCCATCCACCAAGATAGGAGCTAGGGCCCTGTCCCTTTTCGTACACCATGCCGGCGGCAACTGCGAAACTTAGCAAGAATCAACTGAGAAGGCAAAGGAAGAAGGAGAAGAAGAATAATGAGGTATGTCATACGTGCACACTTCTGTTGAGTCAGTTGCTAACTATTATTAGGACGCTGCTGAACCGAAGGTCGAGCCTTCAAAAGTAGAGCCCGAAACTGAACCATCGACATCAAAGGCACATGATGACAAGGATTCGCAACTCTCACAAATTTCGGTAGACCCTAACGATCCCTTATGGGATATGTACAAGGATGTCATAGGAAAGTTTGAGGATACGGAAGGAGAAGGCGCCGCGCCCAAAGAGCCCGAAAAACCAGAGGTGTATTACGACGATGATGACGAGGTTCCAGATGAAGAGGAGAACCAGGCGCCCAAATTATCGAAGCGGAAACGGAAAGAATTGAATAAGCTCTCTGTTGCTGAACTTAAGGCAATGGTGCACAAACCTGAGATTGTGGAGTGGACAGATACATCAGCCCCAGACCCGCGTTTGCTCGTTCACGTCAAAGCCTATCGAAATGTCGTCCCTGTACCTTCACATTGGTCGCTGAAACGGGAATATCTCTCTTCCAAGAGAGGTGTGGAGAAACCTCCCTTTGCGCTTCCCAAGTTCATCCAGGAGACGGGTATCGCTGAAATGCGGGACGCCGCCCTTGAAAAACAGGAACAAGCAACTTTAAAGCAGAAGCAGAGAGAAAGAGTAAACCCGAAAATGGGAAGATTGGATATCGATTACCAGAAGCTTTACGAGGCTTTCTTTCGATTTCAGACAAAGCCCGAACTCACTCGTTACGGCGAAGTTTACTACGAAGGCAAGGAATACGAGACGAATCTCCGGCACTTGCGCCCTGGTGAGCTCAGTGACGAGCTAAAAGAAGCGCTCAATATCCCACCAGGCGCACCGCCTCCTTGGCTCATCAATCAGCAGCGGTTCGGACCCCCGCCGTCCTATCCTGCTCTCAAGATTCCTGGTCTGAACGCTCCTCCGCCCCCGGGAGGCATGTGGGGTTACCATCCCGGTGGCTATGGAAAACCTCCAGTGGACGAGCATAACAGACCTCTCTATGGAGGTGATATTTTCGGTGTGCTGCAAACGCAGCAGAACGTGCAACAAGGGGAGCCGGTGGAGAAGGATCTCTGGGGAGAACTACAGCCTCCAGAAGAAGAAGAGGAAGAGGAAGAAGAAAGCGAAGAGGAGGAAGAGGAGGAAGAGGAGGAGGAGGGTGACGAGGGAGGATTGCAGACACCCAGTGGCTTGGAAACTCCCAGCGGTATTGTTTCCGCAGTACCAACCGAAATCGGAGGAACAGAGAGCATAGCTGGTGAATTCGATGTGCGCAAGCATGGTCGGGGAACAGAAACCGAGGAATACACACAACCAAGAACTGCGTACCAAGTCATTCCCGAACAGCAGACCCGCGTACACGGTTTCTTCGGAGGCGACAGAGCATATGATCTCAAAGCAGCTCAGAGTCACATTCCCGTTCTTGGGGCAGAAGACCAGAACCGGAAGAGGAAGAAGCCGGGCGATGTTGAAGTGTCTGTTGATCCGGACTCTTTGCAGGCTCATGATGGCATCAATAAGGAGGACCTTCAGGGTCTCTATGATGCGCAGAAACAGCAAGAGCATCCTAATTGGGCTTTTCAGGAGGATCTCAGTGATATGATTGCGAGTGAGAGTCGCAAGCGACTCAAGAAAGATGAAGAGAGACGGAGTCGACGATGAGCAGCTATGAACCATCGACATAAGTCACAATAATAGGTCACATTAAATAATGACATGGTTTCTCTGTTACTAGTAATCCGTGTTGTGTACTAGTACTGGCATAGTAGTTTACAAAGCATCCTTAATACTCTTCTAGTACTATCCTTGTTAGATTGCACAGTGGCAACGATTCTTATCTTTGGAGTTATAATACGATTTCGATACATTATAGGCAGAATATTGAGCCCCCCTCCCCCTGTTTTATAGAGCAAATATCACTAGGGGCACTGGTAGATAACAGTCCAGGATTATATAGAATAGATATCTGAAAGGATAGCTGAAAGTGGTTAATAGACGGCTCATTGCTGTCTGCTGGCTTATATTTGTAAATTCAGCAAAGAGCGAAACTGGATCTTTCAGAGATGCATCATATATCGTGATTGTTGGTTTCCAGACAAAGCATTGTCATATACTCTATTTTCCTGATATTTCATTGGGATGATTTCGGTAGAAGCTAATATTACATGGGAAGGAAAGCACGCATGGTAAGAAAGAGCCCAGAACTCCTCCGGAGAAAGTTTGAATGAATGCGGCCAGCCGCAGGCGAGTACGCGATGTTTTCTAGACACCGCGCAATCTACGTCAGCAATGCATCCTTCTCCTGTGTCCCGTGCACTCAAAGACGTATGGCTTATTTCTTCTTCTTTGCCGTTCTCGATTCTGGAAGCTGTTAGCGTCGTCGACATGTGCTGTCGTTTATAAAGGATCGTACCTGCTGCAGTTCGCTTCTTCTTCGGTCGTCCCTTTCCTCTTAATTTGGCACTGGGTTGGATGTTAGTGACAGGTAGACTTCTCGCCCTGAGGTTATTCGAATACATACATCTGGATCGCTTCTTCTCGGTCATCCTCCGCTTCATCGAAGGTGGTCAAACCAAGAGGTTTGTACGTCTCTTGGAGATCACGGAATGACACGGTCTTTCTAGGGTACCATGCCGCAAGCGCCGGTCCTCGCAATCGCTGTCGCAAGATCTTATTTCCCAGCCGCAAGCGTTGAGGATTGTAGTTCAGAGAGAAGATGCGGCACTGACTCTGTTAAGAAGGGGCAGTTAGCAACATATCATGACCACGAGCGAAATAATATCTCACCTTGAGTAACTCAAGCAGGCGTGACTGTGGTGCCGCCATCTTGTAGGAGACAAAGGTCGCAATGGATGATTGATCCGAGTTCCGCGGAGAGATCGAGTCGTGAAAAGCATCCGCAATAGCGCGGCGGTCGTGCACGTGATCTACTAGGTATATTATTTCCTGCGGGTCTCATCCTCCTACAACTGCGCAGAAAATAATGAAACTGATGCTTTAACCATAGTTGTCCAAAATCGCTGGCGATCTTTTTATGTGACAGAAAGCTATATGGCTGCTATCTACACTGGAATTCTTATTTTTTCTTGCATTCAGCATTAGTCTCTCGGACTGACAACGACGAAATTCTGCTCACAGATGGGACACAAAAGGAAAGCCGGTGCTCTCAGCCAATGTCTGAATGCTGGTCCACCGGAGAAGCAGTCAAAGGTAATAATGAATACCTCATTTTTTCCAACTTCAGACTTACATTCGAGATATTTAGAATCATGACCGCCCCGTTAAGATTGAGCGCGGAGCCACAAGCGCAAATGCGCTACCTGACACCAATAAAATCCAGTCTCTGTTGGTCGAGCTGCAAAATCTCGTCGCCGAGGTGATTAAAGGTGTCGGGCCCGTCCAGGATCAACTCGGAGGAGTTGGTCGCGATCTACTGAAAACAGCGTCCCAGATCGAACGAAGATTGGCACAGGCCACAAGCACATACCACTGCCATGCTGGTAAATCCTCTCAAGTGACAGAAAAGGCACCAAGGACGTCGCCAGAGGACAAGGCGACACATCTGCCGGTTTTGCCTCTTGTAAGAGACCCGGCATTGGAACAAGCGGCATTTAGGCATCCAGGAGTTGTGAAGGGCCATGAAGGAGATACTAGCACCTTGAATTATGACAGGCTAGAAATACTCGGCGATGCGTACCTGGAGCTCATGGCTACCAAGCTCATTTGGAACCGATTTCAGAATCTGCCCTCGGGGCGAATATCACAGCTGAGAGAACTCCTGGTGAAGAACGAAACGCTCGCAGAATTCGCGACATTATACGGTTTCGACCGCAGGGCAGCGGTGCCAGAGGAGAATATCAAACAGCCTAAACGTTGGACAAAGACGAAGGGGGACATCTTTGAGGCCTACGTTGCTGCCGTCATATCGTCTAATCCCACCAGTGGCTACGAAGAAGTAGAGAATTGGTTATCCCAGCTATGGTCCCCCAAACTTGATTGTTTCCTTGACACGAAGCCGACTCTTCAGTCGAAGGAGCTTCTTGCGAAGAAAATAATGGGCAAAGGTATCAAACTCAAATATGTCGATGAACGGCCGCCTGTTCAGCTCTTAGGAGGCATGCAGACATTCTATGTCGGTGTGTATCTCACAGGCTGGGGTTGGGAGAACCAGCACTTGGGTTCAGGCCAAGGCCTCAATAAGGCCATTGCTGGAGACAATGCTGCGCGTGAAGCTCTACTAAACAAACCGCTGATAGACGAGATTGCTGCTGCAAAAAGAGCACATAATAATTCGGAAGCAAAGGCTTCAGGACATGTGGATTACTAGATGCGGTTAGCTTTGCTGTTACTGGTTTAGCGCTATAATACGCTATCAAAAGACGTGACTCCGCCGTCATATGATTTGCACTTCATCCCACTTATCGCTCTTCTGAATTACCCTCAAATCATTCGCACTTCATCCCACTTATTGCTCTTCATCCTCAAATCATTCGCACTTCATCCGCAAATCATTCGCACTTCATCCGCAAATCATTCGCACTTCATCCGCAAATCATTCGCACTTCATCCGCAAATCATTCGCACTTTATCCTCAAATCATTCGCACTTCATCCGCAAATCATTCGCACTTCATCCTCAAATCATTCGCACTTCATCCTCAAATCATTCGCACTTCATCCTCAAATCATTCGCACTTCATCCCACTTATTGCTCTTCTGAATCCCTTAAAGGTCCGCCTTTCAACATGGATTCTCAGCCGGTGTTCAGCCCAGCCTGTCCTATACCATACATTCTCCAACCTGCAGAAAGAATTCAACAACTAAAAGACTTTCTTCAAACTGAGTTCGGTCAAGTACAGCGCGTTAACGTGGAAGCTCTCATCAAGCTCTATGAGAGTGGTGAACTCGGGCCACGCAAACTCGGAGATGCCCCGGTTTACCTCGTGAATGGTAAACGGGTGGAGAAGAACCCGTGGGAGGACGAGTCAGTGGCTCCGGGTGAGATCAAGTGGTGCGAGGTATGTTTTTCAATCACCGTACTGAATATATATTACAGTAACTTACATTTGTGATGTCTTTAGAATATGTACCATCAATTCACGCAGCAGTGTGGACCTCAGGTAAATGCATAAATCTATGATATTATAGTCCAGGGCCAACTGTATGCCGCTTTCTGGCTTTTCCTTATAACTAGCCTCAACAAATGGTCCAATCTGTCTCAGATTCGTTTCCTTATAATCCGACCTTCAATATGCACCAAGTATGCCAAGTCTATATTAAATGTTTGAGATCATAAAGTAATAAAACTTAGGTTCATGCACGGATTAGGTTACCTCCGCAGTACGGCGGCGACCCACGCTTGACACGGCCTTTCTTAGTCTGTAATGACACCGGAAGCAATGTTCTCACAGTCTTCACTTCAGACCTTGCAGTACTCAACTTCAATCCAACACTACATGCCGGAGTTATACAAGGTACCACATTCATAACAACCGCATCCATAACAACTGCAAGTGGTCAGGTACCTGAGCCTCTTATATTTGTTGACATGCAAATTCTTACTTCTGCATTTGTGGAACTCACTCCCTGGTTTCGCGAGACGGCTGTTGTGAAGCCAGATACTCCGGGAGTCGCGCGCCTCTCAGGTGCAGCAATGCGCAATCATTTGTTCTTTGCTACAGCACCTGGCAATGCCCGTCTTTATGTCGCACAGAAGAAGGCTGGGATTATCCGAGACCTCCCTGCTTGAGTCTTTACATGTGGATGTTGTAAGGGCTAGGTGGATAGATAAGATCAGATCCGGCCACTTTCGGTACATAGCCAGGCTAGACGCCAACTGTTGTTGAAGGCCGGAAAAATTCAGAAATTTGTTATCCCCATAGAACAGACAGCAACTAAAGTGAGATATTAACCTTTTCAATCTCTGCGCCGCTTGATAAATATAACTACATTAACTACGCCGTGGTTAGCTATGTTACCTAGTTAACTATGTGGTGGTTAGTTACAGCGAGTTCGAAGGCCTGATTAGTCATCTGGATTTTCACCGCTTTGCAACGCGACTAAAAGCAGCTTCTCCGATCAAGACAAGATTCGTTATCTGAGCCAAAGATGGATCGAGATAGAAGGTACAGTATTTGTCGCTTCCCTTATAACGTCTCCATGTACGCTTCTTCCTCTTTTAGGACTGTAGCTAACATCCATCTCAGGTTTGATGACCGACGTGGCGGGGAAAGCTACCGCCCGTCAGACAGAATAGATCGTTCTGCATCTCGAGACTTCACACGCTCTCCTTGGACGCCTGCTCGAAACCGGTCACCTCGTCCCTTGGCCGATACATGGGTACCATCTGGTGGTCGGCCATCTGATCGTCCGCGCAGTCGCTCTCCGCCTCCGTCCTTTCGGCGTCGGTCGCGCAGTCCTCCATATCGAAATCGAGATGCGGGAATCGGATACCGTGGGAGGACACGATCGCCTCCACGAAGACTTTCTCCGAGAAGAGACCAAAGAATCAGGTCTCCCAATCGTCATTCTTGGCGCGGAGGGTCTCCTTATTCTGGACCACGGTCTCCGCGCGCTTCGAGACCCCGTAGTCCGCCTAAGCGCATCAGGGGGCATTCTCCCTCCGGTCGCTATTCAAGGTCCCCCAGACGGGAACGCTATGGCTCATCTGCCTCGGATAGACATACGAGAGCACCTTCACCGGCTCGACGGGGTATAACACGAGGAGGCAGTTCGCGAGGGGGGTTTTCTACTCGTTCGCGTAGTCCTACACTTAGAGACAGAGGCCGGGAGTCTTTCGCGGCTAACGCGTCCAGAAGACGCTCTCCTACACCTCCAAGACAGGCTCCATCTACGCATGCATCTGCCCAAGGTTCCACTGCTACGTCTCAGCGATCATCACCGCGTATACATCCCGACAGGCTTAGCGTACCTGCGTCGGAGCACCCAAGTCACTCTCCAGCAAGTCGATCAGATACTCCTCGACGCGATTCTAGGCCTAGGGATACACCATCTTCACATATGATGAAGTCACCTTCCGAAGATCAGGGGCAACCTTCTCAGGAACAACATCAAACGGCGTCACCCAACACAATGGACCTATCAGTCCCGAGAAGTGGCGAGCGTGGTCGTGATGGAGATGCCAGTGAAATAACACGACGCTCATCAAAACCGTATGCGCCAACAGTATCAGTCCCACCAAGTGGACCACAGGCGCTTAGGAGACAGTCAAATGCTTCTTGGGTCTCGTCCACACCAACTTCTCGTGAGATGCAACTTCCATCTGGCCCTTCAAACAGTTTTGCGGCTGCATCTACAGCAGGTCGTGGGAGCAACATTTCCTTACTTTCCGCCCCAACCAGGCCCCGTGGTGGTCCTAGTTTCAGTAACCGTGAGAGTCCACGTGAACCATCATGGGCAGCAACTGCGCCGCCGCCGCCGCGTCGTGGACCTATCCAGCAAACTTATCACGGGACTCCTCCCACAGGACCTCGGGGCAGCTTTGCGCCTCCTCCGCTGGGATACGACTCCTCGCGACATCCCCAATATCGACGAAGCAGTAGTACTTCCGGTATTCATCCTCGCGCTCAGAAGGTCACGAATCATCTTTCGGGCCTCCCTGCTATTATCGCGGGAGGAAAGCTCCTTCCGTCCCCGTTGGATCCCGCAACTGAGAGACGACTGTCCCAGCTAGAAACAGATCAGGAGAAGTTATTCGAACAAGTCGCGGAGAAACAGAGATTGAAAAGGGCTGTTCTCAGGGACTGGGACAAGTTGGACAGGGAGAGCGCAACCGGTGCGTTGAGAAGTGAATTGGCTGAAGGTCATTTGCAGCGCATGGCCGAGGGGGAGAGTATTGGTGGCGGAACGGCGTTCTGAAAGGCCCTCTTTATTTACTTCCTGATTTATGAGCGCACTGGAGCAGGTCGGCGTTGGGAATGACTGGGAGCACGGTGGAAAATTGCATCGATATGGGATACCTATGGTGGGAAGGGTCTGTATGAATAATAGCATGAGGAGTTATCAGCGGGCATATTTTGTTTGTAACAGCATAGCTAGACTTAAGAAGTATTAATTTTAACTACTATGGTATTCAATGGTGGAGTAATGATCTTTTTGAAAGCTGTTGGTTGGTGGGGAGCTGGAGGTATCCTGCTCTGCAGATCAGCTAAGATGCCAAGAACTCGTCCTCGCGGGTAATTCCGTACTTTACATGGCGAGGCTGCGTGTCAACAATACTCCCTTGCACTCTCACCTTCCAGCAATTAATTCTTCTGGTCTGCTAACGACAACAAGGCCACGAATTCTTTTCATGTTTCGTGGGCATTAAGTGCTCACTAGCACCCAACCACCTTGGTTTTCTCTTCTGTCCTTCCTTTCCAACTATTCACCCTGCCAATACTCGACCTAGACGCGTACGGCCTCTACTTTTCAACTCTTCAGGAACCGCAGTTAACTATCACCTGGCACCATGAATATATTCAGACTTTTAGGTGCGTATCAGGCAATTCTACTGTGTTTTTGATCGCGCTGACTCGTTGCTTCACAACAGCGGACTTCTCCCACCTGGCATCGATCTTCATTCTTCTACAGAAGATGAAGTCGTCGAGCGTGCGCTCCTACTTCCCCATTCCTTTCCTTCTCTAGCTAAGCAATGAGACAGAGCTGCTCCGGACTATCCTTCAAATCACAGGCGTTATATTTCCTAGTTTTCGTGACGCGATATCTGGGTAAGGCCGACTGAACATCTTACTGCTGTCTGGGCCGTGCGCTAACTCCAGAAGACCTTTTTTGGACGTTCACGGACTCGGCATATAACACTACGTTCAAGATCCTTTTCATCGGATCTTCTGCCTACATCATCTATCTCATGCTTAACGACTACAAGCCGACGAACGACCCCAATCTCGATACTTTCAAAGTGCAGTATCTTCTTGGTTTCAGTGCGCTTTTGGCACTTCTCTTTCCAGCTGAATACAGTATTTCAGAGGTGAGTCTTGGGATATGCTGGACCAATGGTTACTTCGGAAAGAAGCTTATCATCTCGTGATGCCCCAGATCCTGTGGACGTTTTCAATCTGGCTGGAGTCGGTTGCAATTTTACCCCAGCTGTTTATGCTGCAAAGAACCGGTGAAGCAGACACCATAACAACGCATTACCTCTTCGCACTTGGGATCTATCGCGCACTTTATATCCCTAATTGGATATACCGCTACTTCGCAGAGAACTACTTCCATGCTATCCCCGTTCTAGCTGGCATCATCCAGACGGTGTTGTACTCTGATTTCTTTTATATTTACTACACAAAGTAAGTGAATTCTATTAGCAAATCGCCCCTTTCTAGGAGTGAGAAAAGGCAATGCTAAGATACTTTATACAGGGTTTTAAAGGGCAAGAAGTTTTCGCTTCCAGTTTAAGTACTGGTATAAAAGGCTTAGGGGAAATATGCAATTATATAATTTGCATAGCATTAGCAATAAGCTTAGAGATAAATTAAATAAATCTCTAAAATATTATATTAAGTATAATAGTACTATCTGTAAAAAAGGCAGGTAAATAGTTAATAACTAGTATAAGGAATATAAGTTTTTAAAGATTATTAGTAAATTACTTCTCTAGTAAATATAGTAAGAGAGTAATAGTATTATATACTTAGCTTAGAGAAAAGTTTACTTAGTATAAAAAAGAGTTTATATTATTAAAGACTAGTAGTAAAGAGTTTATATAAGTAAAGAAATAATAAGATATAAATTATATTAAAATAAATTATTAGCTTTTAATAAGATAATAATTTAAAACTTATTTATATTTTAATCTTTAAGTATTTCTTAATTTTAATATTATATAAATCTTAAAAAAAAAGAGTATAAAGTTTAATTAATTATCTTAATATTATATTTAATTTTAAAGATTTATTATAATTTTATAATTTTTATATTAATTTCTTTATATAAAATTAAATATTCTTTAATAAATTTATAATCTTCTTAAAATAGCTTATTTTTAAGCTATTATAAAATTATTATATTTATAATAAAATATAGCTTTATAAAGATATTTATAATATAATAAATTAAAGAGTATTTTATTACCTTTATAATAATAAAATAAAGAAATTATATAAATTAAAAAGTATTATATATATAATATTATAAAATAAAAATATTAATAATATAAGTAATATATATAATATTACTTTAATATAATTATTTATTACTTTAATAAAGTATAAAAGTATAAGATATAAAAGCCTTAAGTAATAACTTAGCTATATAGTTATTATTATAGATTAATTAAATAAATAATAAACTTATAAGAGAAAAATAAGTAAAACCTTATAATATAATATAAAAGAAAAGAAAATAGCTATATAATAATAAGAGAGTTTAAAATTATATAATAAGAAATAGTTTATAAAAGACTTTAAAGAATAAGGTTTAAAAAGATTAAAGAAGTTAAAGTCTTTTAAAGACTATAAGAGATAAGTTTATAAAAGACTATAAAAAGTAAGAAAAAAAGAATTAAATTATAAAGTTATATAAAAATACTTATTTATATTTAATAAATATATTTAATTCTTTATATTTAATATATTTTATTTATTTACTATTTATTATAAGCTAATAAGAATAATACTAGAAAGATTATAATTTAATTAAGCTTTACTTTTAATTTAATTATAATTATTTAAATTATTTAATAAAACTTATTAAGTTATATATTTATATAGTTTTACTTAATAAACTATAATAAATAAACTATATTAATTACTTATAGAAAATTTAAATAAATTTAAATTATTAAAAAAGAATTAAATAAAAGTTTTACTTAAGCTTTCTCTAATAATAGTATAATAAAATAGCTAAGATCTTAAGGTAATAATATATTAAGTATCTTTAACTCTATTATTAAAGGTTTAAATATTTAAAACTTAAAATATTTAATAGTAATTAAGTAATACTTATTAAGTAAGCTATAATAATTAATAATATAAATTATACTTCTATAACTTAAAAACTTATAGAAATAATTAAATAGCTATAAGAGATTATTATAATTATATAGGCTATAAAAAGTAAATTATATTAAAGAATTAAATTATTAAAACTTAAAAAACTATTATAGTAAAAGAGATAAATTATAAGTATTTATTATTTAATTAAATTTATACTTTTAAATAATAAATATTATTAATAATAATAATAAAATACCTTTAATAATATTTTATATAAGAAAATTTATATTTAATTAAGTTAACTTAATAATAGTTAATAAGAACTTTAAATCTTAATAAAAATAATTAAAATAAAATTATTAAATAAATTTATAAAAGCTATATAAGCTTTTAAATAAAGTTAAATAAAGTATTTAATATTAAAGATAAGATAAAAATTATAGAGTAAAAGCTTAAATATTTATACTAAATATAATTAGTAATAAATTATATAATATAATTTAAATAAATTATATCTTACTTAAAATAAAGATTATTAATATAAATAGTAATTTATAAATAAAAGCTTAAAAAAATATAAGATAAAATAATATAAGTTAATAGACTATTTAATTAAATAATATTAATAACCTTATTAAATTATTAATTAAAATTAATAATAAAATATTTAAATAAAAATAAGTTAAAAAAATATATAAAATAATAAAGATTTATAAGATATTATAAATTAAATTAATATAGATTAAATAAGAAATAATTAATAAAGAATAAGAATTCTTATAGATTAAAGCTAATAAAGCTAAATACTATAATATTAAGATAAAATAATAAAAGAAATTAAAATTAAAAATAAAAGAAATTTAAATATTTTAACTATAATAAGAAAGGCTATTATATAAAGAAATATAAGATATTAAAAAATTAAGATAGTAATTAAAAGTAATAAATAAAGAAAGTAATTATAATAAAATCTTAAAGAGTTAAAAATAAATATAATATAAATAAATAACTTAGAATAATAAAGATAAAGATATAATTTCTCTAAAAACTATAATATTTAAATAAGTATTAGTATTACTAGAAATAATATAAGAAATATAAGATAAAATTAATAAATATTTATAAAGAACTTAGAAAATACTTAAACTAATAAATAATACTATTAAATAATAAAATTAAAAAAATAATTATAGTAATTCTATAAAAAGACTTAATTAAACTAAAAAAAATAATATAAGGCTAAAGAAATATTTAAGAAGCTAAAAGGTATAAATAGTAAATAATTACTTAAGATTAATAAAAAACTAAGTATTAAAGTAATTAAGGCCGAGATATAAATAATAGATTTTATCTTATTAAATTTAAATAAGTATAGCTATAAGTAAAAAGCTTAATAAGCTAAGACTTAAATAAATTCCTTATAAAGAGAGATATTAGCCTATTATAATAAGCTAAAATATATATATAGAAAATATTAGAAATACTTAGAGTATAAGAGTATATATTAAATAATATATTATAAAGATTATTATTTAATATATTATAATGCGAAAATTAATAATAAATATTTTTTTATATAAAGACTAAATTAAAAGAAAATAATAAAAGAAATAATACTAAATAGTAATAATAGCTAAAGGTTAATATATTAAATTATAAACTAAAATTATAGAATAATTAATTAAAATATTAATTAACTTAAAAGCTATAGAAAACTTTAAAAAAAATAAAGAAATAACTAGTATTAATTTTAAGACTTAATAAAAAAGACTTAAAATAATTCTTAATTATAGAGATAAGAATAATTCTAATATTAGTTTAAAACTATTTAAAATTACTTAACTTTAATATAATTAAAATTAAAGAGTATAATATAATACTTAAAATATTATAGCTTAAATAATATAATTTAAAATTAATAAAATATAAGATAAAATATAATTTATAAGATATATATATAAAATAAAGCTAAAATAAAATTACTCTTAAGCTCTTAAGAGTTAAATAAGTAAAGTAAAGTTAGCTATAAAAAGAACTAAGTTAAGAGAAATAACTAATAGCTTTAAATTAAAGAAATAAGAAAATTCTAGAGAATCTTTAAAAAGTAAGCTAATAGATAAGGCTATATAAAAAGATATATAAACTTAAAGAAAAATAATATAATTAAGTATTATATAGTACTATAATAAGAATAGAAAAATTAAAAGAAATAATAGAATTAAAGATATTAAAAAAATATAAGTAATTTTAAAATCTCTTTAATCTTAATATTAATAAGAAATTATTAAATTATAAATTATATAATTATAAAATACTCTTAATTAAAAAGAAGTTATTAATATATAAATTAATTTACTAGCTATTAGAGAGAAAATTAAAAATATTAAAGATATATATTAAAGAGAACTTATAAAAAGATTATATATAATTATTAATATTATTAATAAAATATTTAATACTATTTATATTAAAAAAGAATAGAAGTTTATAATTATATAGATATAAATAGCTTAATATAATTATAATTAAAAATAAATACTTATTATTATTAATTATAAAGATTTAAAATATAATATAAGAAGTAAAGATTTTTATAAAATTTAATATTATAAACGCTTATAATAAACTATAAATAAAAAAAAGGTAAAGAATAGAAAATAATATTTAAAACTAAGTTTAAATATTATAAATATAAGATTATATCTTTTAAATTAACTAATATACTAGTAATATTTTAGCGATTTATTAATAAAGTATTAAGAGATTATATATATAACTTTATAGTTATATATTTAGATAATATCTTAATATTCTCTAAGAACTATAAATAATATATTAAATATATTAAGATAATATTATAATAACTATAAATAATAAAGCTATAAATAAAGCTAAAGAAATATAAATTTTATATTAAGGAAATAAATTTCTTAAAATATTAAATTATTTAAAAAAGAATATAAATAAATAAATAGAAGATTTAAATAATTAAAAATTAGCTAATATTAATAAATTTATAAGAATTATAAATATTTATTAAAATAATAAACTATTATTAATAATATATTAATAATATATAGATATTATAAGATTACTATTTAACTTATTAAAAAAAGAGAAAAATTATTAATAAATAGAAATATAATAGAAAGTATTTAAAAAAATTAAAATAAGACTTACTATAGTACTAGTACTTAAATAATATAACTTAAAGAAAAAAACAGTTATTAAAATTAATATATTAAACTATATAATTAAAGTAATTCTATTATAATTAAATAATAATAGAAAATTATATTTAATAATATATTATTTAAGAAAAATAATATTAATAAAGCTTAATTATAAAATTTATAATAAGAAATTATTAGCTATAGTAATAATATTTTAATAGTAAAGAGTTTATTTTAAAAGAGTAAAATATATAATTAAAGTAATTATAAATTATAAGAATTTTACTTATTTTATAATAATTAAAATATTAATAAGAAAGTAAGTAAAATAAGTAAAAATATTAGCTAACTATAACTTTATAATTAAATATTAAGTTAAAAAGAATAAGTTTAAATAAAATTCTCTAGACTAATTTAATAGCTTAAAAGAGCTAATAATACTTAAAAAGAAAG